GATCGGATCGAGAATCGACCGCTGGCGCCGCTCGAGATCGGGACGCCGCACTCCGAAGGCGGTCACCGGATCCGAGACGAGCGACGGCCGCGGCACGAACGGAACTTTCTCCCAGTCAATTGGTGTTCTCTTCGTTCTCTGCAATGCCCAAAAATGTCCACAAATTTGCTTTTAATTTCTGGGTCAGCCGGGGGTTAAACGCGGTGGCTAACGTGGTGGTTAAGTGATGGTGCAGGAACTCAACTGGGCGGTGGTGCTAATATATTTATATACAATCTTAAGTCTGGTGGTTGCAGGGCATTTATATACAGCTTCGTTGGGGCAGTGGCTGAGATCGATGTGCTGGGTGGGTCAAGCTATATCCAATATTTGAACATTCTTACATTATGACACAAGCTGCATATATACACATGTATCTGTATTCTAAAGTGGACCTTTTCGGTGTTCACAAGGCGGAAGTTAAGAGATTAATTTACTCATACGCAACGTTGCCCTTGCTCGTATACTTAATTTGCAAAGAGGCTAGCATACTTTACGGGTTGCTATTTAACCTCAGGAAATTCCAGTATTTAAATTTAAATCTTGATTTGCCAAAGGTCCACCCCAGTCTAAATACACATATGTATATATGCATATTGATACGACGTAGTGTGGTTGTAAGTAATGTGCAATGGGAGCATTATGGAATCACTCGCAGCATTTAGACGGAACACAAACAGCAAACGTGTATTTATTTACAGCACTAAAGCCAAGTTAATATTCAATTAATCTGTATATACTGCATCCTATTCCTAAAAACCAAGCAACACTTCTGCACAGCACATATTTGAAAATAATTATTCAGCAAATAATTATTATTATTATTATTTGTCAAGATTAACATAGATGTAAAAAAGAAAGTGTCAAGACATGATGGATTTACATATATAGCCTTGCTGTGGATTATCATCACATTAGACTGTCTGAAAATGGCTCTTTTGTTTTTTTTTTTTCAGCATTTAGCTTCTAATTTTCGAAAATTTTGCCGTTATTTTATTGTTGGCTCTTGCCATGGCTTCGGTTTATTTGAATATATTATGGAAATCGGAAAGATATTTTTAGGACTAGCGAAGAGCGAAATGCGCGCGCATATAGTATTACACATACAAAAAGCAAAACCACGGCCCGTACAAAAACAAATTATCGAGAGAGTTGCGTCCGTATGAGTTTCATCGAGAATTCGCATGTGTTTGGAATTCCACTCGGCTATATGCTAAACATTTTTGGGCACCAGACGGACCTCAACTTTTTGTAAATAATGATAAAATAGATAGAGATAGAGAAGAAAACGTTCGGCCTCCGCTGAATTCTTAAAATGTGTTCGCGTTTTATATTTGGGAGATGAGTAAACACGTATATCCGAAAGAGATATGAAGATCATCGCGCAGCAATAAATTTAGGAAAATTTCATTTCCCACGACCTCATGAAAATTGCAATGTTTTTTGACACTCGCATAATTTTGTCATATAATTTTGTCACATATTCTTTATTTCGGTCTGGTTTTATTATGTTTAGGCGACATCACATATAGTATAGTACAAGTACAAGTACATACAGGCGTATGTAGAGCCTTTATGAGAGTTATTAAATTGTTAGAAATAGGTTTATGCATGATTTGCTACACAAATGTTTACACTGAACCTGAAAATACTATTTGGCATATGTATGTACATTTACAGAACATTCCGGTGATCATCAAATATATTTGAGCACAAGGACATTCATTCAGTAATAAAATATCAGCTAGTTCGATACGATATTCATAATTGGTAGACACTTTGCATTCAAACGTGTTTCAATTTCTTAATTAATCTGTTCGCTTGTCAATATTAAAACCATTGAGTACAGCCAGTGGGACACAAGCGTTTGTAACTAAAATCTTGTGACTACAGATTCGATTAGCTAACTGCTTTTCAAATTTGTCAAATTTATCCGCAGCGTTTGTAGATTTGTTAATTTTCAATTTGGAATTTTGAATTTGGAATTTTGAATTTTGAATTTTGAAACTGTACGCACAGATATATTTCACAGATTTAAATCAAGGAAAACCACACTACCGTATGTCAAGAAAATAATTTTATGTCGAAGGGCTTACCGTAACGGCGTAAGAAGTTGTCACCGGCCTCGAGGAGTACGTTCTGCGAGTTGTAAATCCACTTTCGTAAACCATTTTGCGATTTTTTGGTGCTTTTGTGAAATTTAAAATTGAATTGTTCGTTGGATTTGGTTCGGATATATCGTCGTTGCGTGTTGTTCACTAGACGCCCGTTCGAGTTGATCTGCCTGAGAATGGCAGCAAGCACTTGCTTATAATTTTTTGATTTTCAAAATTTTCACAGCATTCGGTCTCTCTCACTCTCTCACGCCCAGCCTATAACACTTTTTCTATCCATCTCCCAAATAAACTTATTTTTGGAATTAAGAAACATTGACATCTCTCGTCGCGAAGAGCGAGCGAATTCTGTTTACATAAAGCCAGCAATTTGCATACAGTTGTGTTAGAAAAAAAGCCTATATACATCAACTTGTGCTCACAGGATACAAGAGCCCTTTTTTGAAAACAAACGTCACGGATTTTTTCCAGAATCATCGTATTTTCAGATCTAACAGTAACTAATAGTATGTTTTGTAAAGATTTTTTCTTTGATGACGAATTAAAGTGGCACTTTTTGGACTAGTGATATGTGGGTCCATATGGGCACAAATATGTTGGGGTTTGTTTATTTTTAAATTCAAAACAAGATTTTTGAGTATAATGAAAAATTATTGAAATTGGCAAAATTTTATCGCTGTTTATTGCAATAAATTTGCATGTAATTGCCGAAGATGTACAAATATATTGATTGATCTAGAAATAAATAAAAGTGCATTGCAATCAAAAGTTTTCTCATCAATCAAAATATCAACGTACAGTTCAACATGTTTTTTTTTTTGGTAAAAGATGGATTAACAATTATAAATAAATCTTCAACAATGACAGCACATTTTCAGTTGGCATTCTATACATAAAACAAATAAGGCATGAAATTAAAATCCTGAGAGCCATTATTATTCGGTGGGTATCACCTGTGGACCGGACACAGAGCTTTTCACACATATATCTGGAAATAAATTATTAAAAAAATACAAACGTGAAAATAAGATAAAAATAAAATTTTGTTTTCCAACAATTTGAGGCCAGATTACTCATACATTCTTACAATAAGATCGGAAACATGTATTCGTGAACATATAAATAAACTGCACATCATCCCATACCCACATATTAAATCGGGTGTGTAGGTGTCTAGTTGTATATAAACAAAACCATGGCAGAAATTCAAAAAAGCAAATTCTTTATGACATTAACCTTAACGAGAGGCAATGAATGACTCGTAATTTCAAGGCTGCCAAAATCACACTAATCGGAGAACAAATATGCCATTGAGCGTTGACTTAGAACGCATTGGGTGTAGATGGACATTAAAAAATTAACAGCAAGTAAATTGGTTCACAGGATTTAATAAATAAATATATAGATTTGCCTATATATATTGACTTATCCAAATTTTTCCAATTAGGTCTCACATTGATGTTCATTATAATGGAATATTTTGTGTGGTAAATTACGTTCAATACATTATTGGTATACCAAAGCTCGAAAATTTTCATTTGCCAAGCAAAGTGAGAATAAAAACAGAAATAAAATGATTATCGAATGAATTTTTTAAATTCCAATAATATCTACAACGAGCCGTTTTAGGTGGAATGCAGAATATCAATAATATTATGGCAAGTTGCATGCAGCGACCAACCTTAAATGCTAAATATTTGTTTATTGTTAATCTATATCCAAAACAAAATGCATATTGTACATATGCTTATTTCAAAATTATTTTAAAACCTAAAATAATATAATATAATAATAATATATATATAATCGATATTAAATCTTTGTTTAAATTGAGAGGTCGTGTTTCAACTATATTCGAGTTACTCACATAAAAAAATTTGAAAATAAAAAAAAAGATTTGAAAGATTGGGAAAATTTACATGAAAGCGTGCTTATAAACTGTAACACATTGATAACGTATAACGAAAAGTTTATACTCGCGTTTAAGTACTATTAAACATAATTAATAAATAGAGAAATAGGTTATCATATACTATTTTTTTCTCAAAATCCATATATAAATTTAAATAGGTTTGCTGATTGTACATAGATTTACTCGTCTCTGGCATAATTTATTTATTTTAATTTGTTTTGCAATTTGAAGGTCAGCGTCTGCTGCCCTGATCTCGAATCTTCAGATCTAGAAATCTTTTAAGAAATTATGATTTGTGTTCCTTTTTCTTCAGATTTGCAACATTATGTTATGAAATTGTTAAGATTCATTTATGTTTGATATGTGGTTCTGAATTGGCCCGTTTAGTCTTAAAAGTTGAATGATCCTTTTTTAAATGTGAATAGTTTTTAAAACACTACTTTATAGCTGAGTTAGTTCGCAGCATTAATGAATATTAATATAAGAGGCCATATATTAAGGGCTTTTTTAATACTAACGAAAAACGAGCCGCATAAAGTCAGTGACTTAATACTTAATACCAGAAATCTCTTGGTCGGGTGCCCCTCATAATGATGCAAGTCGCCCAGGTGCAAACACTTCCATGTGTCTCCGGTCCCAAGTCGCGATTTTGATCCATTGGAGTACATAGATATACGACTTTTGGTTTCAGATGCATGGCTGCTCAATTTGTCCGCCCAGCAAGCGTGGTTGTTTGTTGGCGTCTTCGCCGTTTTCTCGTGGCTGCGATAATTTTGTTAAATAATTGAGTATGCAATGAAAATTGCGCATTACAGCGACATAAATATAATGGTAGTCTTACTACGCGAGGCCTTACTGTGCGTGTGTGTGTGTGTGTGTGTTGGCATAAGTGCCTATATGGTTACAAACACCTGTTCATTCGTTTTGCTAGAATGAGTTTCTTTCCTCACTTTTTCCAAATACTGGCATAAACGGCATTCAAATCTGCACATTGCTTGACATTTTGTAATTGAACAAATTGCTCGAATTTTTGGGCAACTCCTATATATAGTGGAGCCGGTACCACTTGAAATGTTAGTTTCGAGCAAAGCAAACGACACATTGGTGGCACCATTAAAAAAACCTCAAGGGACTAAATAACCAAAAAACCACAAAGGATACTATTTCAAAATCATAATGAACATTAATTGCTTTGTCATATTGCACTTGATGGGTGCGATGGTGTTGCTTAGCTATGCAAACGCAATCCCTAAATATGAAGACAGCCATAAGTAAGTGGACTATAGTTATCGGAAGTTAATATTAAATGTGGCCCCACTTAAGGTTTTATGCGGACAAAGTGCAGCGAGATAGATCGTATTTCAACGAAAATAAGACGCAGCCCAGTGAGCCTCAGGCGGCTTCCACAAAAGATAGACTGGAACGTCTGGGATACACCACCGGCTATGGATCTCTAAATGTGAGTGGATGTTTTGAAGTCCAACATATAATATAAAATACCTCGTTATTTAGGGATATCCTGGCGGCACTGGACTTTCCGCCTACAATCCCATAAAACTCGACTTAGGTGGCGTAGTTTTGGGAACCCTCGTGGGCATTGGGGCCATTATATTGATTCCCAAAATTCTATCAGCGTTCCATGGTGGTTACGGTGGCTACGGTCGAAGTGAGTACCATTTTTAAATCTGAATGTGTATAGTATGTTAAAAATTTGTTTACTTAAAGGTGAAGATAGTGACCTGACACCTCTGAGTACCATGATGAACAAAATCGACGATGTCCTGGGTCAGAATAATATTGACTCTACGAGCTGCATGCAGCGTGCTGTATGTGGATATGTTCGCTCTACGGAATATAATATGAAGATCGGTTCCCCTGACCAGATGGACGAATTTATTCACATGCTATCGGAGTAAGTAACTGCAAGGACAAAACTAATTATTTCCTTATATTATTGTATTATTTAATTATAATTTATTTAAAGAAATGCTTTGGTGGACTATCTGCTGGATGGAACGGCAATTAAAGAGGCGCTGGAGCATGGAAAGCGATCCGACGATAGAGCTTGTGAAGAGGTTTACTCTAATTGCCCCCTAGACAGTAAATCAGCTACGGACATTCTGATGAAGCTAATGCCAAAGAAAAGCTCCCAAGGAAAGGGAAAGTCATCGGGAATATCTCGGGAAAAGAAGGCTTAGTTAATGTTTATTGTTTCAAGTTAAACAATATTGTTTTGCAATAACAGCACCCTTACAACCAAATATTTTCCAACATTTAAATAAACTCCATTGTGTTATCTTTATTAAACTGTGCTTTAATTAACAAGCTTTTCCTAAACAATTTTTGAAGCCTTGGGCTAAAGACCATTAGAATGTAATGATTTGATCTTTGAATTATATCTTAAATGGGGTGCGGGTAATTTGATTTCAATATTTTTTTTAATTGTTTTATAAATTCTTTATTAAACACTACTCGGTAGAGTCACCCTTAGTCATGCTGCTGCTCATAATAATTTGCAATTGCTTCTCCTGCTGTTCAATTAGCGGTAACCATTGCTCCGAAGGAGGTGTAAATTGGTCAGGCTCGAACTTGGGAATTTTCCCCAGATTTCCCAGCACACCCTTGCGATGCGCTCGATTCTCCATCATAATCTGCTCCAGCTTGTCCACCAGATTATTCGACTCCTTGATCAGGTCATCGATGGACTGCAGCAGGGCGTACCAGTCAATCCTTTGGCTGCCAATCAGGGAGTTGCCCCTCAATCGAAAGGGAAAGGGAACGAAGCTGCGCCATGGCCTGAACGACTCGATTGTATAGGGTATAAAGTGTCGATCGGCATCCATTTCCACTGCATCGTCATCGAAATGCCAGGATGCCAGGGTAGGAGCTAAGATCGTATTTGCACCACTTCTTCGCGACTGATTGGATTCGTCGAAGTTTAGTTTCCGTATCTTGGCAATCTGATCGCCCAGCCTCTTCTCCACATCGGACATAATGTCACTGCCATCATCCTCGTCAGATTTGGGTAGATACGAATTTACGAGATCCTTATTAAAAGCCTTGGGCAACAGGGTTTGAGTTTGGCGAGAAACTGTAGCCACACTGTCGGTCATTTGTGACATCGAATAGGTAAGTACATCTGCAAATGGCTTGGTAAATTTTTTATTTTAAATTGGTTCCAAATTCAGTGCACTTACACTTTTCATAGCCATCTTTCTTTTTCGAATACTGTCCATCCGTGAGAATACCTATGTCCTTGTGCAGAATCAAATCCTCTTGTACCCCAAAGCTGACCTCTTTCATGAGCTTTGTGGGCACAAAGTCCGTCTGCAAGGCCACATTTGCCTTGCCAGCTCTTAGCCGTCTGTTTGGGAAAATATTTAATACTACTATTAAACTTAATCACTAAGTTTAGTACCTCGAGGCATCCAGTAATTTGGCCCGAAGCAAGGCGCTTTTATCGGGCTTGGGCAGCGTGGATACGCTAACTGCTCGCCAAGGCGGTCGCTTGGCCTCATTTTCCTTTTCCTTCTCGGCAGCCAGATCCTTCATGCGTCTCCAACTGTTTTTGGCTCTGTAAATGTATATTAAATTGTGCAAATAACATGGAAAATATTTCAAAGTAACAAGTTTAATCCCCACCTACTCAATGATGCACTACTCGCACGAATGTTCAACTGCGGAGCCCTTTGCTGGTCATCCGCACTTTGCGTTTCGCTGGTTTCCGAGGATGTGCCACTGTTGTTGGAGCTGGTGCTCTGCTTTGGCCTGTTCATGGTAGCAATTTGTTTGGCTCTTTAAACTTCAAATGTGTGTGTGGGTGGAAAACTTTGCACAACGTCTCTATTAGCAGTCAATACATCGATGCATAAACAATTGAAGTGCATCCACGTTGCCATGGAGTCGGTTGAATAGGTTGGTGTTGGTCATGGGGTTCGGGTATCGACCTGTCGATAAGGGGGAGTAACAAGTAAGGCGAAAAGTAACTCAACAATTTACACCTAGGATAGGTAGATTATAAGCAGTGCTGCCATTCTAGCTTTATCGGTATTTCTGGGCCTTATTTCTGTAGAAAAAATCTGAAATTTTTTTATCACACTTTGAGTAAACATAACTTTAACATAATCTCAACCACTTAAATAAAATCGAGTTATAAGAATAAATATTAGACTACTTTATTATCTACTATTGTGTTTTATATTTAAAAAATATAAAAATTTTTATACGAGCCCAAATACAATAATTTCTTTAGCCTTAGACAGACATAACAAAAAACGTGTTTTATTTTTTAGTTCCACTTATATTTTAGGCATTGTTATAAAAAGCATTAAATATGCGGAAGACATCGCCGTTGTAGTTTTCCAAATGTAATCTTCCCGCTTCGTAACTGCAGTCTGAAAACAGATCGTAGTTCTGCCTGTGGAACCAATAGTTCTTGGAAGCGCTTTTGGCGCCAAGGTCGAGCGTGTTCAGCTGCAGCACTCCGAAGTGGAATGTGCGTCCGTCGGTCTGGACACTCTGCACGACAATCGGCTTGGGAAGAGCACCCTGCACGGAATCTCCATGCAATTGCCTGGCTCTTGCCGCGGCCACAACGAAAGCTTTGACCAATGTCCTTGCCTGAATCTGGGAAGTTGTAACGTCGGATCCATGAGAGTTTTTGACCAGGTTTTTGTTAAAGACCGTAAAGATAGTGTGTGGATGAGAGCAGTTGATATCCATGCGCAGGGCTAAATTAAAGCCATTATTAGATTTGCTGAGACTATTAAGTGCTTTTGAAACTCACGATAGAAGTTGTTTGTTTGGTAAATATGGTGCTTTGGAATCGATATAGTAGTCTTCATGGGGTAGAGATCGGGCAAATCACCTTCAAATTTTCCCTTGACAGCTTCGATGGCACGGTTAGCGAAAACCACTTTTTCAGCATTGATGGAGAAACCAAGAAGATCACCATCCTTATTTATCGACGTTTTGAAAGTGGCATTGTCTATTAGCTTTCTTCGCATGGAGACTGAGCGACCAGCCAACTTTTCGGTCTCATGCAGGAGTTTGTTTACCAGCAGGCGACTAAATTAGATTATAGAATTAATTATGTGAACGAGATGCATGCAGATATGGACTCACTTGACCCTTTCGTGGGAAATTCCATAGGAACGGGGCAGATTAAAGGCCGGGCGCTCTGGAAGCCTCACCTTGGGCAGCTTAACTTGCTCCGCATCGAGCACGTGGGATGCCAAAATAGCGTGCCTGATACTCTTGTCTATGGAATTGGGTAACTGCTGGTTGGCTATCACATCCTCGATCTGCTTGGGGAAGGACTGGATCTCGATGCAGTTGGTCAGAGCCTGGGCTTGTGGCAATCCGCCAATTAGCACGCTGTTGTCGGAATAGGAGTGGCAAACCGTGGAATGCCAGTCGGGGTGCCGACTGTCCTCGGGAATCTTCTTCTCGAGGCTGCCAACAACGTCCACCCTGTAGGATTAATAAGAAATGTCAATTATCACAATTAATACGTATTTGCCCGACTATACTAACACTTTTCTTTCAACTTTGGCGTTCACAAGATCCTCTGGGTTCTTCACCTCAACTCCCAGTTTGAGGAGCTCGGCCACAGCGCCAGTTTCCTTGGGGACTCGTTTTCCCTGGACCAGCCAGTGCTTCTTGAAGTGCCATCCAATGTGCTGGGCACATAAGGTTTTCGTCAGCCTCATTTTAGTTAGGATTTGGCTATGTTTTCGTTAAATAAATCGGAGCCCGGCGGACTGCGCTGGTTATGAAATGTCTATTAGGGATGGGAGACTTTTTCAGTCACGGTCAGTGCTGCCAGAAAATCCGAAGCAACAGTAGCTAAATATGCAAAAGTTGAAAAAAAAGGCTTAAGGTAAATCAATAAGCTTTTAGTTTTCAAAAAACAAATGTATGAACTATAATAAAAAATAATTTATTCAAAAACACTTAAATTGAAAGGGAACACGAATTCTGTGTTAAATCATATTAGCATATTTAAAGGAAACACAAATTCGAATTACTAAAATTTTAACATATAACAAAAAGATTAAAATTTTTTTAAAAGCATCCAAAAATAGTAACTTAATTGGCGGAAGGTTCAACCATAATATATTTTAATACTTTAGATAAATCTGATATTTTTAAAGTTTTTTATAAGAATATATTTTTGACTAGTTATTAATAGTGGTGTAGCTAGGGGCATGAACAGAATCTTAACATTTCTGACATAATATTAATTCAGTTGGAGTTTAAAAACCTGAAAGGAAGGGAAAGGAAAAAAAAAAGGAACAATACTAATGAAGATAACCGTGAAGGTAATTCAGTTTAATAATTAAATACAACTAGGTCTTTATGAGTTACATCTTAAAGAAAACCTAAATTTTTCAAAGATAATGTTTAAAAAGGATAAGGGTTAATGCTTTGTAATTTACTTTTAAACTATATTTTTTGGCATTTTAAAGATATATCGTGGTGCACACAAACAGCGATACTTATCGTATATAACTGCCACCACTATTCTTTGTGAGTTTGGTCACACTTTGGGTGATTGTAATAAAAAACGAACAGGCCGGTTTTGTTAGAAAATTAACGAAATCAAGTTAGTTTTAATCTGGTAAGTGCTAAAAAGAGCTCCTTTAATACCCTCGCAAGCGCGACGAATCCTAGTTAACCCGATAATCGTATTTTAGCCGCCCATTTTCTCCAATTGAAACTACGTCACGCCGAAAATGCCCCGATACAAGGAGTGGGACCTGGCTTGCAAGGTGTATGTGGGCAACCTGGGGAGTTCCGCGTCCAAGTACGAGATCGAAGGTGCTTTCAGCAAATACGGACCCTTGCGCAACGTTTGGGTGGCCCGCAATCCTCCGGGCTTCGCCTTCGTGGAGTTCGAGGACCGGAGGGACGCGGAGGATGCGAAGCGTGCTCTGGATGGAACACGCTGCTGCGGCGCAAGGATTCGCGTGGAGATGTCATCGGGGCGTTCTCGTCGCTACAGGTAATTTTATTGGCAATTACAGGTCACTTGGTATACCTTCCACATTGAAAACCATATATTAATTGACTCCAATGGAGTAATTAATTAACTAATCCGAAATAAAGGCGGCGGAATTCATTCCATCCGCCCAATTTAACCAAGTCATTGTCAAAACGTATACAATTTGCTATATAAATGTTAATCGGAATCATCGCAAATCATTAATTGCTAATATACATTTCCCGCCATTTTGCTGCACGTGATAAAGCAGCCTACGAAAAACCCTCATATAATGAGGTTTCTTCGCAGGCTAACTGAAATTAAAAATTAAAAAATATTCACTAATAAAAATTGATAGTATGTTACTCTGACCAACAAAAAAAAAAAAGAAGCAACAAACTGTATACATATATAATCTAAGATAAAAGCCTTTAGTGTTTGTTAAATGCGAGATATCGACACTTTTTCAGGATAACTCCTTCGGCTAGAACTACTTCCACTGCTACTTCTTCCTTCTACAACATCAACAATCTACAACAGCAACCATCTTCACAGCCACAGCCAGCAACCTTCAACTTGCAACTCCAAATTATCCATGTTCAGCGTCACAGCCTCACAGAAGTTTTGATTAGCAACCCAAACGATTTCATCGTAGAAGAAGCATTGCAGTCGCCAAAGAGTTCTACTAATGAAGTTATCCTGCGTATCCCCCAAATAATTGCTTAGAATTATATTCTTTAATTTATTTTTAATAGCGTTTTTTCAACGACCTTAGTTAGAAAATCAGAAAGCTGGCCAAGTCGGTTAACATTTTAAATTTGTCCGTCCATTTTGTTATTTTTAAATCGTCGTTCCAAGATTGTAGACAAATTTTAACATGACAAACATTTATAGGGCTGTCCCAAAACTGTTTATTAGCTTTTTAATGTGCTTTTTGCTTCATACCTCCTAACAAATTGGTTTTGATTACATTTACTTAATCGATTAGATGAAAAACATTTTGCTCATCTTAAATTTCTTGTGATTTATTTAATGTAGCGAATAAGATTTGGCCAAGCCAGCATTTTACTATTTAGTGCCAGAATTGTTTTACAGCTCTTTGTAAGGCGCGTATGTACATACACTTCTTATCATTCTGAGCAGATAGTTACATTTTAGTATTGCAAATTTAATAGTAATCTTCTCTTACTTACCAACGCGTTTATTTCAGGACGCCACGTCGCTCCCGTTCTCCAGACCGCTCCCGTTCGCCACGTCGTTCCCGGTCGCCCCGCAGTCGCAGCTATTCGCGCGATCGGCGAAGTCGCTCGGATTCTCGCGATCGCCGTTAATATATTTCCAAAAAAAAAAAAAAAACAGGATAAAATTTAAGCTGTGTCGCAATTAAACCCTAAACATGGCCCAGGCCGTCTTTTTTTTAAGGAATTCCTGTGTTGATTGCGATGTAAGTAAATTCTCTTCAGATGACAATATATTTCTTTCAAACAAATTCCCTTTTTTTTTACTACTAAATAAAGACACAATCAGCGAATTTCGTTGGGTTTCATGTATCATAGAAAAACGCATCTGTTTCCAGCAAAAGGGGATGTGCTTAATACACTGTTTATTATGTGAGAATTGACGTGCTACTGTATAACTTTTCTTAGAAGTATGTTCGAATAATAATTTAAACAGGCGCACGAGTGTAAAAATATTATGTATACTAACAAAGGTACACTTTAAACTTAGGAGAAGACGCAACAATAATTCGTTGCACATTTCGCACTGGAATAAACCTTACGTCTAGTCATTGTTTATATCCTCGCCACAGGGCTCTGAGGCTCTGAGCCCCAGTACAGACTGGCAGACCGGATTTCTTATGGCGTAGCCTAGCGCATGCGGTATGTGTTCGTCTCCTGGATCTCGGACAGTTCGCCCTTGAAGTTGATTTCGATGACAAAGTCCAGGTCGCGGTTGTTTCGCTCGTTGGGCTTCATCTGGAACGTGCCGGTGATCTCCTCGTTCTTCTTGGCCGTCATATGGTCGTCCAAATAGAAGACGGTCTGCTTCCAGTGCGTATATGTTGAGTCTGGCGATGTGCTGAACCCAAGGCGCTTGTGGCACTTGGTGAATTCTATGTTGAAGTAGGTGACTAGCGCCTGCACAAAGTCGTTGCGCTTAATGCACAGGCTGAACTTGGACGAGAAGTTGAGATCTGCCTTCTGCACGGTGTACAGGTCCACCTCCTTGACCATGCAGGATGTGGACACCACCTGCTTGGGATCCACCACGTCAACGAGCGGCTCGGTCACGGCCACCTTTCGGATGCAGCTCATATCGAAGCCGTACACATCGTCCCACCAGTTGATCTTCTCGTCCTTGTACTGTCGGTCCTCGATGGCCGTGATGTACAGCGTGCCTCGGTCCGGAAACATCATTCCGTTGGGCTTGAGCCATTTGTCACGCGCATACAGCACTGTGTCCAACATGGACTCGTAAAAGAGGCAGTAACTACGGCGGAAAAGGAAATTGTAATGATTGTTATTTGGGGTTATTAACAACTTTTGGGATTTCAATGTCTAGTGGTTTGTAAAGGTGTCTTTTAACATACTTAATGTACATTTTAAAGTTATTTAATAAATGTACATATTTCTGTGGCAGTTCCGGGTTTTTATGATTTATTTGAACCTTTGAAACCTACCCCATCCACTCGGAAATGATGATGTCCACGCCCTCAATACCATTTGGAAGCTCGATCTCCTCGATCTTGCCCTTGACCACCTTGATCACGTCCTGCAGGTTGTTGTCGATGACCACTTGGCGGGCAAACTCGATGATGTTGGAGCAGTCGACGGCGATTACCTGGGCGGCGCCGGCTTTCGCGGCGAACATGGACAGGATGCCGGTGCCGCAGCCCACGTCTAGCACGGTCTGAGAACGGAGAATACGAATACCCGTTGATTAGGGCCACGAAATGGAAAGCGCGGGAGAGTAGTGGATTCAAGCCTACCTTGCCCTGGAACAGATGCTTGTTGTGGTACATGGCGTTGCGGTATGTGACGGTGCGCACCTCGTCCTTCAGCATCTCCTCGTGGATGCCGAAGTGGGCATAGGAGTCGAAGTAATAATCGCGGGACGTCATCTCGTCGGCATTGGCATTGGGATTGTCCCCGGTGGACTCCTCCGCGGGCAACTTCTTTGCCACATTGTTTGAGTTCGCATTTGAATTGGGCGTGAGGCCGGTCGCAGATTCTACAGCTGCCTCCATTGGGATGTCTGTGCTGGCCTGTGAAATCGATCCGTTAGCAATTCACCCTTAATTTAGCTGCAAAATCACATCGAAACTTACCATTTTCTAATTTTTCGGCGTCTCTTTGGTTTTTCACGTCGAAAAAATAGCGACTAAATGATGGGACTATTTCTACAGCACGCTAGTTCAAAAATTCGATTTGCAACACTGGCGCCGTCAAAGCGTGCGAAGTTTCGGATTTGGTATTTTCTGAAAAGGGGTGGATTTTTAAGCGAAAACAGTGACAATCACAAAATTTTTTCGTGACTTGAAGAGCGCTAATACATTTCATTCTGGATAATTATTAGATTATTTTTTAAAATAAAGTGATTTATGAAGCTTTGTGGTATCAGAAATATACAATATATATTCAACTACATACGTATGTAGAACTAAATATCTGGGATATATTTTTAATTATTAGTTGATCAATTTGCAAAAGGCGCTGTTCAATCTATAGCCTAGTACTCAAATCGACGATATCAGTACGCCAGCGAGAGAGAGCGAGAGGCAAATACCGGCGTACACTTTCTGTCTGTGACTTTTCCCACCCCGGTACTCAGATCGACGAAAAAAAAAACAGAAATTTGCAAAGCGTTGCCAGATTTCTATGGGTGAACGTAAAAATACAAAATTAAATTTTTTCAGTTTGGAGTTGGCAGAGCATAGATTTGTCGTATCAAAAAATAAACCGTAAAAAACCAAAAACAAATTCTGAAAAATGTACTACAATAATACAATGTTGACAACAAGTATTCCCGGTCCATTTATATTGTACGGCAAAACTTTGGTCACACTAGAAACAATAAACTTTTTACGTTGGCGTAACTGTTCGTCTATTAGTACTCGGCTTATAGATCAAAATAAATTGATATTTTTTAAAGGCGTCTGCACACAGCCACTTAAAAGAGTTTTAGCGACTTTTTTCCACCTTTTTCTAGCACATGTACCTCTTATGGAAGAATATGCCGCTGAAGCAGAAAAGCCGCCTGTGTGAATAGGCCTTAAACATCGATATTTGTAACCAGAAACTATCGGTTCTATCGATTTACTTCCATCACTACCCACCGCTTGCCCGGCAATTTTTGGCGGCAAAATAATAGCACATCGCATTGTTAAACAGAAGGAAGCCGGTCAGAAAGAAGCCTTTATTTACCAAAGTCTCTTGTTTTAATTGCGTTTACCGATCAAAATGGAAGGCTTCGACGATGCGGGGGTGTTCTTCTCGGACAATTTCGGCGGAGAAAATCAGCAGGATGCGCAAATCAACTTGCAGGCGGTGAAGAAGAAGTACAAGGATTTCATCCGCACCTTCAACGAGGAGAACTTTTTCTACAAATATCGGTGAGTGGACTGCAGACCTCAGCCTGAACACCATTTAAGGTAATCTTTCTGCAGCGACACATTGAAGAGGAACTACCTTAATGGCCGCTACTTCCTGGAGATCGAAATGGAGGACCTGGTGGGCTTCGACGAGGCACTGGCGGACAAGCTGAACAAGCAGCCCACGGAGCACTTGCAGATCTTCGAGGAGGCCGCCCGGGAGGTGGCCGACGAGATCACAGCTCCGCGGCCCGAGCACGAGGAGCAGATGCAGGACATTCAGATCCTGTTGAGCTCCAATGCGAATCCCACCAATATCCGCCAGCTGAAGTCCGACTGCGTGTCCAAGTTGGTCAAGATCGCCGGAATCATTGTGGCCGCCTCCGGGATCAGTGCCAAGGCCACGCGGATGTCCATCATGTGCCTGTCCTGCAGCACGATCATTCCGAATCTCAAAGTTAACCCGGGACTGGAGGGCTATGCCCTGCCCAGAAGTTGCAACACGCAGCAGGCGGGCAGACCCAAGTGCCCGCTGGATCCCTTCTTCATTATGCCGGACAAGTGCAAGTGCGTCGACTTCCAGACCCTCAAGCTGCAGGAACTGCCCGACTTTGTGCCCCAGGGCGAGATTCCCCGCCACTTGCAGCTCTTCTGCGATCGGTCGCTCTGCGAACGCGTCGTGCCCGGCAATCGGGTGCTCATCCAGGGCATCTACTCCATTCGCAAGGTGGGCAAGCCCTCGCGCCAGGCTGGTCGCGAGAAGGCCGTCGTTGGAGTCCGCGCCCCCTACATGCGAGTGGTGGGCATCACAGTCGACTCGGAGGGTGCGGGTGCCATCTCCCGCTACAGCAACATCACCAGCGACGAGGAGGATCAATTTCGACGCATGGCCGCCTCCGGGGACATTTACGAGCGTCTCTCCCAATCGCTGGCACCCAGCATCTTCGGTTCGCGGGACATCAAGAAGGCCATCACCTGCATGCTCTTTGGCGGATCGCGCAAGCGTTTACCGGACGGTCTGTGCCGTCGTGGCGATATCAACGTCCTGCTGCTGGGAGATCCAGGTACTGCCAAGTCGCAGCTCTTGAAGTTCGTGGAGAAGGTGGCGCCCATAGCCGTGTACACTTCGGGCAAGGGCTCCAGTGCGGCTGGTCTCACCGCTTCGGTTATGAAGGATCCCCAGACGGTGAGAAAGACCATATTTAAGTACTTGCTTATCTTACTTACTTACTGACTGATGATACATTTTCTCTTAGCGCAACTTTGTCATGGAGGGCGGGGCCATGGTCCTGGCCGATGGCGGCGTGGTCTGTATTGATGAGTTCGACAAGATGCGAGAGGACGATCGTGTGGCTATTCACGAGGCCATGGAGCAGCAGACCATATCCATTGCCAAGGCCGGCATCACGACCACTTTGAACTCGCGCTGTTCGGTACTGGCGGCCGCCAACTCAATTTTCGGTCGTTGGGATGACACCAAAGGCGAGGAAAACATCGACTTTATGCCCACAATCCTGTCCCGTTTTGACATGATTTTCATAGTCAAGGATGTCCACGATGAGACGCGGGATATCACGCTGGCCAAGCATATTATCAACGTTCATCTCAGCTCAAACAAATCGGGTCCTTCGGAGCCCGCCGAGGGTGAGATATCGCTGTCGACGTTCAAGAAGTACATCCACTATTGCCGCACCCACTGCGGTCCGCGGCTGAGCGAGGCGGCCGGCGAGAAGCTGAAGAGCCGCTACGTCCTCATGCGCAGTGGAGCCGGCCAGCAGGAGAAGGCCTCCGACAAACGCATGAGCATTCCCATCACAGTGCGCCAGCTGGAGGCTGTCATTCGCATTTCGGAGTCCCTGGCCAAGATTCGCCTACTGCCATTCGCCAGCGATGAGCATGTGAACGAGGCTCTGCGCCTTTTCCAAGTGTCGACTCTTGATGCTGCGATGACCGGCAGCTTGGCCGGCGCCGAGGGATTCACTACTGAGGAGGACCAGGAGACATTGAATAACATCGAAAAGCAATTAAAGCGCCGCTTCGCTATTGGATCTCAAGTTTCGGAGCAGAACATTCTGCAGGTAATTATTAAATTGTATTGTGAAGGTACAAGCGGCTTTGCTTACATGTCATTGTTTTGCAGGACTTTTTGCGTCAAAAGTATGAGGAACGCACGGTAATGAAGGTTATTCACACCATGATTCGCCGCGGAGAACTTCAGCACAGGATGCAACGCAAGATGCTTTATCGCATATGCTAACCACTGTTATTCACATAATTATTTACCAATCGTTGAATGTTTCATCAATCGTTCGTCATTTTAATTGTATCTTCATTTATATTGTTAAGAAACCCATACATTCTTTCAACATATGAGACAAAAAATAAACAAAACTTAAATCTATATTTATTATTACAATCAATCTATTGAATTTTAACAAGACTGGCATTTTGTAATATGTGTTATATCATCAATAACACTTTAGTCTTTCATCTTTAAATGTAATTATTGTTCTGCTAATTGTTTAACAAATGTTTTAAATGACGTTCTTAATTTTATAGTGCTTGTGGGAAACCCTATTTCAAGTGCATAAGTCAGCCAAGCCGGCATAATATTTTTACATAAATATCCATGATTGTTTACATTTAAAAAATGAGATTATAAGCAAGATCCCAATTTTGTTTGTTGATGATGCTTGAACAGAAACAGATAGACCCTTTGGTCGGCCCACAATTTTCCGCACAAACCGACAATTTCGCTCTACATTCGGCAGTGTTTGCCTACGTCATTCGGACAAATCACAAAAACCAATCATATTACCTTGGCCGTTTGCCAAATTTTTAAAAATATTTTTCCCTCTGTTTGAGAACGTTTATTACTTCCTTTTATACAAAACTCAATTAGTATATTTGCGCATGCACATCAACTTACATACCTACGATCGCTGTGATGTACTGAATATGTGCACAAATTTTCAAAAATACGTAAGCGTGTTACGTACGCTTCTGGCCATTTAAATACAATGGCGAATATAAGCGTTTCAAATTTATGAATTTCCGGAAGGAAATCTTTACAATCTTGTTTACCACAAAACAAATATATACATACATATATCTGCGAAATGACTGTAGTATTTTAAGCGAATTAACAATAATATTTATTTCATATACATTTATTTCCAATGACGCCACTTGGCTGCGTGTTTTAAGGTTCGAAAGACGTCAAAAGATCCCCTACAATTTATAGTGGGAAAATTCGAAACATGTTTTGCCAAGACGTTTTCAAAAAATTCCAGAATATCATGAACTCGAATCGGTGAAAAACATCCAGCTATATAAATAAATATAATTTATTTTGTGACGATAAAATACCGATTTAAACACACACATATGTATGCTACTCGATTCAATAACAATGTGGTACTTTGAACTTTGGCTCGAGCCCAGGGTCAAGTCAATTCAAACATCAAACAATAAGAATTTAATTGAAATTCATATTCCGATATTGATGCACTTGTGTGTTCTGTTCATCTTTTTCAATTACCTCTGCTTCAGTGTCTGCTCATCGTTTCCATTAACAAAGCGATGCACATGCACCGATGTTCCTTTCATTGCCCAGAATACAGAATATATGGCTATGGATCTCTGTGTGTATCTAAAAGTTTGCTTTTCATATAAACCAATTTACTCTATTTTTTTTCGCCACCCGCTACGTAAGCCCCCCAACTAACATAAACAATCTCAATATTCTCCAAAATAGTGATTACTGCGTGATGATTTTAGCTCGGCACGATTTGTGCACGAGTCGAAAATTAATATATATCACAATTCAACTATATTACGCAACCGATCACCATTATTATTTGTCTGTTAATTGGGTTGCACATAATTGGGGACCGCTGAGGAAATTAGATAATTGTTTCCAACACGCTTGTATGAATTTTCCTAAAACGAAAAACTCTCGAACGTCATCAGCATCCGTGGATGATTCCTTTGAATGCTCGCGGGAGAGAAGTGGATACCGATACAGATACAAATACAGATACAAATACAGATACAAATACAGATACGGATACGGATACAGTGGCCAGAGGTGTAGATACCAAATGTAAGATACATGGGGCAAGGGGGGCTGTTAGAGCGAATTCGCTGAGTGGGGCCTTTGTTTTGTGAATGAAATTGAAAATGAAAAATTCTCGCCGTATGTACATATGCCAAGCCCGCGTCCGCAGCACGTCAGTACAATTTTAGATCTCGAGCGAGTGAGTTCGGCCGGAAAAAAGAAACACGCAGAGAGGATACCAACCCATGCAATTCGTATTTTTTGGGTAGTAACGCGGATTCAAATTCAAATTCAGCCCACCAGCACCCAAGGAAAACCGAATTTCGTCGCAGTGCAGCAGAGGATCATGTACATTTACCCGAGCTCCCCGGAATCAGCATCGTCCTTGCAGTCCGAAGAGAGTGCGGCCATCAAGATCCAGGCCGGATTCCGTGGCTATCGAGTGCGCAAAGAAATCCACCGATCCAACAAGTCAAACAATCCCCATCCGCGAAGAAATCAGCGCCAGCGGTCCAAGAACAACGCCCTCATGGAAGGCCAGGGAAATCCACCCCGCCCCACTGGTGGCGATCAGCAGGCGAGTTCGGAAAATGGTGGAAAATCCGTAGAGGATCGCAGTGCCACCAAGATCCAGGCGGGATTCCGGGGATTTCTGGTGCGCAAGAAGCAGAAAATCGCCACTGATGCGGCCGTTAAAATTCAGGCTGGCTTTCGGGGATTCAAAACCCGCAAGGAGCTGAAGCAGAGCGAACCCATTGTGTAATGGGCGTTGTTCCACAATCCTGATGTCTACTGTACATACGAATATGTGTATTCAAAGCTTGCTGTTGCACAGCAATGCGTTAAACCTACCGTTTAGTTCAATACGTGTCGTGTAAATAGTTTAATATTAACTGATTAATTGATAGCTTCCACAAGAATAAAATACTCTTACTCAAGAAACCGCATCTTGAAAGACAACACTATCCATTAACGGAAGCAATTTGTTTGTTTTTTTCTGTAGGCCTATTTTTGGTTCACAGTACTGGCTGCTGTATGTACATATATGCCATGAGTACAGTGAATAAACATTTCATTAATCGAGCACACAAAGGATTGGAATTTTCCAATTTGGAAAACATCGAATGCTAGTTGTAATGACTTTTCAACGATTTATATTTGAAATAGCCCCCCAAAAAAGAGCTGGCCAGCGACAATATTCATTATTTAGTACATAGTGCACACCCATCTCATAAATCTGTCAAATCCGTTAAATGTTTAGAACAAAAGTGGCAGCCATCCGCTCATCCACGGGCCGTTTGAACATTCAGTTCGTTGAAATTCAGGAAAATAAATGCTATGATCTACTCCCGGAAGCCTTTCCGCTTGTTTGATAACAAAAACATTCTCGATTAAATATATATTTTATTTAGATATAGTTCAGCGTTGATACTTATAGACTTGTTTATACCTTACTTTCGTTTGTTTGCCTCGGCGCTTTTTATACGTTTTCGCATGTGCTTGGGAATAACTCTGAAAACCTCGCAATCAATTTGTACGGGCATGGAGTTTTGCCTCATTTTTAACCACTTCAACTCCATGTCGGGTTTCGATTTTGAATCACCTAGAAAATAAAGAACAAAGTAAATAAATCTGATAAAAAATGTGTCTTTAATAAGAAAAATGAGGCAGTTGGTTCAACAGTGAGTTCCAAATAAATCACAAGTACTATAATACGATGGGGAAAAGTCTAAAGGAGGTTTATTCCGTTTTCATCAGATTGAAAAACTAAATATTTCGTTGCATACTTTGGGTCATTGTTTATAATCATAAAGATGTATGAGGACCAAAAAGTATATAACAGGGTTTTATAGAATATCATAAAATTTAATTAAGATTTTATTGGATCTATTATTGACCACACCCAAAAATAAAAGATAGTTTAAATAAATGTGTCTTGGTAATAAACTGCAGACAGTATTAAAATATAAGTATTCATTCAGTACTTAATAATACTTTTCTATAGTCAAAGGCCTTATTTTTAAACCACATAATTATTTTCTTTAGACCTTCGTGGTATTAATTAAATATTTATCTTATTGAGAAATTTATCATACCCAATAGTTTAAAATTCATGTAACAATAGTGTAGTTTCTATCACAGTTTTTTATTTGCTGCAGTAAAAACCTACTTACCAACTGTTTTGCTTTTCACAATTTTGGAACTTTTTGGAGCCTGCCCTCCACTGGTGCTCGAACTATTTTCGTCATCGGGTGTAGAGTCATTTCGAAGTGCATCCCCGCGCTGCAGTTTTTGACGCCTGGCGGCCAGGTTGCTCTCCAAGCTGATGCCCTCCATTTTCCGGCTGTGCCCCTTGCGTTTCCGGGTGTGCATGCGATAGGCGGCCTGTATCTTTTTGGCCGCCTCCTCCTCGATGAATCGCTCCAGGGATTCGCTGATCGCATCGTTGCCGAAGGACGCCTTGGTGTCCAAAGTGGATGACTTTGTCCCGGCACTCGCTCTGCGCAATCTTCGCCTGGTGAGAAAGCCACGAGCTCCGGCCTGAATTTTCGTGGCCGCCGAAACAATGGTGGATTCCGTTTCGGTGGATGTGCCCATGGCATCTGCCATGGCCGTGTCTATGTCGAAGTCCTCTGTGCTGGTCTTCCTCGGATCAAAGTAATCGGAATCCGTTTCGGACAACGAATAGGCCATCATCTTCTTGCGAATGTTCTCCGATGTTTCGTCGTCCAAACAGAAACTATTGCTGCTGTTGATGGCCATATCTTTTTCACCGATCTCCACATAACTCAGCGCATCATCAATGGTCACGGATCTGAACAGACCCCTCGGATCGTCGCCAGCGATAGTGTAGTGCCGCATTAAGTGCCCTCTTCCGGACTCCTCCTCGTTGAGCTGGATCGTTTCAGCTTCTGCCTCGCCAAAGACCACCGAGTCACTCTGGGCAGAGCTTTCACGGGTTTCTTCCCGCTGCAGTCGATTGTAGACGATAATATCGCCATCCTCGATATCCAGGCTGTACTGTTCCTGCAGGGAACTCATGGGTCGCACTACGGGCTCATCAAAACTGGGTGCTGCCGAGGGCAGTCTGTCCTGTGACTTGGACTCTTTCATCTGCGACATTTTCTCAATCACCTCCTCGGGTTTGGACAACTTGACGGTTGCCTTGTCGATTGTATCCGCCGAAAGTGTCTCTAAGCCAGTAGTTTCAGATACTGAAGAATCTGTATTTTCAGCCTTCTGACTGACAGTTTCTGGCTCAGATTCACCTTCGGAAAGAAGATTCACCAGTGAAGCGGATTTCTTTACACAAGGTTCCTCTATAACTTCATCTGGTTGAAAAGGTCTCTGCCTAGACGAGTACTCAATTTCATTCTCCAGAAAATTATTAACCAATTCTTGAGTTGAAGCAATATCTAAAGCTAAATACAAAATGTTTTACTAGAGATATGCACAGCAAAGTACTTATTTCAAACTTACACTGCACGATACCACCGAAATCGGATTGCGATTGAAGTAGGGGATCCTCCACTGAACCAAGGCCAGCTTCAGATGACTCTGTCAAACCTGCTAAACCAGAAGAGACTGCATTATCCTTTTCAGATGCACTGCCTCTCGAACTCTCATCGATTTTCGAACTGCTAATACCGGGAGTTAATTTGGATTCAAGCGAGCCATGCATTCTATCTACGGTTTTAACTGATTCTACTTGCGTGCTGGTGTTGAGCTCAGTTTTACGAGTGATTGCAGCTGGATCCGGATCGGTTTCTACCCCACGATGTTCCTCAACGACTCCCTGGCTAGGTACTATGCGAGTTGTTCCCACAAACCACTCGGACTTCTGGCTGATCCTCGGCGCATCTTCGCCTGGTTCATCGTTGGCTTCGTGCACCAAACTTTCTACAGGTGTTACAGCAGTTGGGTAATTGGATGTTTCTATGGCTGTTATTCGGGAGCTGGTTATCGAGTCAAAGGAGCTCTCATCAAAGTTTTCAAGTTTTTTTCGTTCCATATATTGTCTGAAAGCTCTTTGAATGACAAGAGCTGCACTGGCCTCACCGTCAAGTTCATCATTTGATGAAGAAATCGAACTGGAAATAGTTTCCACAGGAGTCTCTACTCCTTGAAGTCCATCTGAATGTAATTCAATAATGATCTCAGGTTTTTCTTGAGATGAGAGTTCATTTGACTGCACTTCAATTCTGATCTCGGGTGTATCTTGAATTGGAGTTAAATATGCTTCCGCAGAATTCTCTAACTTTTGAAATAATTCCTCCTGTAAATCTTTAGTAATTTCTGGATTATTGGCAGATTTTAGACTGGAACCATCTTCCGCAGGATTCTCAATTGCCTGCAGTTCCTCAGCTACCAATTCCGCAATAATTGCTGATTCATCTGATGATTTAGACAAAGAAATCGAACTTAAACTGTCTCTCAAAGACATTAATTCTTTAATTTCGTTTGGTTGGTCAGCTAATTTTAAAGTTGAATCGACTTTAGCAGCATTTTCCTTTTCTAATTCGTCTACTTTTAACTCTTTTGTTATTTCTGGATTATCTACTAGTTTAGGAGTATGAGTTGGACTTAAACTAGCTTCCGAAGGACTCTCTGTACTCTTAAGATCTTCAGATTGCAATTTACTAATCATTTCTAATTCATCGGATGATTGTGGCAAATGAATAGGACACGAACTGTCTTCCAAAGAATGTTTAATTACTATGATTTCATCTGACATTAGTTCTTTCATTTCTTTTGGTTGGTCCTCTAATTTTTGAGCTAAATTGTCTTTCGTAGGCATTTGTGCTTCTAATTCGACTGCCTTTAATTCTTTTATAATTTCTGGGTTATCTACTAATTTTGGAGTGTAAATTGGACTTGAACTAGCTTCCGAAAGATTCTCTGTTTCCTTTAGTTCTTCAGACTGCACTTCATTAATAATTTCTGGTTCCTCGTATGATAACTCATCCTTCAGTTCTTTAATGACTTTTGGTTGGTCGGTACAATTTGACAATTCAATTTGATTGGAAATTGTTTTCATTACGTTCTCTAAATCGTGTTGATCTTCTGTTTTCAATTCTTTCATAATTTGATTTAAGCTCAAACTAGCACTTAAAGGTTTCTCCATATTCTGTAGTTCTACAGATTGTTGTTTACAACTCGTTTCTTGTTCATTGGATAATTTCAATTTGGAAGTTTCGTCATCTGAATTTAAATCTTCTTGTAGCTCTTGTGGCTGTAATTCATTTGTCATTGCTGGTTTATCGGATAATTTAAGATACCTTCTGTAGGCTCGTTGAATTTTACCGGCTGCTTGATTTTGCTCAAATTCTAATTTATCTGAGGGTTGCAACTTGTTACGCTCGGTATTATTCCTCTGAAAATATTTTCTAAATGCCTTTTGAATAACAAGTGCAGCACTATCTTCTTTTTTAATTTTATTTAATTTTTCAGTTTCAGTTTCTCTTTCTGTTGTTTTCCCCACATATTTTCGATAAGCCCTCTGAATTTTCTTTGCAGCAAGACTTTCTTTTGATTTCTGGGAATCTCCTAAGGACTTTTTCATTAAAGAATCCCGAATCCACTTTTGTATTATTTTAGCAGCTTCGTTTTGCCTTTCCAAATCTAATTTATTGTCTTGTTCACTCTTTAAAAAACGTTTGCTTTTCAACCGACTGTAAGCCCTTTCTATAATCTGTATAGATCTTGTTATATTTATAATGTCGGTTTTATAGGCTGATTCAAAATGCTCAGTCTCTCTTTTCGTGGATTTTGTTAATAGCTTTTCATCGCTTTCTTCAGTTTTATTTTCCACTTCAGCTTTTCCCGAATTACTTTCGATTTTATTTGTATTTTCTTCGGACGAATCTACCGTTTCTGGTTCCAAAGCTGAATTTTGATTTGTAGATTCTGGGGACTGCTCATTTTCATTATCAAGTTCCAATATGGTTTGAAGCTTGGTTCCTCCTGTCTGTTGGTACTCGGGATCGCCCTCCGAGACTTCAATGACTTCAATTTCCTCTTCGTTGGAATCAAAATCATACTCTAATTGAGCAACATCTTCTTTAGTTTCTATTTTTGATGGATCCCGAAACTTTTTTGGTATTTTGTATTTGGGTTTTCCATCATCAGAGTCGAATGAAACGAAAAATGAAACAGAGTTCTTAGCTTTTGGTACAACGGTTTCTACGATTTCTTGGGGTGTATAGTAACTCGCAACTCTTTCTGCGATAGTAGTAGGTTCTTCTACACCTGAAGATGCTGGTTGGTCTGCCTCAGTTTTGGTAGCTTGAACCGGGACTGAATTATTGCCCGTATCCTGATCCGAAGTCATCTTGGGCTCCACATAAATATCATACCAGGCGCCATCGTCGTTGGGAGTTTTGAATGACTTGAGCTGCAGCTCAGCTATGGGTGTGGGTACAAGTCGTCCCGAAGTTAAGGTGCCAATATCTTTATCTTTTACACTAGGGCTAGTTAACTTCTTGGTGTTTTTTTCAATCTCAATATGGTTAGTAGGTAAATTTTGGGTGCCAATTAATTGATTAGTTACAAGCAATGAAGATTTTTTCTGCTAATTTAAAAACAAATTTAAAAGGTTTTCGATTCTGATTTCTTACCAGTAATTACATCGGGATTTGGGGCAGAAGGGGACTCCCTCTTTGGTTTGGATTCTTCAGCTTTAATGCAAAAATACTGTTTAAAAGGATCAGTAATCTTAGTTTTTAGCTCACTTATTGTATCCTCCGCAACATCAGGGCTATTTTTTATTAAATCTGTAGAATCGTCTTTTTGTTCCACGTGTAAGGTATCGGATATGCCAGATTTGGTTGCTGGTCTTGGAGAATCGTCTTCGAGGGCAACTATATGATCTTCATCTGGCTCCTTTTTCTCCAAACCCGGTTCTGATTCTAAGGATGCATTGATTATTTATACAATAAATAACAATGAGTCAACGTCTTACTTGTTTGATCAAGACTCTCTTCATTACCGACCTCTTTAGTAGTATTAATAGTGTGTTCAACAATGGAATCAGACTCAAGGATTTTATTAGCTAGAGTTATGATAAAAAAGTAGAAACATTATTTAGAAAAGAATGTAAATATATTAATTGTAAAATTACTACCTTCTTCATCTGGAAGTGCAGTCTCGATTTTTTCGGAAGATTCCACTGGAATGAAAAAATTATTGAAAATAAAAGCATTAATATGTAAATAACTAATTGGAAGATAGTTGATAGTAATTGTACTTACACACTGCATTGGCTGTGTCTATCATAGACATTACACCATCATTAGACTGTGATAGATTTTCAACACCTTCCTCGCTGTTTCTATGACTATCAAATGTTTCACAAGGCGATTTTATTTCTTGTGAAGTTGATAATACTTTTTCTGTGAAATAGAAAAATTAGTCAACGATTAAATCTATACAACTTACGTAGCACTCACCCAAACTTTCAGATCTTTCATTAGCAGAAGGTTCGTATTTTTCTTGTTCCTCTGGTGATTGGGTATAGAAAAAATTTAAAAGCTTAGATCGGTCTTAAAAGTTTATAAAGTTTTATAAGGAAACATACCTTTAGCAACTTCAGGAACATAACTATCTAATTCCGAAGATTCATTCTCTAATTTACCTTCTTTTACTTGTTCAGTTGCGGGTTTAATTGTTGAAGTTATTTTATCCGATTCTTCATCTTCAAGTTGTAAACTTTTTGATTGTTCAGTTAAGATTTTATCTATTTCCTTAGATTCGTCCTGTTGTTTACTGTCTTCAATGTGCATTGATTTGGATTCCATTAGTAAAGTTTCTTTATCCACTTGTTCGTCTTCAGATCGTGAAATTCCTGATCCTTCAGTTGGAACTTTAGCTGGAATTTAAAATTCATTAGAAACCGATTTTTAAAGAAATTATGCAATTGCTTACTATCGGCAATGACAGAGTCTTCAGCACTGGTTTTTATACTCTCTTGTAGTTTGCTGTCCTTTAAGTGCATTGTATCGGATTCAAATGGTACAGTTTCTTTATCTAATTGTTCGTCTTCAGCTTGTGAAATATTTGCGCCTTCAGTTGTCACTTTAGCTGGATTTTAAAAACCATTATTAACTTAGATTCAAAGAAATAAAGCCAATACTTACCATCTGTAATAATAACATCTTCAATACTGGTATTTATACTCTGTGTGGGTGCATTTGCGTTGTTCGTTTTAATTTCTTCATTGGCTTCCTTGTTTTCAGTTTGGGTGTCAGATAGCTCTGCATTGAGATATAAATACAATAGGATTAAATAAAACAATTACAAATTTTTTGGCAATTTATTTTCTATTATTGAATATCCTATATTTAATTGCTAGACTTACCAGAATCATTTTTTATCGACTCTGAAATGTCGCGTTCCAATAATGTAGCTTAAAATTGAATATTGTTTAATAACTAATATGCATTGAAAAGAAATTACGTACTTGCTTGAACTAAAATTTCTTCTACACTATCATTTATATCTGTAGCGGCGATTACATCTATTAAAAATATTAATAAAGTTTATTAGACACGAAATTAAATTGTTGGTTTTATTTTGTTAATTCTCTTTTTAATTCGATACTTACTAGTGATTGAAGAATCAATTCCATTTGGCTTCACTTTTTCCTCCGCCCCTTCAACAAAAACACCAAAATTATGAAATTCAGCCTTGGCTCCTTCTGAATTATTAATAATAGCAATTTCACCTTCAGTTGGAGAAATCTTTTCAGTTTCTAAACTTTCAGATCCTATTAGTAAAGTCTCCTGGTTTGAAAGCTTTTTAATTTCCATTTCTGTTTCATCTGGTACCAGTTTTTCTGGAATAAAAAACATAGGATATAGTGGTACATATAATATTTTAATTACTTACCTAATGAATGGTCTGATTTATTTAAACTGTTTTCAACATTTTTATCCAATTCATAAGATTCGCGTTGGGCTAAATTTTCAAGGTCTTCCTCATTAGCTTTTAAGTCATCAAATATTTTACTTTCTCGCTCAGCCTCAACCCCTGTAATTGTTTTTATAGTAGTTTGTTATTATTTATAAAAAATTTAAAACATACTTGACAAATCGGAAAATTCCCCAATAGGTTCATCTTCGATTTGGGAATTATCTGTCGTAATATCTGTTCTTTTTGCCATAATTTCCTTACAATCGTTGATCGGATCATCTAAAAAAAGAGATTTAATAGAAAATATGTTTATCTTATCTTATTTTCCTTTTTATCTTACCAGCTTGGGCAGGAATGTCCAAAGAGCTTTCTTCACTCATCGGCTTGAGTACTTCCTCCAAAGATTCTTGTACATTGTTTGTCACAGTTTCAATACTTTCCAGAATTGTTTCATTTTCTGCATTAGGTTGTGTTCTAGGAATTTCCTCCGTTGCTGAAATAGGTTCCGATGATTCGCCTAACACTTTGTCGTTATTTATCTGAACTTCATCCTGAATAATTGGCTTCAAGTTTTCATCCCTTTCATTTTGGAGAACGAAATCACCTTTTGTCAACGGCTCATGACTTTCCGACTTTGACTGAATACTTTCTTTGTCTTCAATACTTCTCTTTTCTCTAGACTTTGAAGAAGGTTTATTTTCTTGTTCAATGGAAGCGTCCTTTTCAGAAAGCGTACTTTTCAACATAACTGATTCTTGATTTTTGATTGGGACTAGCGCGTCTGTAGATGCTTCAAAATTCATTTCACTTGAAGATTCTATGGGTGATTTTGAAATTAGTAATATGAATTTGCTTAAGACTATATGGTTTTAAATACCTTGCCCACGAACATTATGATTGACCAAAACCGACTTTAAGCTTTCTATTTCAATAGTGGGCTTAACACAAGACTCATCTGCCAAAAGGTCTATATCGCTTAAATCCTTTGCTGAATCAACTGTTGAATAAGAATTTTTAATTATGATTAATGTTTTGATCAATGTTACATACCATTAGTGTCGGGTTGAGTTAAAATGGAATCTTCTAAAATATCTTTTACATGTTCAATTTCAATCGAAACAGCTGGAGAAACGGAAACTTCGGTTTTACCTGTAACTTCTTGTAATTCGCTTTCAGATCTTATATTTTTTGGTATCTTAAATATTTCATTGGTTTTGTCTTTTTCGTCATTTGGCTTATCTTCCAATGGCTTATCTTCCAATTTATCAAAAGAATCTTCCATTGTTTTTAAAGCATGTTCTATTAAATCATTATCGTTTTTCTTAATTTCTTTAGCCAAATTACTGTCTGAAAATCCGTCATCTTCCCGCTCAACAAGATCTGTGCCTTCGTTTTCCTCAAGGTTTTTTGTATCGATATCTTTTATAGAGAGTTTATCTTTAAGCCCAACTTGAGTTTCCGATTCTTCATCAAAACTGACTTTAAAACTTTTAAGATCAGCTTCTTTTTCGGACTTGAGTTCTTCTTCGTCCCTTTCCGTATTAAATCCGGTTTGAGCTGCTGATTCTAGATCTAAGCTGGCTTTATTTGTTTTAATTTCAGGTTCTAGAACTTGACTAGCTATATTTTTGTCAGCTTCAACGCCAGGTTCCATGGAAATCTCGTCAACTACTTTTAAATCTATTGATTCGTTTGTAAAACCCTTAATATTTTCTAGTTCCGTAGGTATCATCTCTGCATCTCCTTCTAAATCTTTTGATTCCTTATTAAAGTCCTTAATATTTTCCAAATTGGGTTTACAAATCATGTTTTCGATTAAAGCACCACTAAGGATTTCTGAAAAGTAATCAAATGTTATCCATTAAAACACGATAAAATTAAGAACATTTGATTACAGGAATGTATTTTCATGAGAAAACAATGGTTAACACTAGTTAATTACCGCTTTTCCTTTGTTGTATCGATTTTTCTGCTCCTTTAATGGGTTCTGTGAAATACTCCTTCTCAAGGCCGACATCAACGTTATTGTTCTCCACTTCCTCGTCCTCGTGAATAATTTTTTGATGGACTCGTTCCTCGTAATTGGCGATGCCCAGCTCGGTGGACTCCGTGGAGAGGAGTGCGGTGGAGACGGATGTGTAGGATCCGGTCTCGGAGGCATTGTCGTTGAGCTCCTCGCCTTGATCGGCAGCCGAAGATGCACTTCTTTGGGGCCTGTGTAATGCTACCATCCTCCTGAAGGCTCTCTGGATGACAATGGCGGCTGTTGCTAAGGATACTGGGCCGTTTTTCAATCGATTATGCTCCTGTTTCTTTGTTAAATATATGCGATAATGTCGCTGTATGACGACAACGGCTTTCATATAGTCGGCAGTGTTAAATTTAGCATTGGGTTTTGGTGCGTCACGTGAATTTTTAAGTTTCTCCACTCGCTTCTGGGCCAAAAGGCGACGCACCTGCCTTTGAATCAAAAGAATTGCGGCCACATATTCAACGCTGTTGCATTTATCTTTCTCTCGTGCTATATTCCGCTGCTTGAGATATCGGCGAAAATTTCTCTGAATAATGACAACCGATTGCAAGTAGGAAATGCTGCTGGAAAATGTGCTTTGATCGGCCTCAGCTAATTTGGTGTCTGTATATGCGGATGCCGTGTTTTCCCCGTCCTGAGTTTTCGCACTTAGTGTACGACCACATTCACAGGTTACCTTCGATACTGGAGCTACGTTTTCTTTGTCCTTTAATGACTTTTCGTATGTCGAATATTTGCTGTACTCAATGCGACCCGACTTTTCCTTGGACATCCTCTGAAAGTACTCCTGCGCGAATATGTATATATTCTCTGGTTTTTCCTTTAGAACTGCCTTTATAAATTGTTTGATTAGATCGGTCAGTTTTTCGGGGATTATATTGAACACAAGGGACAGAGGGACCTGCTGACGAATTCGGTTTTTCATGATGGTTTCATAAGTTTGCACCGGTTCGTATTTGCGCACCATTTGGTGTGACTTTTCACCAACAATCACGTTGAAAAAGTTGGCCGAAAAGCCATACAAGTCAGCCGGCTTTTCACGTAACACCTCCTTGGTGTACACCTTCATCAGATCCCGCAGACCCTCGGGAACCCTTGGTAAACTCGCAGCCGTCATTTTAGTATATCAAGCACCACCATGCATGGCAAAATGTTGAATCAATACTGACCGATGAAGGTGTCCGAATGTGCCTGGAAACCTAGCTGGCCAAAAGTTGCCATGTCAACACCTTTGGGGCCACAACATATCATTAACTTGTTGCTTTAACAGTTAGTGGGGAATTTTATATTAAATATTGGGGCCTATTCTTGGATTCTATAAATATACATAAGTGTGTACATATATCTTAATAAAAGAAGTATCTATAATGACATTTAATAACTTACAAGGGTTACTGATTATATCTCTCAAAATAAATTTGGTTACATATAATGATATTTTTCATAAGAAAATAAGAAATTGGAGAACAATTTATTAAGGTCTTTATTAAGAAAGGTATTTCTGAGTAAAATAAATGTTTCTGGATCTAAGGTTATTACTAGCTATTTGTTGTCCTTTTATTATTATTGTGTACTTCTCGAGAACTAGCTTAAATGCTTAAATTTATTTTGCCATTGAAAAATGGTTAGACCGCTGGTCAACTAAACCTTTGCGAGGCTAAAATTGTTTTTAATTCATTGACGGCAGTCTGACCGCATCTCAAATTCCACTGATAGTTAAATTCAATTCACGCGAAATGCGCTCATTAATTTTGTAAAATGCAGCCGGCATGCAAACCAGTCTCAAGTTTAAACCCTAAAGAACCTTATAGCAACAACAACAATAGATTAGTGGGTGCGCAAAATAAAAACACGAACAGGGAATAATCTATGATCGCTGAAAAGCGATTAAGTTGCGTTTAAATCAAATGCGGGTAATTTGCCACTTTCATTGGTAGCCGGGAAATTGCTATCTATTTTGGCAGTTGCCAATCGCTGGACAAACTGAACGGACATGGACAACACGACGGCCGCAACGGCCGCAAAGGGAGTTGGAGTCGGTGTGGCGAGGAATCATAGCAATTATGTGATCCCCGGACTCTATGACCTCTCCGTGGAGGACACCAACTGGGTGCTGACCTCCTCGTTCATCATCTTCACTATGCAAACCGGATTCGGTATGCTGGAATCCGGCTGTGTGAGTATCAAGAACGAGGTGAACATCATGATGAAGAACGTGATCGACATCGTCCTGGGCGGCTTCACCTACTGGCTGTTTGGCTACGGCATGAGCTTTGGCCGTGGGCCACTCTCCAATCCCTTCATCGCCATCGGCGACTTCCTCCTGGATCCGCCGGTGGGCGATGCCCTCATGGGCCAGATCTTCGCCGCCTTCCTGTTCCAACTGTCGTTCGCCACCACGGCCACAACGATTGTCAGCGGCGCCATGGCAGAACGGTGGGTAATTAATACTTTTTAGAAGAATATTCCCTATTCAATAGTTTCTAAAAAAAACGTATTATTATCATTATTATTTGTTACTCTTTTAAATCGTTATAAGATTAAATTAGGGGAAAGGTCTGTCAGTTGAGAAAGTCCAGTATTTTGACACCGTCTTGTTGGTTGATCAAAATTCAAAGGGTCAAGGTCGTATTTTGGGGCCAACCAATAGTGCAATTTTAATATTTCGAGAGTAATTCCGAAACTGAAAAAGTTAACATTTTTCATGTGCGTGCTGAAACTATTTTCATTCATAAAGAAAACGTTAATTTTCAATAAAACATAACTTAAAGACAATAAAAATTGCATATGTAAATCGTTTGAAATTTTAGTAGTGCATTTATGGGTAAATATTTGAAAATTATAAAGTGTTCCAACTAGAGAACCAAATTTTAGATTGCTCATTTTTTAACACTTTTTTGAGCATCCAAAACTCCATCACTTTTTCAGAATGGGACTGGACCAGATCATGTATTTTGATGCGAAATATTGATAATATGATAAACTTCGCCATTGTTATTTTTAATCATCGCTAGAGATCAAAATCAAAGCTTGTCCCGACCTACGAACCTTTTCCTTATCATCTATTTTGGTACACTTAGTAGATCTTCTTAAAACTTCGTCAATTTGTAATGAGATCAGAAATTAAAATTTTTAATTTACTAAGCCTCAAATTTTTTACTTAAAAACTTTTTTGCTATTATATACATTTTTATAAAATTTGTTCTTTAAAGTTTATTTTGACAATGCACAAGAAGAATTTTCAGAGGATAACTTTAATTCTTTAAGTCTTTAATTTTAAGCCATTTTGTTTAATTTGGTTAGCCTATAGGTTAAAATTTAATATATTTATAAGTTGCCGTTGGTGATTACTGAAGTCTTAAAGATGAAAAGTAGTGCTTGCTTAACCTTTTTTTTTAATGTTTTGAGATCTATACAAAGTACGTTTGAAATTTCAGGTGCAATTTCAAGGCGTACTGTCTGTTCTCGTTTCTAAACACCGCTGTGTACTGCATTCCTGCTGGTTGGGTTTGGGGCGAGCACGGATTCCTGAACAAGTTGGGCGCCGTGGACATTGCGGGCAGTGGACCTGTGAGTTTTAATCATTTTAACTAAATGATCAAGTTAGTAATAAATAATTGCCCTTTTTAGGTGCATTTGATTGGAGGAGCCTCCGCCTTCGCTTCGGCCGCCATGCTGGGTCCACGTCTGGGTCGCTACTCCGACGGCTATGATCCGCTGCCCCTCGGCAATCCGGTGAACGCGTGCATGGGCTTGTTCGTCCTCTGGTGGGGCTGGCTGGCCTTCAACTCGGGCAGCACCTACGGGGTCAGTGGAGCCAAGTGGCAGTATGCGGCCCGAGCGGCAGTAATGACCATGATGGGATCCTTCGGCGGTGGATTCACCAGCTCCATGTAAGTTATAGGTTCTTATGATTACTGATTTGGAGGTAAAGTGTTATTTTGAGCTAGCTTCTCAACTAGGTTCAAATAACCCACTATTGTTTAAAGTAATTGTGCTTAGCCTGGCCTCACAAAAGTTTTATGACTGGAGGTGTCTTTTGTAAAAACTAATATTTATTATTAAAAATAATTTAAAAAAAATTATAATAATAATGAAAAATGAAAATCGAACTTTTTGAAATTTACACGAACCGTTTGTACATTTTTTATGCTAATTGGGTGCTGATGAGTAAGGTTCGAAACAAACTTATGACCCATCACCTAAGGATTCTACGGTATAGCCAAAATTACGATATTTGTTAATAATTCATCTTATTTATTATAGATTTAAGGTCATTCTATAATTTTAAAAAAGCCAATAAAACCTTTATTATTACTTCATTCAACTTGACTTGCTTTATAAATTCACTTCCTTTCTTTTATGCTTTATAGCCCTACACAAATAATTAAAGAATTTAAAATACAAGTCAAAACATTCATTTTAAAAACAAGTTTTAGACTGCCTTGATTTAAGCAATTGTTAAGCTATTATTTTCTTTTTTACATTATGAATCACTTTTTAAGGGAACTTTGTCATAATGTGGTAAAATAAAACCATTCAAACTTAATTTAAAATTCTATGATTTCACAGAAATTCAAATTACCAACTTAATCAGTGATTTTCAAAACCTTTAGTATATGCCCTCCTCCACAGATACTCGTTTTGGCGCCATGGCGGCGGCATGGACATCATGGACCTCATCAACGGGGTGCTGGGCTCCCTGGTGTCCATTACGGCCGGATGCTTCCTGTACCGCGCCTGGGAGGCCCTCGTGATCGGAGCCATCGGCTCGCTGTTCTGCGTCCTGGCCATGCCGCTGTTCGATCGCATGGGTGTGGATGATCCGGTGGGCGCCAGTGCCGTGCACGGCGTATGCGGCATCTGGGGAGTGATCGCAGTGGGACTTTTCGCCGACAATCCCATACCGCTGGACACGACCAATGGACGTAGCGGATTGTTCAAGGGCGGCGGCTGGTATCTACTCGGGATCCAGACACTCTCGGCCTTTTGCCTCATCTGCTGGGGCATCTGCTCCACCTTCCTGCTGCTGTATGTGATTAACAAGATCATACCCATACGCATGGATCCGCACGAGGAGTTGCTTGGCGCCGATCTCACCGAGCATCGGATTCGTCACACCCAAATTGGTTTGTCTCGTGCCATCTCGGCCTTGGCGCCCATCAAGGTGGATCTGAAGAGTGTGGCCGGCATCCAGCCCATCGGCATTAATCCCGGCCACGAGCGCAGCCTCGATCAGCTGAGGGCTGCGGAGGACAAGCTACAGCAGTGGCAATCCTACCTGGATCAGGTGAGTGCTCCTCGGGGCCACTTGAATATGAACGCCGGCCAGACGCACGCGGACATCACCTTCAAGCCACGGACGGCGGGAAACGTCTTCAGTCGGCGACTCCCCGCCCGGAAGAGCATCAGTGGTGGCCTGTACAGGTCCAACAACAGCGAGTTACCCGTAATCGGTCAGGTTCACAAGTTGGAGAAGGACCCCAACTTTGCCTGGGTGGATTAGGGCCCACCAATGGCAGTGTCTTAGTCACACATTTTTAGAGATTTTAAAGCATTACTTATTCATGTACGTGGCTAAAATATAACCCCAACAAAGCAATCTGACGAAATAAGGTTGCACAAATTGCTTTTATCTCTAGAAATTTCTAAATTCTTTTGTTACGTTTAATAAAGTTTGCAGTGACTAATCGTTAACAAAGAAATAAACGCAGAAATAAACTTCGCTTTTAAAGCTAAAAAAATGAAAATTAGAAAAGAACTTAATAGGCTTTACTCTCCTAGCCCCACGGTTTGTGATAAGCTTATTTCCTTACAGTTTTGCGTTTTTAAAATATGTAGCTACAAAAAAATTACCTTATCTTTTGGATTGAAAAAAGGAAGAGGTTTTTAAGGCCGATTTAAGCAAAACCTGATGCGATTCCAGCCAAATGTGATTAATACTTTTATTTTAAGCTCTATTGCTTAGGACATTTATTCTCATCGCTTTAAGTTTTTTTTTTGTATCCTAAAATAATAATAAGATATAATTAACTTTTAATTTTTTTTGGTGGAATTAAGGTTTAAAATTTCGACTTTACATGTTTATTTATATGTATTTTTTACTTTTTGTTAAAAGTCCACTTCTAAAAGAAATAAATTGTTCCTCAAAAAATAACATAAATATGATTTGTCTGTCTATAAAAGGAAAAAAATTATCTTACTATTTGTATTACTCAAAAAAGTCTAAAAAACTAACAAACTTACGAGTAAAACATTTTCGAAAGTCCTGATAACACCGAACTAAGCAACTTATGTTCCCTAATCTTGTATTATCAGCCTCTTGTGTTTTTCTCCACAGCACACACATGTCTGCGTCCATTTAAATATGTTTTTATAGACACACATGCTTTATCGAGATAAGATAATGCAATAATAAAACACCAGCAATTGCAATTCTCAAATTAATTTATTGAATTCAAGTACAAGCAAATATTGTTTGGATGATCGATCGATGACAATAATATAATATATATTATTAGGGAGCAGTGTGTTTGGTTTTGTTCTAGTATGAAATTATAATTTATATAAATGAACCTCGGGAGTAGCAGTTGTCATTCGTCCCCCGATTATATTTGAGGGTGTTCAGTTTTGTTTGATGTTTAGAGAGTTTCTAATTTAGAATCCAAGTATTGTTTAAGCAACTCTTCTACTGTTTGGTTGGTATCTAGTTTGGAGAACTGTTACTGTATGGTTGCGTGGGGGGTGAGTGAATGGTTTAGTCGACCTCCTCGATGGTGGGGCCAGCACCGCCGGCTCCGGCAGCGCCAGGGGCTCCAGCCGCTCCGGGCATGCCTCCGGGCATGCCACCGGGCATACCGCCAGGGGCACCACCGGCGCTCTGGTACAGCTTGGTGATGATCGGGTTGCACACACCCTCCAGCTCCTTCTGGCGGTGCTCGTACTCCTCCTTATCAGCCAGCTGGTTGGCATCCAGCCACTTGATGGTCTCGTTGCACTTGTCCAGGATGGTGGTGCGGTCAGAGTCGGCGATCTTGGTCTTCAGGTTGTCCTCGTCGAGGGTGGCCTTCATGTTGAAGCAGTACGACTCGAGGCCGTTCTTGGCGGCGATGGTCTCCTTCTGCTTCTCATCCTCGTTGCGGTACTTCTCGGCCTCGTTGACCATGCGCTCGATGTCCTCCTTGGAGAGACGGCCCTTGTCGTTGGTGATGGTGATCTTGTTCTCCTTGTTGGTCGAACGCTCCAGGGCAGTCACGTTGAGGATGCCGTTGGCATCGATATCGAAGGTCACCTCGATCTGGGGCACGCCACGGGGTGCGGGGGGGATGCCCGACAGCTCGAACTTTCCGAGCAGGTTGTTGTCCTTGGTCATGGCACGCTCGCCCTCGTACACCTGGATGAGCACTCCGGGCTGGTTGTCCGAGTAGGTGGTGAAGGTCTGGGTCTGCTTGGTGGGGATAGTGGTGTTGCGCTTGATCAGCACGCTCATCACACCGCCGGCGGTCTCAATACCCAGCGACAGCGGGGTCACATCGAGCAGCAGCAGATCCTGCACCTCCTGCGACTTGTCGCCGTGCAGAATGGCGGCCTGGACGGCAGCGCCGTAGGCCACAGCCTCATCGGGGTTGATCGACTTGTTCAGCTCCTTGCCGTTGAACAGATCCTGCAGCAGGCGCTGCACCTTGGGGATACGGGTGGAGCCACCGACCAGCACAATGTCGTGGATGACCGACTTGTCCAGCTTGGCGTCGCGCAGAGCCTTCTCCACGGGGTCCATGGTGCTGCGGAACAGATCGGCGTTCAGCTCCTCGAAACGGGCACGGGTGATCGAGGTGTAGAAGTCGGTGCCCTCGAACAGCGAGTCGATCTCAATGCTGGCCTGGGTGGAGGAGGAGAGGGTACGCTTTGCACGCTCGCAGGCGGTGCGCAGACGACGCAGGGCGCGCTTGTTGGTGGTCAGATCCTTCTTGTGCTTGCGCTTGAACTCCTGCACGAAGTGGGTGACTAGACGGTTGTCGAAATCCTCACCTCCCAGATGGGTGTCTCCGGCAGTGGACTTGACCTCGAAGATACCATCATCGATCGACAGGATGGACACATCGAAGGTGCCGCCACCCAGATCGAAGATGAGCACGTTGCGCTCTCCAACGGCCTTCTTGTCCAGACCGTAAGCGATGGCAGCGGCCGTGGGCTCGTTGATGATGCGCAGCACATTCAGACCGGCAATGGTACCGGCGTCCTTGGTCGCCTGACGCTGCGAGTCGTTGAAGTAGGCCGGCACGGTGATGACAGCGTTGGTCACAGTCTTGCCCAGATAGGCCTCGGCGGTCTCCTTCATCTTGGTGAGCACCATCGAGGAGATCTCCTCGGGGAAGAAGGTCTTCTTCTCGTCCTTGTAGGTCACCTCGATCTTGGGCTTGCCGTCAGCGCTGACCACCTCGAAGGGCCAGTGCTTCATGTCAGACTGGACAGCGGAGTCCTCGAACTTGCGGCCAATCAGGCGCTTGGCGTCGAAGATCGTCTGGGTCGGGTTCATCGCCACCTGGTTCTTGGCGGCGTCGCCGATCAGACGCTCCGTATCGGTGAAGGCAACATAGGATGGAGTGGTACGATTACCCTGGTCGTTGGCGATGATCTCGACCTTGCCATGCTGGAACACGCCCACGCACGAGTAGGTGGTGCCCAAATCAATACCAACAGCAGGAGCTTTAGACATCTGGAAACAACGGGAGTGAACTTTTAGTTATTTAATTTTCTTTTACTTTTATAAAAAAAAAAAAAAAAATACAAAAACTGAGCTCAATAAAATGAAAAATTTGTCATGGGGAAAACTGATAATAAAATGAGTCAGCTGCTTTTTGAACACGATAGATAGAAAACACATCGACAGCTGCGTTATGAATTTTGTATAACAAGCACAGAGAAAAACAAAATTAATCTAAATTAAAAATAAATGAAAAAGGAATTTTTAATCAAAACTTTTTGTTGGATTATCTAAATAACGTTTACTAATAATTTTTGGATTAGGTGAATGCACTGCCCAATTATGGCTTAGAGAAGTAGTAATTATAATTAATATATGTATATATTAAATTTATTCAAGTGCATTGCTAATACTAAAATTTTGTGGATATGAAAATAATAATTTCATAATAATCATATCATAACTAAGAAAAGAAGTGGTGTAGAAACCTTCTGTGTAGTTAGGGGTTGTTAAATGCGTTTTCATAACGACCAAGGCAAAGTAGAACACATTTTGTGTTTCCTTGTAAAACCGCCATCTTATTTCGCCATTTACAGCCAGCATTTCGTTGTTAACGTTACCATTTATGCCGTATGTTTATCTCAAACGGGTTGCCGAAATTGGCGAACCACGAGCTGTGACTAATAATGTGCCAGCGATCGGAAGTTTTTTATTTATTAAAACGGCAAGATCAATGCCAGATCGGTTAGGAGAGAGTTATAAATGGCGGCCGACGCAGCTGCTGCCTTCGTTTTTGTGCGAAATGCGCAAAGAAAAAAAAAAAACAAAAAGAAACCGCATGGACAAAGACGAAAATTCTGGAATGCTAAAAACGCAAACGCAAACACACGCGCACGCACACAGTCAAGAAACCACGCTGCCAGGTCATTTTGGAGGGTGATTCGTGCAACGCGCGAGAAAGAGACGACTATTGCGTTGAAAACAGTTTCGTGTGTATTAGTTTTACCCGCTCACTAACACACGTGCTCGTACTTTGGATGCCGGTTGGCAACGTGTTTTCTAGCTAAATATAATTCAAAAACCCGCATAAAGTATAAATTTATGGCCGTTAGAACTATTAATAAACCCATGTTTATCTTAATTATGTCTGGGTGGGAACCTAGCATCTTTCTGAATTGTTATGTGGGAATGATATTAAAAATGAGCATTCATATATGCTGGTGCCTGTGTGCGTGAGGGAAGCCGCACATTTTCTCACTGGAATATTCCAGCAAAAGCGCAGTGACACTTGCAATAAATTAGCAATTACGATGAGTAATTTGGACATTGATTTATTCGGAACACAAAATATAAGCAGCAAGCGCAATGTCAAGACCCCGCATTGGATGACGCAAGTTTTCTCTACACACACACACACACACACACACAGATACAAGGCGTCATTTGCTGCAGTGTGAGTTTTTAAGGCGGCACATTTTCCAGTGGAATATTCCAGATAGGCGTAATCACGTTTTTACTATTAATATGCAATTAGTCAGTTTTTCTGTCTTGTTTCTAGAATTTTCATTTGCTAATTACTGTTCGTTTTTGGAAGAAAAACTTATAAACGTGCTGATGCAAGTATACATGTGTGTGTGCGTGAGTCATTTGAGGTCGTAAGTTCGAGAAGTTTCTTTTAGTATGCAAGTATTGATTAAATAGTAAAACAAACACTTAGGCGACTATATAAAAAAACACGTGGCTAAGCTCTAAACTTTTCTCTAGTTAATTTAATAGAATTGAAAATCACTTTTTATAACAAATAAGTAAACAGTAATAAGCACTTACCTTGTGTGTTGTTTCTTAGAACGTACTAAAATATAACCGTTTAATTGCTACTTCACTTTAAATCTGCCGAGCACCTTCGATCAAACTGGCTGGCGTTTTTTTACAAATACACCCTTATAAATGTGCGGCGGCCTTTTATAGATACATGGCGGTGTGACCGTTGCGCATCGAGCGAAAATAGCATTCAAAATATTTTGTGTGGTGGAGTTTTTGGGGATAATGGCCTTTTCAGACTAGTTGCATTATCGTTTAGCTTACAAAAAGATTATACAACTGCTTACACTACGTTACCTTAGCAAATGAGGAGCATCTCCCAAATTCGGATAAGCCGAAAACCGTTTGAGTGTATTTTTACAAAGGTTTTGTCTTACACCGTTAACAAAGACAATATGGCTTGTACATATTGGATTCTTTTTATTATAAGTTAAACTAAAACTTTGTATTCATTTGTTATATGCAATGAAAAATCATAATTTTAGGATTAAAATTGGTTAAGCCTAGGTGTTTCTTTGAACACTATTTTAAAAATTAAGAAAAGGGCCAAGTGCTTGCTGGCTCTATTTTGTAAATAAAATATTCTTTTCATTATTGAAGTCAGACATTTAAAACCTCGCTCGAGCATTCAAACAATTTATCTCGACTTCCAAATAAAATATCCCTGTCCAATAAGCCTATAGTAGTGGAGGGTAACTCAGCTTATTGAATGGTTCATGTCATTGCTAACAAAAGGAAAGTGGCAACGCTGGCAATGAGTTGTGAAAAAATTCTAATTGACACGCAATATTTTTTGGCGCTCTGGCTGTGGTCACACTAAGTACAATTTAAGAGATTAGTTTATTTTTGTTTAGTGGAACAAATCCTTGCTATAATTAAGATTCCAGCCATAACAAGTGATGTCCGATTGCCAGGATGAATGGACTGCTTAACGAAATTCAGCGCATCGTCGGCGAGATTCAGTCGGGAAAGCCGGCGAGCCGGAGCAAGGGCATCGAACAGCTGGACGAAAAGCTCTCCAACTGCCGGGATGAACTTGTTGCCTTATTTCAAAGCAAGAACTGCGACTTGTCGTGGCCCGCACTCTTCGAAGTATCCAAGGAGGCTCTCATTAAGGTATTTAAAGCATAATCACCAAATATGTCACCATCTGATGCTAACTGTTCCCCCACTAACAGCACGCTGGAAACTTGGAAGATGCCAACGAGAAGTCCTTCAAGACATTGGCGGGAAAAAACTATTTATACGAAAATGTCCTCGAGAAGATCATCAAATTTAACTTGGAAGGTAACCCCTAAGCACTTTGAATGTTTGCATAGCTAAAATGTGTTTAACAGCTGGCTTGCAGACCACCGGAAATGGACACTTTCTGGCCAAGACGAGTATATTCAATGCATTCGAGGAGGGCATCAAGATGCGAGTGGTGGTTAAGTACTTTGGCGACCGCATCATCAGCTTTCTGGACAGGGGCATTTACACCTCGGCAACCTATGTCCGCGAACTAAAGATTAACGAGTACAGCCGTAAGGAATTTCTTGTTTTTGCAACCAGACTTTTGAGCTAAGTTACGTTTTTCAGGCATCCTTTCCTACTTGTTCGAGGTCAATGTGGAGAAGAACGAGGTCCTGCGCACTAGGATACTGAAATGCATCACCAAGACGGTCACCTTGGCAAAGGACCGGGTCCAGTTGCACGCCGATCTAGTTGAATACCTTCCAGAGCTAAAGAGCTTTGCACAACTCGCGAATGGAGCCAGAAAACTGGAGATAGTTCGTCTTTATTTAATTTTTGTCACAGAGGTGAGACAGGAAAAAGTTCTTTAGATTGTTCTTAATTTATCTCCATGTTTTCGTAGCTCTCTGTTAACTACCATCACCAGTTAAGCATCCACATGCAAGAGATCCTGCCCAAACTGTGCGACTTTCACGAAGAGGATGTGTTTCGCGACGACACCAGAAACCTCTTCTTCCAGTGCATCACAAAGTCGCTGCATTCTCTGTATCCCAAGCTGGACAAGTGTGATTTTAATACCCTCGGAGTGGCCCTGCACGAGAAGTGGCCGCAAACGCTATTGCGACTGAAAAGCATCGTCAACGTGGAGATTCGCAAGAACTCTTTGGCCCGTTACAAGACCTCACAACTGAGCAACGACAAATTCTCAGAGCCCTTTATCAAGATGTCTGCTTTGGTCATTTATATTGTAAGCTGAATGCTGTATTAACTAGAATGTGTAATCACCTTTTAAATATTTAGGTTTTGTGGGACTTGGAGTCGAAAAAACCCGATGAAAATGTGGATGGCGATGCACCGAAAAAAGTACCGAAGCCTGCGGATAAAATGGATGCTATATTTGGTCTAATCGACAAAAAGGAAACTACATTCAATGATGTCTGGTTTGCCATCTTCGCAGAGCTGCTCCAACTTAGCAGTGTCATTCTGAACGTGGCCAACTATCAGCAGGCGCTGAGCACAGTGGCGGAAATAATGCAAATTTACGGCAATGCCAAGAACCTGCGGAATCTTCGTTTGTGTTTAGGAAGCCTGCTTACCAAGGAAAAGGAGCTTTTACAGTCGAAATCTATCAAGGAGGACTTTCTGCTTGATACGTGGAGTCAGATCGCAAACCATTTGATATCGGAGACCACCACCAACAGCGAGGAGATCAAGGAGAAGCAATTGGTGCTACAAATGCTTATTAGACATCACAAACTAAATCAGAAGATGGCCACCAGCCTGCTGCACAACATCACCTCCAATGAGTTGCTGAAACGCAACGAATGCTTCGCCACCATTCGTGAGATATTTATTCATGCAGATGAGTGTGGTCAGGACAAGGCCTCCGCGGATCTAGAGCCCATCATAGCGTGGGCTTACGGCAGCGGGGAACGAAACAGTGCCGCCCAGGTGATACACAATATAGCCAGTATAGATGCCCGTCTACAGGCAGACACCTTTGCCATCAGTATCATTAACTTTCTGGACGAGCAGCAAGTGCAAGAGATCTCGTGTCCAGCAACTCTTGCGGTTCCCATTGAACGCAATCTGTTGGCCTACAAGTACAACAAGCAGTTGATTTGCCTAGATACTGACTATGCAGCTCCATTTGTGTCAATCGCCAAATTGCTAAGCGAAACAAAGAACTGTTTGTTTCAGACCAACTACGAGTGCCTCATGCGCGGCCTCAACTTTCAGATTGCCAAGGACAACAGCCCCGCTGCAATTCTAAAGAACCTAAACAGTCTACTAAGATTGGCCTGCACAATGGAGAGGCTTTTGCACTACAAAGTGTTCGATGCGGAGAACTTAACTGGCTGTCCTTTGATCAAGAGAATTGGTCTGTATCTAAGTCACATCGAGGTGGGTGTAATATTGCATAAAATTTATAATTTAAAGCTTTTTTAAGCCTTTCTCTTAGTTCCAGTACAAGGCAAACAGTTCGGAGATGTTGGATGAAAGCGATTTGCGCGAGATTTTGAGGCTACAAAACGAAGTTCTTGAAGTGTTCAGAATGAATTCTGTTCTACTTAGCTATTTGGAGAAACAGCCCATAGAAATGTTGGTGGAATTTGTTGGCGCTGCGCTAAAACTGCATTGTAATAGAATTATAAACCAAAGCATACTATATATGTATATGACTACAATTTAACGTTTTAGGCATGCAGAGGGAGAGATCTGAAAATGCGGACCATACAACAATCACGGCTCAGTGCCTTAACATTTTGGGGGGCCTGTGTGCTTGCAGCTCGCATCGGGATGAAACCTTTGAGCACATCTCGAAGGTGACGATGCGCTGGCATCCCCAAGACGTGCTCATCGTCGCCAAGGTTTGTATATCACCATCTGATAACTATGACTATAAAAGTAACTTCCAAACCCATTTTTAGATGTTGTGTAGCTGCAAGATCATTTCGAATGCATCCATAACTTGGTTAGTGAACAAACTGAAGACAGTTTTCCAGCACCATCATCAGGATCAGGATGTGATCGACAACGTCGTTGACCATATGCCTAGTGAGCTGCGATTCGTGCTTATTTCAAACAAAAACCTAATTAACTTAATTCCTTCCAGCGATTTTCCACTTCGTATGCAAAATTGAGCATCACTTGGATGATATGCTTATGGCCCTTAATTCTTTGCTTAGGATTGCCCTTAAAAAGTCCTACACATCACATTTAACAGCCAAAATTGTGCGTTGCGTGGGTTTGATTGCTCAGCGATGCCCAGACATTTACCAGCTCGAAAACTTTACTGTGATATGCAAGTCCACTGCGAAATTCATCACCATGCCCACTTTGGAGGTGCGCTTTGCCACACTCTTCACATTCAGCATTCTCCTTGAATCGAACTGTGTGACTAGCGATGCCATCGGGCACTCGCAAAGCCACTGGGATTTCTGCCAGGATCTTTACGACAGCATCGAGTTCAATAAGCTAACAGTGAGCTATACATTAGATTTGATATGTGTGTGATAGTCATGATACATGTTTCTATATAGTACAACAATGAGGATGCTATTCAGAACAGCAATGCGATAGTGGTTCAAATGCTGATTGCCTTCTTTGTACGCAGCTCTTTCCACCAAGAGGTGGCTTTGAAGGAGTTACTGCATCATTGTGCCCTACGCAGGCTAACCGAATGTGAGTCGCGTCTTAGTCTTAATAACTTGATTAACTTTAATATGTGTTTATGCCAGCGGAGTTTATTTTCCTGGACAGTATTGTTCCCTGCCATGGAGTATCAATGCGAGATCTTATTCGTCCGTTTGCCAGCGTTCTGCTTCACAAGTGGAGCTGCCAGCGCTGGCCAATTTACAAGTGAGCTAACTTAACAAATCAAAGCCATTGTTTTGATAATTTATCTTCATCAGATTTCCATATTTTCTGTGTTATGCAAGCAAGAATGAATTTCGCACAGCTCATGCTAGCGAAATTATGGCTTATACGTTTCTGTACGGCAAAACAGAGGATATAGAGCGTTGTGGCAAAACAATCAGCGAAGATGTAAGACTAAATAATAGGTTTTTCAAAACAAATATATAATATATATATATATAATGTTTGCTCCACCAGCTGGCTCTTCCCATGGTGGCATCTTTCTTACTGCCGAAGAACTGCTTCTGCAGCGAAAGCGAGGCCAAGGACTTCAAAGATCATCATCAGCTGCTGGCGGAGAACCTCACTTACTCGCAATTAAATGGCACAGATGTAGATCTCAATGTGGAAACCCTTAGCTGGGTGATAAATCTGCTGCACGATCCCCAGGAAATGAAAAGATTGATTGGTTCTTTTACGCCGTGCATCGGAGTTGGCAGTTGGTATAGTCTTACTGGAGAATCGATGTTCAAATGTCTCAACTTGCATATTGTAAGTATTTGGGATACCATTTTAAGCTAATGTGCTATGTCATGTTTGGTTCATTTTAGGACCCTAAAAAAAGTTCCACGGGGCACAGTCGATTACAGTCCATGACAACGCTCCAAATCAAAAAGCCGCGCATTTTGATTGATCTTTTCGGGCGCTTAAAGGCCAATTGCTTCTCTGCCACATTTTGTAGTCAGGCTTTGCGTAGTTTTTTTCTGTATTGCGAAATGGCAGATGCTGTTTACGACGCGGCCAAAGAAAATGAACAAAAAGTGGTTCAGTGTTCTTACTTTGTTCGTGATATTTGGTTCTTTGTGGTTCGATTTCTGCAGCACAGTGAGTTATGAAAATTAGCAATGACTGTATTAAAAGCAATCTTATTTCAGCCAAGTTTAGCCGCGTCCAAATTTCTGTTTTAACTTTCCTGGAACTCTTACTAAATAAACCTAGCTTCGGCGACAAAGAATTCTCACATCACTTTGGAGAGATTGCTAAGCTGCTGTGCAGTTTTCAACTCGTCTGTGAGTCGAGGGAAGTAAAAGAAAAAGCCAGGGCAATCGTAATGGAGAACTTGGAGTCAAACAAGGACCAAATCGATCTAAATTCCTTTCTGGAGGAGACCACAGATTGCGAGTTTCTTAAACCCTTGCGAGATGAGTACAAATCCAATTTGCCCAGCATAGACAAGGCGGATGTGGCCAACTATCTGCGCTCTTTTCTAAAGAGTCCCACCGCCGAGCGATTGCGTGATCTAAGGGAATTTGTGAGTTTAAATGCCTCAGCGGAATTTCATAAACATTCAATATTATATACGACTTTTACTAACAGATTGCCGAGCATAAGGACAAATTGCAGCAACACGAAAAGCTTTTATTTGAGGTCATTAATAGGCTGATTCGAATGGCGCGAGATACGCATAGTAAGCAGAGCAGTCTGGATGCCCTTAAGTGTCTGGCTCAAATTGGACCGCTGAAGCTATCCAATATTTCCTATTACTTTCAAACTGATTTTGACTCATTTGAGGAGGTTAGTTTTCAAACCTAATTGTAGTCACTCTCTAATTTAATTTTGTATCGCAGTCAGAAGAAGAACCTTTGCAAGTATTCTTGAGTGTTGTCTGTGAGTTCCTGGAGAAATCATTATTTCATTTTGATCCCAAAACTCACGAGGCCCTTGTGTGCGTAGCCATTCTGGTGGCAAATAGCAAGTCCGCTGTGAATATTTTGGGCAAGTATATATGTATAATCTTAAGTTATATTCTATTTATTCTGATTTGTTTTTATTTTAGATCAATACAAGAACTTACGCATCTTTGTTCTCATGTCACCGAAATCGAATTTCCTTAGTTCTAATAAGCAGATTCCCCGCATTGATTGGTTGACTGCATTTAAGGCCACCCAAAACTTGGACTACGAGTCCTGGATGTGCTTGTTTGTCTCAAAAGTATTCGAAATGTGCGGCTGGAAAGGATTCGATGACCTGGCTGCCAGGTCCTTTGCCTTTGCCAAGACCTGTCTGCAGCCGTTTATTAAATTGCTGCTGGAGAACCATCCCCATCATTTGGAGAGCCTGTGCCAAATGCTGGACTACTTTTTCGAAGGTTTCGCCTGCCCGAAGGCTCCGAACTCTCATGGCATCTTTCACAACAAAAGAGCCATCAAGCGGTTTCTGCACATTTGTGAATGCATACGAATCTTTAATAATTGGTAAGGGAATTAGACATTCATCTAGCCATCGATATTGAGCAATATATGCTTTTATTTATTCAGGAGCATTCCCGTCAATCTAAGCAATGTGGTTATGGCTAGCAATCACTGCCAGGCTTATTTCCTAAGTATTATGTACCTCGAGCTCTGGGCCTGCTCGGCAACCAATGCAGACAACGCCAGTCTCTTGGAAAACGAATCCTTTCAAGCATCTGCGAAAAAGGTAGGCTGTTGTAATACGAAAATTCAAGTAATACAAATCCTTTTGCAGGCATACGAGTCCATTGGCTGTGTGGATGCCATCCCAGGCTTTGTCAATCCCATGCGCTCTCGCTTGGATTTCCTTGGACGGTCCAGCAATCTGTCCACCATTCTACTGGAATCGGAGCACCTGGACAGGGCCAGTGGTCAACTGTGCGTGGATATCATGAAAGGAAATGGTTTGTGGTCCTTTGCCAAACTCCAGCAGCACCAGAACATGGAGCCCGACTACGAGATCCTCTGGCGTCTGGGGCAGTGGGATTCGCTGTCTGATCCCAAGCAGCAGCAGCAGCAGCAGCAAGTTCAGTCGAGGGGTAGGGCTTCACTCAATTTGGAGCAGGATTTCAAGCGGCATCATTTCGTGGCCCTCAGGAGCATCGGCCAGCGGGAGGAGGAGAACAGTCTGTCGGCCATCGACATGGCCTATAGCTGTGTGCGCGACATTCTGCAGGAGATCAGCATGGAGTGCCTGCAGAGTGTGTACAAGTACCTGACCTGGTTGTGCTCTCTCCAGCAGGCCGAGGACTTTTGTCAGGTGTGCCATCCATTCAAAGGAGTGTTCCATCCACTTGGCTCATATTAAAGGTTTCTTTCCGCCCTAGATCCAATTTGGCACTCAGATTGCTCCGTTCCAGATGACCCAAGTGTTTGGCAAATGGCAAAAGGAATTGGAGCTCAAGTATGGCAACTTTTCCTGCAAAGAGTACGTGATTGCGCACCAGATCGCTCTGTTCAAGATGTCGGGGACGAGAGCGAGTCGTCGGATGCAGGAGTTCTACAAGAGGAACCCCATGGACACGTACCTACTGAAGGGAATCGGGGAGTGCAAACGGGCTGGCAACTTAAACCTGGCAGCCAAGTATATTGCCACGCTGCGTGAGCTTCCCAACATCAGGGAATTCACAAAGGTAGGCGAGTTCTGTTTTTCACATTCGAAATTGCTAATATATGACAATTTCAGATTAGCGTACTGCTGGAAGATGCCGACGTGAATCTGAAGATGGGCAATCATCAAATAGCCAAGGCCATCCTGGAGCATGTGACTTACAATCAGGAGTTTTTCTACTGCGTCCAACGCATTCCGGCGCTGCGGATGCTGGGCGAGTTCTTTCTGGACTGCAATGCCAAGGCTTTCAGCTGGGTGCAGCACCACAACTTCAATGCCTCGATGAAGATGATCGATGATTTTTTACTGCACCGCAAGGCGCTGGCCGAGAAGTATCCGGACATCTTTGAGTGGCAGCAGCTGGATGCGTACACCAGTCGCCACCGGACGGCTGCCTATGCGGCGATGGCCAAGTATGCGGATCGAGAGTACCAGCAGCTGTACGATTACCGCCACTCGCAGGAGTACCAAACGCTGCTGGACATCATCGAGCAGAATCGCCAGACGGCGGATAAGGTGACGCAGCGCGAGAACCAAGATCGGCGGGTCATCTCCATGCAGATGAAGCGGTACGCCAGTTTGGACGAACGCCAGTTGCAACACATCGAGGAGAAGCTGACGGAGCACCTGTGTCTGGCGGTGCGCAACCACATGGCCTACTGTCGTCTGGACAGCGGCTTCTCCAGCGCCGCCATCTATCGCATCATCTCGTTGTGGTTCACCAACGCCGCCAATGAGCAGTTGCAGCAGAGCATCAAGGAGGAGATTCTCACGGTGCCCAGTTACAAGTTCATTTGTGCTGCCAACCAACTGACGGCGCGCCTCAACTCCAAAAATAGCAGCCTGCTGAAGGGACTGATGGAGCTGCTGGTGCGCTGTGGCCAGGATCATCCGCATCACACATTCTACCAGCTGTATCCGCTTGTCTTTGCCCACCTGGACGGTGAGAACAGCAATACGGAGCGATCGGGCATTGCCCGCAAGATTATTGCCAAGATATGTGAAACGAATGCCACGGCGGCGGAGTGCAGCAGGCAGCTGGAATCGCTACTGCCAGGTAAAAGGATTAGGTTTAAGATGATTTCTCTCTCTTTTTAACTTGGACTCTGATTACCCTTCTTGCAGCGCTGATTACATTTGCCAACGAAGGCAAAACGGAAAGTCATCAGCCGGTTTCGGATGCGGCACGCTTAAAGCAGTTCGAGAAAGTGAGACGCTGGCGGAATCTCAACGCCGTACACTGCCCAACCCTTGAGTTGCCCGTCCTGCCCAGCAAGGAGTACTCTATAACAAGTAGGTTGCAAAGCAAGAGGTAGATAGTTAACCCCCTTAATAAAACCAAATCCCCAACAGGCATCGTCAAGTGGAACAACGAAATGACACAATGCGGTGGACTGAATGCGCCTGTTAAAGTGATGTGCCTTTGCTCCGATGGTCAGACTCGGGCGCAATTGATCAAGGGAAAGGACGATCTGCGCCAGGATGCCGTGATGCAGCAGGTATTCGGAATTGTCAACGAACTGCTGCGGCAGGACTCTGAGTTCATCGAGCGCAAGCTCAAGCTGCGCACCTATAAGGTCACGCCGCTGTCCATGCGCAGTGGCATCCTGGAGTGGTGCACCAATTCAACGCCAGTGGGTCATTATCTGGTGGTCGAAGGGAAAGGAGGAGCTCATGCGCGATATCGTCCCAACGACTGGAATAATAATCGCTGTCGCAAATTATCAGCGGTATAATACACACAAAACGTAACGATTTGAATGTATAAACAGTTTTGTTTCCAACATTTGCAGTCCCATTTGAAGTCGTCGAAGGAGAAACGATATGAAGTCTACAAAGAGATATGCGAAAATTTGAAACCCGTTTTCCACTACTTCTTGCTAGAGAAGTTTCCCATTCCGGGCGTGTGGTTCGAGCGGAGATTGGCTTACACAAACAGTGTGGCCACCACCTCGATGGTGGGCTATGTCCTGGGATTAGGCGATCGGCACACACAGAATATTCTCATAGATCAGCAGACAGCCGAAGTCATTCACATTGATTTTGGTGAGTGTTTCAGCTTTAAACAAAGATATTTCTAACTTGCTAATCTTTCAGGTATTGCCTTCGAGCAGGGCAAGATCCAGACGACTCCGGAGACCGTTCCCTTCCGGCTGACACGTGACTTTGTGGCCCCAATGGGCATCTGCGGCACGAAAGGAGTCTTTGCGAAGTCCTGTGAGGCCACCATGCACATCTTGCGCCGGTACAAGTCGGTCTTCATCACCATACTCGAGGTTCTGCTCTATGATCCCCTCTTTATTTGGGGTGTCCTCAAAAAGAAGCCATCGACCCAATCATCCCAGCAGTCCAGTGAGTGCAAGTTCTTGTTAATCATTAATTTCAGATTTTAATTGAATTCTTCTTAAGGCCAAGAATCGGTTAATTTGGTTGCCCAGCGTGCCCTGCTTCTGGTGCAGAACAAACTGGAGGGCAGGGAGGCCGGAACTCTTGACGATTCGAATGTGGAGGCTCAAGTGGAGCGATTGATCAACGAAGCCACGCTGCCAAGCAATCTGTGCATGCTATTCCCCGGCTGGGATCCGCAGCTATAAGCTTAAGTACATCACATTTATTTCCAGTTATCAACTCGAATAGAAGGTTTTTACGATTTTGTATCAACATTTTTGGTTCTTACGATTTTCTATCAACATTTTTGGGGTGCTTAATCTATTCGTGATGGCCTCAAGTACATTCCCCAATGGATTTTTGATTTGACTGGTGTATCTTCTATCGCAGGGGAAATGCCCAAGTGGTTTATGTGTACGTAACTTTAGATAGCAAAGAACTATAGATTTAAAAATAATTTCAATGATTTCGAAATGTCCAAGTTTTACTGTTGGTTGTTAAGAATTGGACTGCACTAATTTGTACTTGTAAACAACTTGTTTTGCTGGACATAGCAGCTGAACTCCTGCATTTTATAGCCCGGCAAACCAGCCATAAATCAATAAACGGCTATAAAAATAAGGCTTATCGAGACCCCACACCGATTATTCGGTATTTGTAGGTAGCCAAAGCCTTTGTCGAGCGCGCTATCGGGAATACTTGAGCTGATAACGGGCGCATTTGAATGCAAATGTGCTTTTGATAGCTCAATGAGGACGTAGTTGCCGAAATATCCCTATCACTTTGATAAGTAAACCCGGCTGAAACGTCAAACGGTCCATAGATCGCCCATTGTCATCTAAAATTTCTATATTTCTTAGCTAAATTTAAATAGTGGCTTATATAAGTGTAGTGGAATTTCATCAGATTTTCAGTCTTAATTACTTGAGCTTGCCTCAAGTTTGCAGTCGGGCTCGACGCCATCAAATATGGGAGCACTTTCCTCGCCGCCACCTCCACCAGTTATGATTTGGAGTATGTCCTGAAGGGTGAATTCGCCCAAAAAGTTGTTAACAGCCTGTAAAATAAGTAGAGGAGGTCAACAAGCTATTTTTGCTAACCAAATGGTCAACCCACCGTCTGCACTTTGGACACTACTGTGCCCTGCCCATAGTCCCAGACGTCTCCGAGCAGTTCCACGCCCATTTCGTTGACCAAAGCATGGATAAATTCATTGATCCGCTCCTCCTCCATCAGGTTGTCAAAGTTGATCTTTAGATCGCCCAAATGCAGCTCAATTTGCAAAGAATATATGGCCAAGGGCGACACGGATCTCAATCGAAAAGAGATCAGGATCGAAAAGTTTGTGATGGAGGTTCTAAAAGTATGGAATAGTCAGAAAATATTTAATTGGACGCAGAAGGTTACTCCTTACTCGGCATTGCCATCGCCGGCCAGGTTGACGATGTAGGCCAGCGATCCCTTAGCGGTGTACAAGGACTCGAAGTAGGTAAGTGGAAAGGTGACGTTGATGGTGTTCTTTAGTGCGGGCGCCGGGTTCAAAGTGAGGACAGGGACATCGAAATCGGAGAGCCCGTGCAACGTGAAGTTGTCGATGGACCCAGTGAAACTGAAAGTTAAAGGGTTTAGTACCTCTTTGCGGACAGATCCCATCCTTTTGCTTACTCCACCAGGTATTTATTGTTCAGAGCTGTCTCGGCCGGACCCAGTTTCAAAGGATCCAAGGCGGGCAGGCCCAGATTCGGAATGGGATGGCACATGCGCATGCGGAACTCATTGAGGAACGCCAGGATCTGTGACTCGAAGACGCAGGCAGCGGGCGCCAGACAAGCGTAGAGGATGGCCGTAGCCAGTAGGACCTGTGAAGTGAGTTGTGCCCGCTGCATTCTGCTGATTGATTCGCTTCCGTTCGGCTTTGAGTAGCTACTGTGGAGCCAGCGCGAGCCCGCCCCGATTTTGTTTGCTCACTCTTCAAGTGGATTCCATTGTGTGTGTCAAGATACGATGTTTATTTCAATATTTTGCCAAACACTTATCTTCGCTAATCGCGGGCGGGGCCCCGATTCCGTCCGATTACTGGATTGGGTTAGTTTACTATACGTTTTTATCAGCCTAATCTCAAGCTCCTGCTGAAACTATTAATAACTAGGGGCTACGGTTCTTTTGGGCTTGGCTACACTTGCTCCGGCGGCTGGCGCAGATGCTCCGGGATCTGCTGCAGCTCCGTCCTGGAAGCCTGCAGCGCTACGCCCTCGGGCAGGTTGCGTTCGATGTACTCCAGAAAGGTGTCCAGCGTGGAGCCCGTCAGCTTGTGGAAGTTCATGTAGCGGAAATGGGTTCGCACCTCGTACTGCACGCGATGCTTCTTGTAGATGTGCACCGACTTCAGGAGTGTCATCCGTTCGTGGTGCGCCTTGCGAGGAGACCAACTGCATGAGGATTAGGTATACTTGTTGTTTAGAGATCTCTTGTGGAAGGCGGACGCTCCCACTTACCATTTTCCCTTCTCAATGCCCAAATGGTCGGCGGCCGTGGTGGCGAACCAGGTGTAGCTCTTCAGAACCGCAGGATCAATCCCACGCAGCTCAATCTCCAGTTTGCTGTAGAGTTTGTCCGGCTCTGGTGCAGGTGTCGTGGGTGAGACATTTGGTTGTGTGCCGGCACTGGTGGTTAATGCGGATAGCGCCCGCACTGGCTGTGCCCAGCGGAGAGTCTTCAACGCCTATGAATCAACATTTTTTCGTTTATTTCGCATTTTCTTTAATAAATTATCGTTAAATACCTGCAACATATTTTTATTTACTACCAGAATTATGCAAGTGCGCCCGCTGAAATTCTGTACCTAACGCCTTTGGAAAAATACTGTATGTTTTAGTATTTACGATGTTTAAAAGAATATATAACGTTAGTTAATTACCCTGTAATAAAAAGATTTATTTAAAACACATAAAATAAATTTATTTGCTTCACTCTAGAGTTGCATTGCAAAATTCATTTTATGAGTTTTAATAAATCTAATATATATTTTAATATATATTAAAACTTTGCAACATTTACTTCATAATTATTATCAGATATCCCTCAAAATACCCTGTAAAATGCGCGTTGAAGTATTTATCTTAACGCGTTAGGAGATTTAAATCTTGAAATTCTGCACGTGCTGGCGCCGCTCAAAAAGTGTGTTATTTAGTTAACGTTTTTAAATTTGTGGACATTACCAACCGATTTTACTGTTCGACTGCAAGAGCATGAAAGACACCGATGTGAAAGGTTGGAGCCTGCCAAAGATGTAAACTCCAGGAAGATAAAGTTATTTAATAATCCCATTACAGAGACAACCAAGGAGGAGGAGCCCGTCGATTCCAGCTCCGACGAGGATGAGTACGATGACATCGACGATGACGAACCACTGGACGAGGGCGAGGAACCTACCACCTGTCTGTTCTGCCCCGAGACCAGTCCGAATATATCGACTGCCATTGACCATCTGGACGTCCGGCACAAGGTGAATCTGTTGCAGCTTCAGAGGAAATTCCTAATGGATCAGTATTCCTTCATCAAGCTGATTAACTACATAAGAGCCAACAAGATTACGGCCGAGCAATTGCTCTCCGCTGACCAGACGCTGTGGCAGGACGAGAAGTACCTTAAGCCTGGGGAGTATGAGCCCTGGCTGTGCTACGACTATGAAGAGCTCAAGACAGAGGCCACTCCGGCCCAGGCCACGGTGCCGGAGCTGCAGCAGCGCATTGCAGAGCAATCCCAGTTGCTGCAGCAGGCCAACGAGGACATGGAACGCATGCGCAAGGACTACAAGGAGCTGCTGCAGAAGGTGCATGGTGAGGGGGAACCCAAGGCTGCCAGCAATCCTGTACCCCGAAACAATGCCAGCCTGGACAATGAGTACTTCAAAAGCTACTCCCACTTTGGCATCCATCACGAAATGCTGAGCGACAAAGTGCGTACCAGCACCTATCGCGAGTCCCTTCTCCAAAATGAGGCAGTGGTCCGAGGCAAGACTGTTCTTGATGTGGGCTGTGGCACGGGAATTCTGTCCATCTTTGCCTCCAAGGCGGGTGCTGCCCGCGTCGTCGGCATAGACAACTCGGACATCGTGTACACAGCCATGGACATCATTAGGTAAATATCCATTTCCATATTGTAGAAGTCTAATCTAAGAGAGTTTCTCCAGGAAAAACAAGGTGGAAAATGTGGAGCTGATCAAGGGACGCCTGGAGGACACCGATCTGCCAGAGGCCAAGTACGATATCATTATTTCCGAGTGGATGGGCTACTTTCTGCTGTACGAGTCCATGCTGGACAGCATCATTTATGCCCGCGATCATCATCTTAATCCCAATGGCATAATCCTTCCCAGTCGCTGCACACTCAGCCTGGTGGGTTATGGAAACGACACCCTCTATGCGGAGCAGGTGGAGTTTTGGTCTGATGTGTACGGTGTTAATATGAGTGATCTGCGGAAGCGTTCCATAGAGGAGCCGCTCATGGAGGTGGTGGACGCAGAGTTTATGCTGACGGATCCCGAACAGATAGCCAACTTCGACATAATGACTGTCGATCTTAACTATCCCAACTTCAGCCATCAGTTCAGCTTGAAGGTCACGAAACCGGGTCGCTTGTCTGCCTTTGTGGGCTATTTCGATACGCTTTTCGAGCTGCCCTCTGCCGTCATGTTCAGCACATCACCAAGTGCGACGCCCACCCATTGGAAGCAGACGGTTTTCTTCATTGACCAGCCGCAAACAGTAAAGGAGGGGGACATCATCAGCGGGAAGATCACATCGAGGAGGCATAAAGAAGATGTCAGGGCGCTCAGTGTAGATATAGAAGTCTTTGGCAAGAAACATAAATATATGGTGGTGTAATGTGGTGAATAATGCGACTATTATTTAATATTTTACTATCGACACCATTAAGATTTAAGATGTTGAACGCCTTCCAATAAAAATAAAATTAAGACTGGGTTTTTTAAATCGTTTTAATTAAAGATTCGTAGATCGTACGTTCTGCTGACAAATGAGAGCTTAATTACTTTTTAAAAATATGTAAATATATATAAATTAAAATGAGTACCCATTTCCATTTCGACTGGATAGCTGGATCGGGCACGGCCAAACATAATCGTTTTTAGTTGCAGTTGCTTTTCGGGGTATGAAAGAGGAGACGGAACAGATGCTTTAAGCGGTATTGGTTTCCAACTCGGAGGCGGGAATCTCTGGCTCCTCGTCGTTGTAGACATTCTCGGCCATCTGCCACACCTGCATAATGTTGTCCTCGGACACGGAGCAGATGATCCACGGCTCGTTGGGGTTCCACGAGAAATCGCTAATCTTGGCCGTGTGGCCGCCATGGATGAAGAGCAGCTCGGGCGGTCCGTCTTCGGCATCCTCCGAGCTCTGCTCCTCTCCAATCTTCGACAGATCCCAGACATGCAGACGTCGGTCGGTGCCGGAGGATGCGAGGATGGTCTCGTTGTGCGGCGACCACTGCACCTGGAAGATCTCGTCCTTGTGCGACTCGAAGGAATGTAATTTCAGCTTAAGGTTACGCAGATCCCAAAGAGCCACAGTCTTGTCGGCGGATCCGGTGGCCAAAATGAACTCCGAGTAGGGATTGAAGCTCAAGCAGTTGACCTCGGCCGTGTGGGCGTCCACCGTGTGCGAGGGCTTTGAGGTGTTGTTGTTGCGCGTGTCCCAGATCATTAGCTTCTGGTCGTCAGCCACCGAGCCGAACAGAGACTCGTGGAGCAGATGCCAGGCCACGTCCTCGACGACGGCAGTGTGACCGGTGAAGATGTTCTTGGCGTCAATCACACGGTGCTCCTTGGGCGTGGCATTGATGTCCCACAAGCAGATGGTGTGATCATCGGAGGCAGACAGCAAGTAGCCTGCGAAAGACGATCAAACGGCAGACAAGAATCATGATTAATAATTGTTTTGTATAGTATAAATTATAATTATAAAACGGAAATACAAAAAATGGAAAAGAATTTATATTTGAAAGCTTAATACTAATGCTTAATTAATTAGATATTATACATATGTTGCTAGGTTACTCAAATCTTAGATTCTGCCAAGGTGAATTCGTAACATACAACATATGATTACCATATCCATGATCATTATATTTAGAACTAAGAATTTTTTTCTTTTTAGTACCCAAAGTTGATTTGTTAATTGAAGCGTAATCCGCATAACTAAGCATTGTAAACTACAATCAATCGGGTAACGGGACATATGATTTTAATCATCATATCGTGTTTATACCTCTAAAAACCATGAATCTACAATACATATTTTTGAAAATTGGGTACAGCTTCGCACTCACCATTGAGGTTGGGATTCCACGAGAGACCGTAGCCCTCCTTCTGATGCCCACGGAGACGCAGATCGGGTTGGCATTCGCCGGACGGCTCCGGCTTGCTGGGATGTTTCGTGTAGTCGAAGACCAGGACGTCGCTGGACGGCGTCTTGGTGGCGATCACGCATGCGTTCTGAGGCATGTAACGCGCCCGGTTCACCTCGCCCTCGTGGTTGATCTTAATCTCGATCTCGATCTTGCCACACACCGAACCGAAGCCGCCGAACTCCCCCTTCTCGTTGTCGTAGTGGGAGCCATCGAACTGGGCATCCTCGCTGGGCAGCTGAACGCTGGCGATGAGCAGGTGGTTCTGCTCGTCGGATGTGTGTGTGCCCAGGATGAGGCGGTGCACCGAGTAGTCCTTGCCGTCCTGCTTGGTCACATCGGGCAGCCACTGGGCGGTCAGCGAAGGCCACTCGAGGGCGTGCGTCATGACCAGGTCGTACAGGAACGGCGTGTTCTTCTTCCAGATCTTGTACTCCTCATTGATCACGCGCTCCTCGACGGCGTCGTCGAAGGATTCCGCTGCTAAAGGATGCTGGTTACACACTGCATGGTTAGTTGTCAACTGGACTTACCATTATCGCTGCGATCCACCATTTCGAGGCTTCTTGGCTCACAATTTCTCAGTCTGCGTCAAAAGTCGGCAGCCGAAAAATTCGGGCGCCAAAACAACAAAAGCCGAAGCGGCAAAACGTGTGCACGGAAACTAAAGAAGCCCGCTCCGGAATAAAACCTTCCCAACGGACACTTGACCGAGAATCGAACCGGCAACAATTAAGTTAATTCCTTGCTGGACACTCACACTTTTAACGGCGTAACGTCAGTGCAAAATGGGAAATGGCTAATTTACTTTTTTTTTTTGCAAGCGCGTCGTCGCTGATAGAGATGCAACACAGACGATTGTTGGCAGGGCTGCCATATTCGATAACGATTCAAAAATCACGTTGTGAACAGTGACTGCGATGTTTAGCGGTATTTTGGTATTTTATATCTTTTTGTTGGTATGGTTTTTGTTGGTATGGTAATTAAACAAATCAAAAGATAAATTAGACGTCAACTTACAAAATGGTGCCGTCTTGTCAACTCCGAATCCAAAAAAATCGTTCCCTTGGCTTAACTGGCTAGTGTTTTCTTTTGGTTTTAAAGCAAGTGCAAGTGCAAGTGAAGCACTGCGTTGCAGACTACTGATTGAAATTATTAATACCTTCTACAAGGGTATAGAAGTCAAATAATAGTAATATTGGTAATTTAGTATATATTTAAGTATTTTTCAAAGCCTAATGGTATAATTTAACGGTTGCGCTTGCGGTCCCACTAAATTGCATAAACAAATAAAGCTGTTACTGAATTTGCAGCTATATATTTTGAAGCCACTTTACGCGCCAATAGCCGGCTTAGGATGACTATTGGTTGGGGTGTCTGCGGCAGTTGCAGTTCAGTTCTCTGACTGCTCCGATCCCAAACAGCAGTGCATCACATTCAACGTCTCCTTTAGTGGGTGTAAAATGTTTATGCACATAACGAGCTTAACAAGTGCATTCGCTAAATAGTTTAACAAGCAATAATAGAGCCGACATGCAGGTTGATGGATCGAACAGTAGCAGCTCAACCGAATTCCCCGACCCCACAGAGCGTGAAACGTGTAAGTGGACAGTGGATTTGATTGGATGGCAGGCGGGTCGAAGAAGAAACTTTCTCTCTTGGCACGCCGACCGATTTTGTTTGTCTCTTCTTTCTTTCACTTGTGTAATCCGGATTTGGCCCTCAAGCTCGTTTTCTTTGGTCACCACTTTCCAGGGGACAGTGGGAAAATGCAGACGGCGTCGCACTCCAAAGATGGGCATAAACCAGCCAGGGAAGTGGAGCAGCTCCTGGACCTCAGTGATCCCGAGGATTACCTGGCGCACTTGCTGAAGGATGGCAGCCAGGAGGGCGACAGTGGGGCGGATCTGGAGCTGCCTTCATGGTACGATGAGCAGCTATTTAGGCGGTGAGTTGCGTGTCTTATTGTTTAATGGGTTGCAAATACACCATATACTAGTAGGAATAATTGCGATAACGACCATATGCTTGCGTAATGGAGTATATTTGAGCTTGGAGTAACTTACTTTTGTTCGTTATTGATCATTGTTCGCTATTTTTTTCAATGGCTGTTTTTATGAATATATCGTAACATATAGTTGAAAATACCTTATATAGGTTTAATTTTTGTATTCTTTTTTATTAAGTATATGTTCTTCCGAGTTAATTTATTAAAATTCATATAAAATCTTTGTTCGCGTGTTTATTATTTAATTTAACATTAACCGTTCTTCTTCTTACGTTAAATTATTTGTGAATATTTTAATTAATAACATTTATTTAGATATTATCTTTAACCTAGATAGACCTTTGCAAAAAAAAGGAGCCACACATTTTGGAAATATTATTTAAGTTACTGCCTAACTTGGTTGAAAATGTTTAAAGCATCATGTATTCAATGAGAAAATAACGAAGAAAGTCTAGAATGAACTCAAAAAATTTATGTTTTGGTCTCATTTCATCGTATTAAGATTTCTAGCTTTAATATTTCAAATATCTTGAGTTGCTATCCCATTTTCAAATAAAATACTTATCTGAATGGCAGAAATATTAAAAAACATTTTTAGTTAAAGCTATTTGATTTCCACAGCAAGCCATTTGAACTTCAATTAAGTACTATTATCGTCATTGTATGTAAATAACTGATTTGTTACTTGATGATTTAGTTTGCCCTTCCCTTTTTTCCCCGCAGTGGTCAGAGCTACTTCAGCAAATATCGCTTTGTGATGAACGCCGGAATGCTGGCAGGTCTGATTGCAGTGCTAGCTGTTCCCTCGATTCTCCGAGTGCTCTCGTGCACCCGCCAATCCTCGACAGCGTTCACCGCCTACCGCCGCTATGTGCGCACTATTTTCCACACGCAAACCTGGTACAACCACAACATTGCGGACCGGGCGAGCAGGTTTTGGACCAGTATTGCGGCTGTCCGGCGGGCACACAGCCGCTCCAGTCACGCCTGTGCCCGCCAAGGAGCTGGGCAGATCACCCAGAAGGACTTGGCCCTGACCCAGTTCGGATTCATCGGCTTCATAACGATGGGTGCACATCGCATACAGTTGAATGATCAGGATTTTCTGGAGGCCACCTCGCACATGTGGCGTGTGCTGGGCCATCTGCTGGGCATCAAGGACGAGTACAACATCTGCGGCAAGAACTGGGCGGAGTCAAAGCCTCGTTTGGAAATTGTCATGCGAAAGGTCTATGAACCAGCTTTGGGGAACACCAGCGATGATTTCTACCGGATGACGGAGGCCCTGATCAACGGACTGTGGCATATGAACACCATGTTCTCAGTGGACGCCAACATATTCTTCGCCAAGCGGCTGGCCTGCGTGAAGGGCTACGAGTACTATAGCTTCGATCATGAAAACGGAGTGCAGCAGGATCCCGAGCAGAGACTGCACTACTACGACATGGGATGGTGGAATCGATTCATCGTCAGCTACGGCCTGTTCCTGGTCACCTATCTGCACAGGTACGCCCTGGTGCGATGGTACTTGAACTTCCGCGTCTGGCTGATCGACGTGCTGACTTATTACTTGCCCTACATGGCCATTTGGAAGTTTGGCTTCAAGTCCGCCTACGTGCGTATTTTCCGAAACGGAGGGGAGGCCCAAGACTTTACAGTGGGCTTTAAAAACGATTAGATTGTGTTGTTTTGTGAGATTTAGTCAGTAGGTAATTTATCAATAAATACCCAATGCAATTGTGGCAATAAGGAGACTCAATATTTGTGTTTATAAGATCTCTGGGTTATTTAATAGTAAATCACTAGCTTGACATTTCAGGTATTCCCAAAACTATCAGTTGGGCAAGTTGTTTATTGACTTTATATTTCTTTTTTTAAATCAATGCGAAACGAAACAGTTAAATTAAATTAAAATTAAAAAAAAATTCGTGATATTAGCATTAAGTATTTTAATTACTTTCCGTTAGCTTTATTTGAATTTCCCGCGCTAACCAGATCTTTATTTATAATTGGCGGTAAATTTCCCTCGAAATCGTTTTTTTTTCGTCGCCAAGTACGGTCACACTGTCAGCAGCGTCTTTTGAGCGGTTCCGGCTGTTTATTGCAGTTTTTAACAAAATAAAACATAATTTACAATGTTTTACCACGTAAGTTAGTTATTCCGGAGTGCAGAAAGAAGGTGCTGATCCCTATCCACCGCAGATATCGCTGGAGCACGAGATCCTGCTGCATCCACGCTACTTTGGTCCGCAACTGCTGGAAACCGTGAAGCAGAAACTCTACTCCGAGGTGGAGGGCACCTGTACGGGAAAGTATGGATTCGTGATAGCCGTGACGACGATAGATCAGATCGGATCCGGTGTCATTCAGCCGGGCCAGGGATTCGTGGTGTATCCGGTGAAATACAAGGCCATCGTCTTCCGGCCGTTTAAGGGCGAAGTACTGGACGCGGTGGTCAAGCAGATCAACAAAGTGGGCATGTTTGCAGAGATCGGTCCGCTGTCCTGCTTCATCTCTCATCACGTGGGTGAAACAACATAGTTATAGTCTTGGAATTATATACTAGCAAGTGATTACTTCTCCAGTCAATTCCCGCCGATATGCAATTCTGTCCAAATGGCAATCCGCCCTGCTACAAGAGCAAAGATGAGGACGTGGTCATTTCCGGAGAGGATAAAATACGGCTAAAGATTGTGGGAACACGAGTGGACGCCACGGGAATCGTAAGTTTCATCGTAGATACAAGATTTTTTGCATCCTAATTTCCATTTCTCTTAGTTTGCCATTGGCACCTTGATGGACGACTACCTGGGTCTGGTGTGCAACTAGAAACTTTCGTCTTCTGTACAATTTAAATATATATATTAAACTTTAATGAAATGCATTTAGACAGTTAAACATCTATGTGTATATAGTTATAAATATGTATGTACTTTATAAGATTTGATTTCAATTTAAAGGTACGTTACATTTGTAATTTAGTAGAGTTGTGTGTGGTCTAAGATTTATAATAATGGATGGACGTTAAGTAAACAAACGGCTCGAGCTATACATAGGGCGAATTTAAAGTCATAGTTACAGCTAAAGATCGTTATGATAAAGCACTTAAGTAAGGAGTACGACAACAACGAAGTACCTAAAAAGCGAATGCTAGCTGCTATGATTTAAACGATTGCGATTGCACTTGAAAATGATTGAAACGAGAAGGGGCAATGAGATATTGGATACGCTGCCGATTGCAAACGATTATGGAACTCTGTACAAGGCGGAAGCGGGCCTCACAGATCCCACGAGAAGAGGTGGTGCTTCACCAGCATGTCCCGTACCCCGTCCTTCAATGGCTGCGACTCCTTGCCGCGCTTCGGGGGCAACTCCCAGTCGGGATTCAGATTGAAGGCGAACTGCGAGAGGATGCGCAGTTCGCACTTGATCTGCACCCAGCCGGGTGAGTCGATGAAGCTCCACGAGTGGTACCACTTCTGGACGACCTCCTGGCAGGCGCACAGCACTTCCAGCCAGAGATGCAGCACTTGCTCGTTGAGACCCAGACAGATGAGCGAGCGCAGCTTTACGTCCATCTGGGCATGGGCGTCGTCATGCGTCTGATTAATGGCCTGGACGCAGCGGTAGAGCAGTTCCTCGGGCGTGAGCACCTTGCCATCCTCGTCCAGGCGATACGTTTTGCAGAGCACCAGGCGGCTGTACACCGACTCGAAGTCCTTCTCCACCTCCCGCGTGGCCGCCTCTTCAATGTATAGCCATGGGTGGATTGGTCCGCCCAGAAATGTGGGCCTCTTCATGCCGTGCTCCAGAAAAGCCTTAATGGCCGGCGCCAAGGTGCCCCGCACCAGATCCGTCACCGTCTCCGAGATGGCATCGTCGCCCGCCGAGGTGTACAGCTTGCTCCGCTCGTCCAGCAGCTCCACGAACTTGGCCGGAAACCAACCGCGCAGGCCGTTTAGCTCACCCACCCAGCAGTGTTCGTCCTTTTGGCTGATGATCGTGATTATGTCGTTACGCCGAAAGCCCAACTCATCGTCGTCGTGCCGCTCGAAGTCGTGCAGAGCTTTGGCCCGACGCTTCCGCGTCCTGGCCACATTGATGAAGTTCTCGTGATCCTTGGCATGCGACTCGGTGCTATAGTTGGCAGTCAGCTGAATGTGGCCGGAAAGCTTGGGCTCAATGGTTATAAAGTGGCGACCCACTTTCAGAATAGCCTCCCTTAGGTCTACGAGGATCTCTGTTTGCCGTATGTTCTTGTTCTTCAGCTGATCGCCTTCGCTGGCGTCGCCGCGAAAGAGGAAGGCCTCCAGGATAGACTTGCTCTTGCGCACCTGTCGCCGGGCAAGCTGCTGCTTGGGCAGATTGGGTGCAGCCTCGGGGTTTCCTATCTGGTGGCCTTGATCGGCCATGAGGTACGCCAGGTGGCGCCGACGATGGGTGTCGATTACCGTCTGGCTAAGGGATCCGCCCACCTCCAGGGCTTGGCGGAAGAGCACTTCGACGTCGGTGACCTCGCCGGGAATGTCCGAAAGCGAGTTGAAGATCTGAGCGGAGTTTTCGAGGTGCTTCAAATCCTGCTCCTTCACCTTGAGCATGCCCAGCGTCAGTTGAAAGAGCACGATGGAGCCCTCGTAGAAGAACCAGTCCCAGATACGCACCAGAATCTTCATATGCACCACGTTGGCGAACAGGGTGAGGAACCAGTGCAGCGTGATCAGCGATAGCTCGATGTCGTGCTTTCGCAACGACTCGTCCACGCTGCTCAGGTAATTGGCTATGAGCGTTTGCATCACCCGCTGATCCGCCTGTATGCCCAGCAGCGTGGAACTGTAGTAGGAGGCTGGCAGCAGGTCCTCCACAATGGTCGCCATCATCCAGAAGGCGTTCTCCTCCTCCATGAACAGCAGCAGACAGGCCACGATCACGCCGGTGCCCTGGCAGTAGCCAATGTCGGGGAAGAGCCACGCAATGCCCCTCAAGATGCGTCGCAGGCGGGGAATGCCTGTGCCGTTCGGATTGCTAAAGCAGGCATTCGTGGGCAGGATACGCAGTAGGTCCTTTTCGATCTGTTTTGAAGTCATCAACTGGTCATTGCTGGAGGCTAACAAAAGAGGAGGAAATGAATGAACATATGCCATGGCGACTTTTCGTGTGAGATCCTACCCTTGACTATGTCATGGTAGCTGGTCTCGCTCTTCTGCTTCTTGGCCAGCGCTCCAGACAGGCGCATCCACATCTGGGCGCGCAGGGTGTGGGGGATGCCCTGGCGGACCATGTTGCGCAGCTTTTCGGTGCGTGGAAGCATCACATCCACATGCTCCCAACTCAACTCGGTGGCCTCCTTGTTGTGCGAGAATTCCAGGTGCGCGATCCACTGCAGTCGCTGCTGGGCGTCCTCCACGAACGGGATGCTGAGCAGCTTGTTGGAGCTCTGCTCCGGTCCGTCCTCCTCTTCCACCCGGAAGCCGAATTCATCGAAACGGTACTCCGGCTGGTCGTTTGGCCCGGAGGCCAGCTCTGCGCCGCCGCCCAGCTTGGCTAGAATTTCTTGGGGCCACATTGAGGCGGTCAGGGCTGAGAAGGGTCCCCCGGGATTGGGCCGAATCCCATCGACCACACTCAACTCCTCCATCATGGGCGGCAGCTCGCCCAGATCGTCTTCCGAGCCCAGGTTCTGCAGTTTGCGCTGTTGGCAGTGCCAGGGTGGAACGATAAATATTAATTACCATGATAAGCAATCTTTTCTGGTCAATTTGCGCTTACCGTATGCTCTTCACGGCCCACGTAACCCTCATGATCGCGGCCAAAGATGCTCCTGGCCATGTCCATTCTGGGATTGGCTATTCTCCGGCCGTGTCCTGGTCGAGCATTCAGTGAAAGTGTCCTGGTCGAGTTTCTGTTGCTGGCGTGTTAAAGACTTATTTTAATTTTTGCTCTGCATTGTTTCCAATTGGCTTCCAAAGTTGATTTCACTGTCAGCTGTTCGATAGGCGATAGTGGGTGGTATCGATTTTTAGCCAAGCTAGCAAAGACAGGGGTGGGGCAAAGGGGATCCATGGATGCGTAAGGACTTCAAGGTAGTAGTAGGTTTCATTTGTGTAAGAGAAAGTCAATTTCTAGGCTGTTCTTCGTCGTGGGCGCCACTTTCAATATTCATTTTTATATTTTTGAAAACGCTTAGAAGGAAGGAACTCGTTTTTTTGCAAAATAAAATCTGTTAAACTTTGATTGCAATAAAAAATATATAGGTTAAATTTTGATTGTAAAATAACAAATATAAACAAATATTCCTAAATTCCATTAAATAAAATAAGTCTAACAAGGTTTTAAGTGCAATTTCATAGCTACATTTATCTAGTTTTCCAGTTTATTATTTTAAACCCTCTTGGCTACGCCCATGATCAGGGCTGAAGAAAAACACCTGTGGAGTACCCAGAAAATGCTCAAAATGAATAGATAGGATTATTTTATTTAATTTAAATGTTTTGTATAAAGATTAAGGCTCTTCAAAGAGATTTTAATACATTAAACATTTCCAGTCGATAATTGATAAGATAAACTCAAATTACAATCGATTCCCACGCCCTCGCTCTAAAATCAGCTGTTTGGCACAGAAAGTTGGGTGGCTTTCGTTAATCCAATGAAATAAACAAAAAAAACACCACAAAAACAATGCAGATAAAGCCCATCATTACGTGTGAGTTGTAAACAATAATATTAAATGCATGCCAATCTAATGAAAGAACACTTTTTTAGATTCCGGCTCGGGCCCGCTGTTTCGCTCACTGGAGTCGCAAATCCTGAATGCCATCCCCTTGGACACATGCGAGTGGAGACGCACCTTCCAACGCCCCACTAAACATGTTCGTCTGGAGGCACAGACCCAGCAGTTCAATGTGGCTGCTCTGGAGAAGTACAAGAAAGGTGACTGGAGCATCTTGGAGCACCCAATATTGCACATCTTCGTCACGGAATGCAATGTGAGTTGGCTTAGCCTCAAGGACAGATGGACTCACCTTCAATAAACTCTTTTACTCAAGGACGTTGACGCCTACAAGGCCTCCACCAGGGAGGAGATTGATACTTGGCTCAAACTTTTGACCAGTTACGGCGTCTCGGACTGGATGATTCTGCTGGTGGAGACATTGGACATGCGGAAGACCAAGAACTTTATGCCACGCACCACGGTGCTGGACAAGATTCGACTGGACTTCAGCACCAAGAACGACGATCGCTGCATCTCCGTCCTGAACCCGGCCAAGTTCGAGCAGAAGTCCACGGAGTCGTTCCGCTGCCTGGTGCAGCGCATCCGCTTTCTGATGCTCACCAGCTACAATCGCAACATTGTGAAGTACGAGGAACTCATACGGAGCAAGCGCGAAAAGCGGAACCTTGAGGGCTGGGACTTTCGCCAGTATTTCTTCATGCAGGAGGACTTGGCGCTGATCTTCGAGAAGCTGGAGCTGCCCACCGAGGCGCTGATACAGTACGACGAACTGGACGCCATGTTCTCGCAGTTCGTAACGCACACTGGCCTCAACGAGAAGCAGCAGTGGCTGAACCACTTTCGGCGGCCCTTGGACGCATTCCATGGCATTTGCCTGACCCGGCCGGACCGGTTCGAAATGCGCAACAAGATACGCGACGAGGGCGTCTCCCTGCTGGAGTTCCGCAACTATCTGTTCGAGAGGCAGGCCTATCTGCTGCTCACCTGCAACGACATCCCGGAGATCGCAAAACGACTGCTCAACTTCCTCTTCTCCACGCTGCGCGAGGTGGAGTTCATTAAGCTGGAGTGCCAGGAGGGCGCCCTTTGCTGCTGGGAGTTCGTTTGCGCTCTGGAGGTTCTGCAGCTGTGCGAGCAGGCCATGGAACCCAACGAGGTTACCTGCTTCCAGCACTGCGCTCCCATCTGGAACTTGGCCAAGGACAAGCTCTATGAGCTGGGCAAACTGTGTGGCCTTTTGCCCGGCTGTACGCCCACTTCGGAGCAGCTTCACATAGTGGTGCAGCTGTCGTCGGGTATAGGGGATGCCCCGCCGGAGCCGCAGCAGTTCCTGCAGGCCACACCTCAGCTGCGGGAACGTTCTCCCAACCGCAAGCCCAAAAAATCGGCGGCCGAGCAGCTTAAGGAGGCATTGGGCTCCAATCAGGCATTCCAGAAGCTCTACCTGGAGCTGGCGGAGTTGGCCATCAGTACGTACAAACATGTAACCCGCTTGCGTTCGGCTCGTTTGGTGGGCTTGGATCTGGGAAACTTCTACTGTGCCCTAAATGAACCGCACAAGGCGGTTGGATTCTTCACGGATCTCCTCAGGGAACTGAAGGCCGAAAACTGGCATATGCTGAGCTCCCAGACGCTGCTCGAACTGGCCAACTGCTACCGCAAGATGGGCGACTCGCTGGCGTACACCAAGACCTGTAGCTCTATATCGTGTTGCGCCGAACTGGAGACTTTAGTGCGAACTTTCTATTTCGATGAGTTCCTTAAATCGCTCAAAACTCTGAAGACAACTCTATCGGCTCAGCCGTCCATGGAGAATGCCAACTTTTGTGTGCTAGAGGATCATTTTCGCGTCCTGGACATTGAGGTTGTCACACCAAAACCTATTATTCAAGATGATTACATCCTGGTGCAGCTGAAAGTGGAGAGCCTCTACCCGCGTGGGATCGTCGCTGAAAATATAAAGCTTTGCTATGAGTTGCAAGCGGCTCCTTTGGAACTAGCCATGGAAAACGTGTCTCTGACTTCCTCCCCGTCGGCGGTGAAGGTCAAGGACGGGTCCACCACGACCCGCCTGAAGGTGTCCCTGCAGCTTGTCTACAAACAGGACAATCGTTTGCACTCAGCAGCCGTGGCCTGCGACATGCCCAAGAGCAAGCAGCCCGTGCGTCGGACGAGCAGCACCAAGCGGAAGCTCTCGCCCAGTGTCCAGGCGGACTTCACCAACTTTGTGCAGGCAGAGAACATTGCCCTTCAACCAGGCGTCAATTTGATCGAACTCAAGGCAAAGGCCACTCGAGTGGGCAGCTGGCAGTTCAAACAGGTTGGTGGTCTTCTTAGTGGTTTTTCCTAATCCATATTTCAATTGTTCCTTTGTGTTTGTCATTCAGCTCTGCGTCAGCATGTCCAGCCTGGAGTTCTTGTCCGAGCAGCTTCCATTTACGCCTCCCAGCTTTGAGATCAGCACCAAGCCAGCCAGTGCCACGCTGGAGTTCAAGACTCTTATTGCCGGTATGGTGCAACCGATTACTCTGAATGTTTCCGGCGGAAGTTTCATCTTTCCGCCCGATGCAAAAATCACACTGCGTTGCTCAAAGAACCTACGCATACGACAGGCGCGGAACTCGGAGGATGTAGCCGCTTATAATGAAGATGCATCCTTTGAAAGTCTACTGCAGGTTCCGCTGCTGCAATTCAAGTCGTTCGAGGAACGCAAAATTCCACTGGAGGTTCTGACGGATATGCCGGGCCGTAAGGTGTCCAAGAGTGTCCATGAGCACCACATTGCCCTAAGTTGCCCGTGGTCCCGCACTGAGCTGCCGATTCCCGTGGAATTTCAACCAGCCATGGAGGCCACTTGCCGGCTTCATACGTGCGGCACTCAGAAGTTCTTACAGGTGATCATGAAGGGCCTGGATGCACATCTCCTTCTGCAGAATGCTCAGGTCAAGTGTGATGTACCCGGTGTGCAACTGCGAGATCTCAATCCCGAGCCCCATCAGCCCATAGTAAGTGGAGCGCCAAGGTAGTCCAATGTCTTTTAATGATTTCCATTGTTATTTTGTAGGAAATCTACAAATCGCTAACAGTCACATATCTATATGAGATCCAAGTTGAGCCCCTCAAAACCGAGCACGAACTGCCTGTCGTTAAAGTGCATTTTGTTATTAAATACGCTCCACTTTCGCAACCGGATGTGTGGAGAACCTATGGATGCGCTTTTGATCTTGTGGACTACACTACGCTCTTCAAGCTGCAGGCTCAGCTGGAACCCAATGAGCTGTGCCGCCTGCGCACCGTTTGCAACCTGAACCTGAAGATAACCAAGGTCCATGAGAATCCGTACACGGATTTGATGTACGAAGTACTTAACGATCAGAATTTGTGGGCCGTTTGCGGTCGCTCAGCGGGTGAGTTGGAGTCTTTTTTCTTATCCTGCCTGTCTTTGCTTATGATTTAATTCTGATTTTTCTACACACGATTCACTTTTGCATTTTAAGATATGGGTAAGTTCTCTGGAATGGGAGACACGTAGCACTAACTAGATTTGCCCTTGCTTTTGATTGGTTACATTTAACACTATACAAAATTAGCTTAGCTTCGATGTTCAGTGTTTTGTGTGATTGATTGACTAACGATTTACAACTGAACCTTCTAGGTGTGGTTTCCATGAAGGACGTGGACAGTCATTCCATATCCCTGGATGTGATGCCGCTGAGTACCGGCTTTCTGCCCATGCCCAGCATTCGATTGTCCAAGTACACGGCCGGGGGCAAGAGCAAGACCGATGCCCACTCTAAGGTGCATCCCTTTCCGCCCGGACAGGTCTACAACTCCACGAAGAGCATGCAGATCCATGTCATAGCCAGTGTGGCTGGGGATCAGTGAGCAGCCAAATTGAATATAAAGTAATTGCAATGTACTCGTACCACATACATATGGCCTATGGTCAAGTATTATTAATTATTTATCTTTCTACTATAAAGAAGTAAAAGTTGAAAACCCATCAAGTCTTGTATGCAGCCAGATCCTTGGCCAATTTGGTCAGCTGCTGCTCCTCAACGCGGTAGTAGTGCCAGCCCTCTTTGGCTGTCAAATCCACGGCTCCGAGGCGTTCGTAGAATTGGCGGGCTGGGTTCCACTCCAGAACATTGAACTCCAGGCGCGGGCATTGGAGCTCCACTGCCCGGGCGGAGACCTCCAGGAAGATTCGCTTGCCGGCGCCACGCTTTCGGTGCTCTGGGCGCACGTAGATGTCCTCGACGAAGAAGTAGCGACCCTGCCAAGTGGAGTATGCCTTGTAGCATATGGAGTAGCCAATTGCCTGGCTGATAATGTAAATATGTCATAATATATAGGTTATTATTTTTTTATTTTTATATAAAATATTTGTTGGACTCACTTATTAGCATTGTCTATAAGTACATAAACTTCACAATATTCTTGACCCCCAGTTAATCCTGCATCTCTTTTAAGATCTGTGATTGGAAAGCAAATAGTAAATTGGATTATTAATTAATTTCAAACTGAGTTTCTTACCCTCCTCGGTAAGCTGCGGGCCATTGCTCATTTTCTCAAAGTCAGCTAGTTCCTATATTTCAAACAAAAACTCTTAAATATTACAAAAAAAGAATGTAATTTTAAAAATCTTAACCTGAATCATAGATAACACATCCTTTATATCATCAGCCTTAGCACGCCGGAATGTGAACTCTTCGGATTTCGACATAGTTTCGATCTGATTAAGTTATGTTGTACTGATTGCGGTTAAACGAGCTTATCTTTTGGTCAAACACCTCAAATTAATAGGGATGAGCGATAATTCCGTGACTATAATGATTATTTAAAAATCAGAATGAAAACTGAAACATATATTGGTTATCGGAAGTACAAAACAAATTAGTTTTCTGTTGTTGAAATTTTTAAAAATTTTAAATTTATTAATCTGTTTAAGTTTTATAAAAGTCCGATTGAATGGTAAATCCAGCGTTTGTAGTACGCCTATTATTGCATATATTAATAAGAAATTTGGAAACAAGTAGTTCCTTTAACGTAACAGTTACCAAAACCGATACCTTATTTGAATTATAATTATTTTTGAAATATGAAAACTTTAAGAAGTCCCGCCTACATCAATTTAGGTGTGACCAGACTGCATTTATATTTCTGAATTCTGTTATCGCTTGGTATTTACTGTTAAACGAAGTGCGGTCGCACCGCTTGTTTATTAATTTTTTGTTGTTTTAAAACCAAGAGAAGCGATTGCGTTGCGAAATGGATGTGGATAAGATCTGCCTGACCTGCCTGTGCTCGACGGGACCCTTCCTGTCCATTTACGACGGAGGATCAGGCGGCTGCCTGGCGGACATGATCAGGGATTTTACCAAAACCAAGGTAAGCGACCCTTAAGTAACCCGGATTTCCATTTTAATCGGGGTAAACGCTCTGTTTTAAGCCTCGCCGCCACGATAATCTGCCCGAGAAAGTGTGCATAAGTTGCTTGGGTGAAGTCAATCGATGCTACACCTTCAAGATCAAGTGCGAGAACTCCAGCCGCACCCTGCGCCAATTGCTGCCGAATGCCCTGCCCGAGGAGCCCGAAAACAAGGTGCCGCACAGTTGTCCAGTGGTCACGTCGGATCAGGCTGTGCAGACCGTAAGTTGGGAGCCCAGCAGATGCACAGCCGGCGTGCAAACGGATGCGGTGGCCACCACAAATGCCGAACAGACCACCTGCCTGATCAAGTCAACGAGTTCAGTGGACCTGGATTATGAGGGCGAGGGTGAAGTCTTCGACTACGAGCTGCCGGATGAGCCCGTCGAGTCGACCACCAACCTCATCCTACATGTCCAGGGCAGCTTGAAGGACGAAAAGGAAGTGGTGTTCACACAAACCAATGTCATTTACGAAGGCGACGACAACGAGCTGGAGCAGCAGATCAGGGAGTGTAACCTGGACATATTCGAGGAAGTCGACCACGAGGCGGAGGTAATCACAGTACCCGCTCCGCAGGTCACCACAAGGAAGAGCGCTGCCAAGCTCCTGACGCAGCAGCAGAATGAAAAGCAGGACGAGCCTGTAGATCCCAAGAAGGATGTTACGGAAGTACAACTAGCCCTGCCGACTAAGAGATCTTCTCGCCGGCGGGCAGTGTTAAAGCCGGATGAACAGGCCACGCCTTCGACCGAAGCAGCTTCTCCATCCAAGCCGCTTCGGTTGGGAAGTAACCGCAAATCCCTAAATGCAGTCGGTGGACCAATCACAGTGGCAGTAAGCAGCGCAAGTGCAGCCTTGACCACTGAGCTCAAGTACCACTGCGATCACTGCAATGCGGGCTTTGCGCTGGAAAAATCCTTGATGATTCATAGACGTCAGAAGGGCTGCATCAACCGAAACTTTAAGTGCAACGAGTGTGAAAAGGTCTTCGTATCGCCAGATCACCTGGCCGAGCATCAAGCCAACCATAGTGCGCACAACTGCCCGGAGTGCGGGATGCAGTGTGACTCCAAGGAGCAGCTGAGCAAGCACATGGTGCAGGGGCACAAGCGGAATCTGCGCAATCAGTGCACCGTCTGTCAGAAGGGTGAGTTGGATGCAAACCCATTGAGCACAATTAATCAATCGACTCCCTATTTTGCAGTATTCACCATGCTATCCACTCTGCGTGACCACATGCGCATACACACCGGGGAGAAACCGTTCGTGTGCAATATCTGCGGGAAAAGCTTCACCCAGAACGCCAATCTGCGCCAGCACAAGCTGCGTCACTCCGAGACAAAGAGCTTCAAGTGCGAGCTCTGCCCGCACTCGTTCGTGACCAAGGCGGAGCTAGCCTCTCATGCCCGCACCCACACCGGCGACAAGCCCTTCGAGTGCGATGTGTGCTTGGCCAAGTTCACGACCAGTTGCTCCCTGGCCAAGCACAAACGGAAGCACACGGGCGAACGGCCATACGCATGCGACCTGTGCCCCATGAGATTCACCGCCCTCAATGTGCTGAAGAATCATCGGAGGACGCACACGGGCGAGCGGCCGTACGTCTGCCCATTCTGCTCGAAGACCTTCACCCAACGGGGCGACTGCCAGATGCATCAGCGCACCCACCAGGGCGATCGCATCTACATCTGCCCGGTGTGCAGCGAGGAGTTCAAGTCGATGCCCGATATGAGGTCCCATTTGGCCACCCACGAGCAGCACGACAAGCGCCTGGTGCACTTCACATTTCTCAGCAACAAGGAGAACGGAAGCGGAACCCTTAAGGAAGACCTTAATGAGATGACTGAGTCTGCAATGATACTTTAAGTTGATATGGGAAATGTGCAAATCTCCAGTCAAAGTTGCTCATTACTTTCTCCCGATTGCACAAATGATTATTATCCGGGTTTTGTCTTCTTTGCCCATCTCCGTTCAACCGAAGCGGAAAGTGAAAAATGTTTAACCACTCAAAATCGCAAGACTCATCTGATTACATTTCCGTCTACTCTTCCCCTTGGGAACACTGTTTATGACAAAATTCACAACTTTAGAACATCTTTAGTTTTAACTTAGTCGCTAGATTGTAGATTACAAATAAAAGCTTAAATGGTAAATTGCATCATCGCCTCATTGCTAGTAGAACTGGCCGTACTGCCCCGCGGGTTGCATGGCCGCCGACGTGGAGGCAATGGCACCGGCTGAGGCTGCGACGGAGGATTCGGGCAGGAGCAGGATGGCGGCGGCAGGCGGACCGCTCGTCACGGGCGGATCGCCCTGAAACCAGTTCACCAGCTCGTGGTGCGCACTCTGGACGCACTTGCGCTGGTCGGCAATCAGGTTCTCCGAGTATTTCACGTGGTTGGCATAAGCATCCTTCTCGTGCTGCACATCCTTGGACATACGATGCAGGTCCTTGAGTATTGCCGATCCCCACAGTTGGACGTGGATGTCGGGTATCTTACTGGCCAGTTGCATGGCCGGCGTCACCATGTTCATACTCTCCTTTGAGTTTCCGATGCTGAGAAAGACGTGCGATAGCAGAACCAGCGAGCAGCTGGTCAGTCGGTTCAGGTCTTCAGCGTTTGCCATCTTCAGGGTTTCGCGAAGGAATCGTCTGTAAAAGAAGAGAATATAAAGCTTGATGGCAGGCCTCAAGACATATATATCCCAAGCCCACTCACTTGGCCTCGTGGAAGCTGTTCTTGTGGAAGGCGTGCAGACCCTGGACGTAGTAAAATCCTCCCATCAACGCTTGGCTGCTGTACGTGTGCGTGTTCTCCGTGGACACTGCATCCAGAATCTGCTTGAGGTCCGTGTCCCGCTTGGTGCGCAGGTAGATGATTGCCAGGTTGAGGTTGGCGAATAGTTTCAGGTCCCGCTCGGTGGTCTCGCTCACGCACACAAGAAACTGCCGCTCGGCGTGTTCGAAGAAACTGGTGGACATGGAGTACAGGCCGATGAGACAGTGCAACTGGGCCGAGTGGCGCCGCAGGAGGCTGCGTTGCGGAGCAGCCAGGCAAACATCTCTCGCGGCGGCTATTTCTCGGATGGCCAGTTCCCGGTTGCCCATCACCATGCGGCACATCACAATATGCTCCAGCAGGATCACCTTGAAAACGGAGAGAATAGGCTTGTCCTCCTGCTGCTTCAGCTTCTCGATCTGGGTTAGTGCCTTTTCCGTATACTTCTGTGCCTTGTCCATGTAACCCGCCATCATGGAGTGCGAAACGGTTACCAGGTATACGAGGACATAAAGCTGCTCCTTGGGCAGCCACACGAACATCTCCAGCTGATTGGCACCGAAAATCGCCTCATCCGAGGGCCAGTTGGGTGCCATTATCGTCTGTATGGACATCTGCAGTTGCTTGAGACTGGGCTTCACCGTCTTCACCTGCCCCAGGGCCAGATAGTAGCACACCTGCAGCACCAAAAAGAACACCTTCAGGTACTCCTTCTGGTGCGGATTGGGTATGTTGTTGTCGATAATCTGGCCGGCGGAGTTGAGCAGGGCGAGTACATCGTTCGTCTTGCGCTCGATCATGAGGATCATGGCGCGCGAGAGCAGGAACAACACTTTCAGGTACGTGGCGCTCGCCTCGTCGGCACTTTCCGCCCCCACGGCCAACAGTTCGGATGCCGCCGAGTACTCGCGGTCGCTGGCGTGGATTTGGGCCAACTGGAGGAGGAGCTTGCAGTGCCAGTAGACGTTGTGTTGCGACAGTTCCACGGCCCGTCTCAACATCACCTTGGCCTGGTGCGAGTTCATGTCCGTCTGCAGATGCAACTGGGCCAGCAGGGAGGCGGTGTCGAACTTCACGTCGAAGTTGGCCAGCGGCTCGGATATGCTCCACGCCTTCTCCAGGTGATTGCGCGCCAGGTCGATATTCTTGGTGTAGGCCATAAGGATTTGGCCCATCTGCAAGTGGGTGCGCGCCTCGACCTTCGAGGGCGGCATGAATGTGAAGAGCGCCTGCAAGCACTGGATGCACTTCTTGATGTTCGGCGGCTGCGAGGTGCGGAAGTACTCCGCCAGACCCAATAGCGATATGTAACAGGCGTCCTGGGACGCCGTCGCCGACGTGCTCGTCGATGCGCTCATTTCGAACAGCAAATTCGGTTTGTTTATCGCGTAATTTTGTTGTCAATTCGCGACTGTGCTGTGGCGGTGGTGGCTGCCAGTGTTGGTCAGGACCGGCGCTGGTGGTGGCACAAGCGTTCGCGGTTATCGGTATGCTGTCACGGTGGGAGTCACGGTTTTAACCAAATAGAAAATGGGCGCGTTTACAAAAAAATCTATTTCTTAAAAGTGGGACGCTGCCATGCAAAGTTCTGTAAAATTGGTAGTTTCTTTTTGGAACTGCTATTAAAGGTACTTTAACTTGTGTTTTGGTGCAATTGTACTATAGAAATTGAATTTACCCATTAATTGTGATCAAATAACCATGACCTAAACATGTTTCCTGTACTTGTATAAAATTACATTTCATATATATAAGCTCTCTCAAATGCGATTTCCCGTGAAAAAAAGTAAATATATATACAATATATAAAATCCGTTTACAATATAATAGGTTTACATTTTTTAAAGCTTAATTTCGTACTTCTGTGTTGAAAACAGTATTTTCTAAAATGGTGTGACCGTAACATTTTTGAGCATCAGCTGAGCTTATCTCTTTAAAGTCGGGCTTGGCCGTTTACTTGTCTCATGATTTAGTCAATGATTGTAAGTGCAGTTGTTCAGACGTCTCAAATTGCTGTGTTGAAATAATATCTGTGCATCACTTGAGTAAGGTAATTAACAATATTTTTTTATTTTTGGCTTTGTTTTGTAAAGGCTTTTTATTATTTTCCAAAACATGAATACATTGATAAAAGCAATATCAATAAACAAAGCATTTACTGAATAAACCTAAGAACATGCTAATGATCGTGGAACATGTTCTTATCAATGTTAAAATACTTATATATTTTTGCAACGTTGCGAGATTAATTATCAAGAAAATATATAAACTTACAGAATAAAGTAAAACGAACAAAGATAATTTTTCTTTTTTAACATAATTTATATTTAAAAAAACATCCTTTTTAAAAACCATCCTTAGATAAATCTGAAACGTGTTAATTTTTAAAATACAAATATATTCACAATCTAATAATCATAATCTAATAAAAAGTAAATACAAGCGAAAGTACAAGCACATGACAAATAATTTAAAAACCATATTGCTTTGCAATGGTTTTGCAGTTATTTTTTTTTGTTATCGATAACATGGGAAAGTCCAAGAGTATCGTTATCTTTGGCTGACCCCGCAAGTTATTTAACTATTAAATATAATGAAACAATGAGTTCTTACTATTTCAAAGAAGAAAAATATAAAAAGAAGAAGTCAAGGTTAAATTCGTAAGCCGAGTAATATTTTTGGAGCGGTTAAAATAAAGATTAGCAATGCTATTGGTGAAAAACTTAACTTAGAGTAATTCGTATTAGGTACAGATTTAAAAAAAAAATTGAAATGTTAGTGACTTTTAAAAATGATATCTTTAAGTTTTAAAACAAGTTTTAAATATAAAATATATATATATATTTTTTTATGTATATAAATATATATTTGTGTTAGAGTTATTTTACATTACTTAATAACCAATCCAATCTATAACCATAACTTTTTAATTACATTTTTAGGCAAAATTCAGAAATGCATACCCTCAGCTTATTCCTGCTAGGGATACTCCCTATAATTGTCCTAGCCGGATTTGGCAACCATGACCAATCTCTACTAAAGAATCGTTCAAGGATATTCGAAGGAGAAAGGGAATTTTCTATAACAATGCTGAAGCAGATCCGAAAGAACTATCCGAACGGCAACATGTTTTTCTCCCCGTACAGCGTCTATAATGCTTTACTCATAGCCTTTTTTGGTTCGTCCGGAGCCACGGAGGCACAGCTGGTCAATGGGTTGAATCTGAACTGGGCTTCCTCTAAGTCACAGGTACAGAGCGCATATGTCGTACAAAAAAAGCTAGACGAAAAGCGAGCATTTCAAAATCCGCTGGAGCTCTCTTCTGCGAACCGCATATTCGTGGACAAGAAGGTGGAAGTTGTTCAAATTTTCAAAACCCTCCTATACGATGAAATCAAGCAAACCGACTTTAAGAACCAACCGATGAAGTCACTCCAGGAAATCAACGATTGGATCTCAAATAAGACGTACAACCAGATCCACGACATTCTCAGTGCCGATGAAATCACTTCAAATACCATGTTGGTCCTGGCCAACGCCGCCTACATGAAGGGCCAGTGGCTCAGCCAGTTCAAGGTGGAGAGGACCACTCCAAAGCCCTTTTACATAACCCCCAACATACAGGAGGTGGTTCCCATGATGCGACAGAAGGGCACGTTCAAGATGAACATCGCCGAAAACTTGCAATCGCAAATCCTTAGGCTGCCCTTCCGGACTCAATATGAGTCGGCAGACAAGTTAAATGCCACGCCCGATGATAAGTCCGATGTTTCCATGGTGCTCATCCTGCCGACGTCCAGCGCAGTTTCCATTGACGATGTAATTACCCGTCTGGATGCCAACTCATTGGAGACGCTGATCGAAAATTGTGTGCCGCGTGAGATCGAATTGTCGCTGCCCAAATTCCAGTTTGAGCAACGTACTGGAATCACTCCGGTAAGTATATCTAATCTATTTACTATGTATAAAGCTTATTTTTTGTATCTTATTTAGATCCTTGCCAATATGGGCATTACCCAGATGTTCACCGGTGATGCCACCTTCGATGATTTAACCGCCGAGCACGTTTCCTTCGATGACGCTCAGCATGTGGCCAAGATCAAGGTGGACGAATTGGGAACCACCGCGGCGGCGGCCACTGTCCTCTTTTCCAGTCGATCCGCCAGGCCCGCCGATCCCAACCAGTTCAATTGCAACCATCCGTTCCTGTTCCTCATCTACGATCACAATGTCAAAACGATCCTTTTCGCAGGCGTCTATAGCGACCCCAGGGAAATGCAGCACTAAAAGTGAATCCGTTTTTCGCTTTCCATTGATTCAGCAGTTAAAAAGTCTTTTAATAAATCTATACATTTTTTTTTGGCAATAAAATTTGGATTTACGAAGAGTTTAAAAATGTTTTTACTTCGGATAATTTTTTATATAAAACATGAAGAGACTTAACATCATTTAAAAGAATACCAATATTATTTGCTCTTAACACCGATGAAAATTTGGTAATTAAACCTAGCCAACCAATGAGGAAAATAGATTAATATAAATAAAGGCGGATTTAGTACAGGGACTTCAGTAACAAGTTGGCTAGAATAATTCGAATCTAAATAAATAAATAAAAAACTATCCTTGGGCAATAAAGTCACCATTTCTGCTGGCTATTTACACACCTGCTGAACTAGCCCATTTTTTTCGTTTCCCTGGGGTGACCGTTCAAAGAGTTAAGATCACCTGTTGGATGCCGATTGCCGTGTATCGATATCAAAGCTGCGCTTGGCGGATCTAAGTACCCTGCTTCGCTTGGGGAGCGATTCAGTTTATAGTTTTATCCGCAGGTGAACTGACTTACGCTCGGTCTAAGTTATTGTACGATATTTCGGTGCCACTTAAAGCCTACACTTAAAGAAGGTATTTCCCACCATTTATTTAGTGCCTGTCAAGTGTTTTTGTTCCAATTTGTTTAACTCCCCCAGAAATTGTGACAAATATTATCGAATCGGTTTGATATTAGAGCGTCGCCTGTTTTTGTAATACTAATTACCATATCGGTGTATACATGTCAACGATTGCACATATATGAACACAATATTATATGTGGACTTGTATATTTGACTCACGCAATTTAAATGAAGCAATCAATTGCGCTATTTTGATATTGTCAATTATATTCACAATTTGTGGGATTTTTTGCAATTAATAAGTGAAAAAGTTCCATTGGAACACGGTTTAAGTTATCTCTTCAATGCTGGTCAATTGTGACCCTCAACCTTGACTTATAAATAATCTTAAAAACAATAGAGCTCCCTATAGGAATTAAATTTTTATTTGGGGAAACGTTTTGCAATCAAAACTTTAAGAATATGAATATTGATAATAAAATGCAGTCAAATTTAAATAAAGAGAAGACTCCAAGTTGATTTAGGCTACACAGATAATTATAATGAATAATTTTTATTTGTTTTTCTTCAAAAATGTATAAAAACAAAACGTTATCAACAAAAATTCCGTTTATTCACTTCCAGGGAATTTAATCAATTCAATATTTAAAGGGAATCATCCAGTGGTGTTTTTTCGAAGTAGGTTAGTTTTGAAAATACATTACACTACGTATTTTAGTGGTTAAGTTTTGAAAAGACTTTTAGATACAAAAGTTCTTTTTCCATCACTTCTAATATACGGAAAGCAAGTGTTTGTTATTCAAAGTGCTTCTGGCAACCCAGTTAATCCAAGTTCAATGCAGCTTAAATAAGGCTGACATGTCCGCTTCCTATCGGCTTAAACTGGTTGTTCAATATTTTCGGATTCTCCCAAAAAAAAAACCCAGATAGTGAGCAAAAAAGCCGCGCATGCGCAGAAACAAGCGTTACGTCTGTGGTGAACCAAAAATACAAGTAACAACAACAGAAAGCAATTACAAAATACAAAATCGCCAATACAGGGTCAGCAATGAGCATACGCGCTTAAATTCGAAACGCCAACAATGTGTACCGTTTATGAATCATATACTATAGTTTTGTCTGCCGGTGGGATCCGCAACCGGTTATCGGAAATGTTAATTTTGGGTTTTTTATTTTTACACAAAGCGCTTTTCATTGCTGCGAGTGCAGTCACGCAACCAAAGACTTCGTCATCGCTCAGCTGGCCAAGAGCTGGAGCCAAAATCCGATGTAAAGCTCCCGATCTGTGGAGCCTCTTTCATGCTCCGATGGATGCATATGGGTTCATTATGTTCGGATTGCGAATTTCGAGTGCAGAGCGGCGGAAACTTTCACTTTTTTTATGTCGTGGCTGCGAAGATGTTGCAATTGTCGCCCCAAAGATAATTTAAACGACTTGATGGAGTGGAAAAGCTTTTCGGTGAATCAGCCAAAAGCGATTTTAAACGAGCGCCAACTGAAGCGGCTAATTTCAATTAAATATTTGTTTAAGATCATCAAACAAGGTCATTTGATTTCATTTTTCCGCCCATTAAATTATGATAAGTTTTGAGTAACTAATCTCTTACCTTAAATTATTGTCAACATTAAGCATACTTGAATATAAGAATGAGATGAGACAACTTTTTATTTCGTATAATAATTTTCGTATAATAAAATATCATATTTAAAATTATTAGTTTTTGTTAAACACTTTTTGATGACTCATGAAATGGGAAAAGTAAATTCCTAAACTATTAAAGTTTTCCCTGCATTTATATAAGAAAAAAAACTTTAATGAGTTACTCCCAGAACACGCCTTCTAATGAGCTTAAAGTCGCAACTCTACTTTGACTTATCCCCTAATGAGTATGGGCTTTGCCCAGGAATGACTCTGAAAGCAAATTCTGACATTTTATTATCATGACTTAAATGGATGTTCGGGTATAAGTATCATACCTTTATGGGCACTGCATAAATTTGAGTTGCCTAAACGCGTTTTTAAAGCTGCAATTGTCTAATATTCATAAAATAGAAAATAAATTAAAATTCAATGACAGACACTTTTGTTCAAGGTAACCACTTTTCAGATAACTTCCGGAATTTTCAGGGTGTTTATAGTAAAAGTCGGTCAAAGTTAAAATTTGCAAGCCCATTCTGCATCGACAACCTATCAATGGAACACCTAATCTCAACCTGCAACTCCTTAAGAAACCAAAGAATAATAAACCAATATCTTCCCTTTCAAATCCCACTATGTTCGATATTTAATATTCTGCCATACCTTAAAATCATATATAATCAATCTCTCCTTAGATTACCATAAGCAGACATTAAAATAATACAAAATATAATACTATATTTTTGTAAAGCCTGAGCTGATTAGTCATTTAAATTACTGGTTAGCTCTTATTAATTCTAATACTTACATATTTACAAAAGCGATTTTGAGCTTTTTAGAAACTAAACCAATCTTACTTTCTCCATCTTTGGCTAGGTTTTCACAAAATGCATATCCTCAGTCTATCTCTGATGGTGATCCTGCCGGCTGTCGCCTTGGCAGGACTTTGTGACGTTGAGCCCGACGCGAACCTACTGGATGGCAGGGAAAACCTCTACAAGGGACAGCAGAACTTCGCCGTGTCCATGCTGGATGCGATCCGGCAGAGTACTCCCAACGAGAACGTCTTCTTCTCGCCGTACAGCACCTACCACGCCCTGCTGCTCGCCTATTTCGGATCCTCCGGGGAGACGGAACAGGAGCTAAAGAAGGTGCTGCATCTGGATTGGGCCGATTCCAAGGAGCTGGTGCGCAGCGCCTATGTCCTGGAGAAGAAGAACCGCAAGGAGCGTCAGAGTAACATGCCGCTGGAATTCTCCTCCGCGGACCGCATATTCTTTGCCAACGATCTGCCGCTGACACACTGTGCGAAGACCCGCCTGGTTGACGAGGTCAAGAGGATCGACTTCAAGAACAAGCCCGAGGAGTCACGCAAGGAGATCAACGACTGGATCGCCCAGGACACGCACAACCAAATCCGCAACATGCTCAGCGCCGATGAGATCACTCCGCGCACCCGCTTGGTCCTGGCCAATGCCGCCTACCTGAAGGGCCAGTGGCTCAGCCAGTTCAAGACGGAGAAGACTGCTCCGATGCCCTTCTACACCTCACCGTCGAACTTATCGCTGGTGCCGATGATGCAGCAGAAGGGCACCTTCCTGCTGAACGTCGACGAGCAGCTGCGCGCCCACGTCCTCCAGCTGCCCTACCGCACCGTATTCGAGTCGCAGGAGAAGCCCGACAGCTTGCCCGATGAGAACTCGGACATCTCCATGGTGCTCATCCTGCCGCCCTTCAACAGCAACTCCCTGGAGGATGTGCTTTCCCGGCTCAACGCCGATACCCTGGATGAGTCGCTCAAGCAGGCCATGCCACGTGAAATTGAGGTGTCGCTGCCCAAGTTCGAGTTCGAACAGCGCCTGGAACTGAGCCCAGTGAGTCTTGTTTATATGCCAAGATTGTGGATATCCTTTTTCCAGTCCAGTTTTTCTAAACCTGCTCTATCCTTTAGATCCTTGTCAAAATGGGAGTAACGAAAATGTTCGACGAGTCGTCCGCTACCTTCGACGACTTGACCTCGGAGGCCATTTCCATCGGAGACTCCAAGCACGTGGCCAAGATCAAGGTGGACGAGGAGGGAAGCACTGCGGCGGCGGCCACAGTTCTCTTCACCTACCGCTCGGCCAGGCCCGTGGAACCCGCCAAGTTCGAGTGCAACCATCCGTTCCTGTTTGTCATCTACGATCGCACCTCCAGATCGATCCTGTTTACGGGCATCTATCGCGATCCCAAAACAATGAAGCAGTAAAGTATAGGCATTTCAGGGTGCTGAAACTTCGCAATTAACTTAACCAAATTATGTTTCGACTGTTGATGAACAATGTAAACATTTTAACTAACTTAAACGATAATAAATTATGCCCATAACAAGATCCGAATTTTGGAAGTATATATTTCTAATTTAAACGAATCATATAAAATTATTATTTGATCTCAAAAATCGAATTTTGAAGTGCTATTAAAGTGCCCTCAAAGGTTAAATGTTAAGCTATATTTTAAGTTTACCCGCCCATTTAAAACGCACTAAGAAACTTTAAGTTTTGCTCAATTTACTAATTTTTTCATACAAAAATCGCAAAAATCAAATCTACAGTTTCATTTTGGTAGTTTCTATTAAGTAAACACTGCTACGTAAACAAGTTTGCAAATAAGGATGTGGGCATATGTAGGCAAGGGTCCAAAATCGGAGGAGCTTAGGCAACCTGGTGGTTCTAGCACGCGTATGTACAAAATCATCTTTAATACTTAACACGAAAACGAAACTGTACGTTCTATCAAATCAATACTAAACAATTGGACAAAGTTGATTTGTTGTTGGCTATTTTCAAACAGAAGATAGAAGAATTCTTTGTGTGAACTAAATTTGTATGTCATGGCCGAAGCGGAAAGCACTGAAGGCACTTTTGTTTTTTTCTTAGTTTCGTTTTGTGGTTTGGCAAGCAAGCTAAGCTACATGATACATGAATCGATTTCATCTTTACATTAATCAATACAATCCTAGCCATGCCTCATGCTCCTCGAAGGAAAAAAGAGGGGTATTAGGTAGTAACTACAACTAAATCTTCAAATAATGTGGGGTCGTCAACGGGCGATCTCGTGTGGAGTTCCATGGCTTCGCCTGCCTACAAGTCATCCGGTGGCATGGCGACAGCGTAGACGGCGAATCCGATGAACACAATGCCACCGACGATGGTGACAGTGCGAACAGAGATTTTGGAAGCCACTAGACGACCTCCAATCACAGCCAGGCCAGTGCAGATGCAGTGGCCAATAATACCGCCAGCGATGACGCCATAAACGTCCTGCAATCGGTGATATACGTTAGCTATAATGTTTAATTAATTGCAAAGTTAGTAGCAAAGTTACCTTGCTGGCGGCGAGAATAATGGTGGTCAGTTGGGAGCGGTCGCCCCACTCGGCCAGGAAGGTCATCGTGAATGCTTGGGCCAGGATGCGCATGGTGAAGTAGGTGGCACCGCGTTTCTGTGGACGACGACGACCGCTCTCGGCGTCACTTACAAGCGCCGCATTCACATCACGGTCCAGCTGTAAAAGAAAATAGTTTTTATTAGCGTAATATTAGCGCAGAAGCACAGGAAAACTGCAAAATTCGATGAAAATGTGCGCAAACAAAGGGAAAAACAGCAAATAAAATAGACATGGATATACTTTTTGTGCAAGAAAAAGTGGACAACACTTCTCCTGCTGATTAAACCAAAAGAGAAAACTTAAATGGCAAAAAACGATCACTTCAAAACAACATGCAGAGAGAAAAATTGGTGAAATGAGTGCGAATGGAACGGAAACAATGGGTAATCATAGACAGTGACGACAAAACCAGATGACTTAAAGTTAATTTCTAAAAAATATCCGTGAATGTATTTTGTGGCTGTAAAGTGTCACGGTTTAATGGGTGTTTTTTTTTTTTTTTTGGTTGTGGGTGATGTTTTTGGGGAAAAAGCACGTGAAACGAATATGATTAAAACAACAACAAACGTTAGCAGTTGTCAGTTATTAGAATAGCGCAACCCAGAACCCCATTTCGATTCTAGTTAAATTTTAAGGAATTAGAATTGATTAGAATCATTTCCTTTGAATTACGCTTTATGAACTGAACTCAGTTTCCATTTTGACCCTTAAATCCATTTGTCTTAACTTAATGGGAGTATTTTAAAAATATTTTTAAATAGGTGATTGCAACAAATCATGTGAATATTAAATTAATTTCCAAAGAAATATTCTTTCAATTCCAATTTCGAAAAAAGTAATAGAATAGGAAACGGGATCGGGGCTGCATGGGCTTGGAATACGGATTGTGGCCTAACCCGTGCTTTGAGGGTGCCATTAGCCGGTCCGGCGGAGTCCCCGTTTAGGCTGCCATTGAGGCTGTGCATGCTATCGTGTCCGGCCAGCGGAGCCCGGGGCTCCGAGGCACCTACGACGGACGGATCGGTGGGATGACCAGCCAGCTGGACATCGACGGTGGTTGTGGAGGCGGCAATGGAGTTGGTTTGTTCGGTCTGGTTCGATGAGGCCGCCGAGTGGGCCGGGCTGCTGTGGTAGGTCTTCATCTTGAGCTGCTCGACAATGCGGCCGCCCTCCTTGAGGAACACCTCCGACTCGTGCTGATCCCGGTCCTCGTCATCGGTGCCAGTTTTATCACAGCTGTTTTGCTTACTATTAGAATGGGTGATGGTGCTGTTATTGTTGTTGAGGTGGTTGCGCTGCTTTCGCTGGCGGTGCTGCATATCGGAGTCACCGATGCTGGTGGCTCCTGCTCCGGCGGAAACGGAACTGCGGCCATGGATAAGCGCCTGCTCGCTGACATCCTCCTTGTCCGAGTTGCTGTTCTTTCGCTTGCCCTCCGAATCCTCGTACTTTCGGCTGGCTTTGCGCATCAACTGCATTTAGATCGACCCATAAATCAAAGTCGAGTGCGACATACAGTTTTGGTTTTTTTTTTTTTGATTGTTTGTCACGTTTCGGTAACATTTTCAGAGGCAATGTTAAATCAAATTTTTAAATTTCGTTTTGCATAAAGGAAAAACAATTAAAAATTTGCATTAGCTAGATAGTCGATTGGCAGAAATTTTGATATTGATTATTATTCGGTTGGAGTTTTCGTTTTGGCAAAAAGCTTTTCCATTTCAAACGATATCTGGTTTAGTACGAATTTGCTTTGATCAATAAACTTTTAAAACTCGCTTGTATTTGATATGCTCAAATCGTGCAATTAGTCACATAGGCTTAGGATGGGGTGTATATGTATTGTATGTGAATTTTAAATGTTTAAATCAAGGAAAATAATTCGCAAACTTAAATTGAGAGTGTGGAACAACCACTCTGTTTCACCGACGATGTTCCGCACGGCTTTTTGTTGATCGGTTTGGAATATTTAGGGTTGTTAAAGTAACCGTAGTTTTGTTAGAAGCTAATAAAAGTTCTTAATTAGCATGCAATCAAGGTGTAATTACAATTATGAAAAGTTTTAGGTTCGTGTTTGATTAGTATTTGTTTTCTTGTTATTGTTCGCGGCTCTCGTGTCAAGCAAAAATATAATGGGGTTAAATTAAATTAGGACTGGAAAACCAAAGCGGGGCATATGAAGTGATCGCTTTAGCATTGCATCAACTGTTTTGTTTTTTCTGTACAAATTGCCAGTCGGTATGATTATAATAATAGAAAAATAACAAATTAAGCGCAGCAATTAACAAAAGCAATAAAAATTAACTAATTACTATAATAATACAGCAACGAGCGAAACTACTAGAAAACAATGTTAAAAACTAAAGAAACTACTGCAACATATAGCACTACTACAGTATACAGGGGGATCCATTGTGGACAACTTACCTCATCCTCGCGCTTGCGCAGATCAGATTGAACCTCTTCCAATTCCTCCTGAGCGTCGGTTGGCTTCATTTTGTAGCCGTCGTACAGCATTTTCAAGCCGAATATTAAAAATAATGCAGTTGAGATATAATACGTATAAGTCTGTGGATAAAAATAACACCGTTTAATTTCCGATTATTATATTTTTACATTGGAAAGTAAAGACATTCTTTAGCCATTCGGAATTCTCATTTGAGTTGTTTACCAATTATCGCTTAAAACGTGTATACAAATCGGCATTTGAGCTCTTTGACAATTATGACTCAACTCATATAAGAAATCAGATTATGTAAAGGGGCCTTTATACGGAGAAATACAAATATTTAGATCACCTACCTTAGGAATAAAGTTCGCTGCCATGCCAAATACGCATGAGAGTACCGTCATAAGGGCCAAGGCGGCAATGGCACCGCCAAAGACAATCAAACGCGGATGGCGCATGGCCATTATGGCAGCTATAAAGAAAGTTTTATCCCCTAGCTCTGTTAATAGGATAACAGAGATCGATGCGGTAAACGCATCGATGAAACTTCCCTTCGTCTTTGGCCGATCTTCAGCATCCTTTGGTTTCTCTGCTAAAGAGCTTAGGTCCGTTGGCTTATTCAAATCTGCTTGCATCTTCATGTCCTGTGGAGAGGAAATAGTTAATAGTTAATCTCAAAAATTGGCTGCATGACCTACGCTCTGTATTCCGGATTCAATAACCGCATTGTCCGCACCATCTGGTTGAGCTTCCGCCGCACAAATTGTGCCAAATGTGAGCACCACCATCAAGGCCAGCGCCATGTGCCATTTGGCCGTGCGCTTCAGGTATACATTGTGTCTGGTCGTCTGCCAGAAATAGGATTGGTTTTGTGACATCTTCGCTGTCTGTGGATGGGAACTGTCGCTCCACTACTCTTGCCTCATGCAAATCTTCGTTTTTAAGGCTATCCGTTGTACTTTAAACGTTTACGTGTCCGTTGCCTTCGACTGACTGCAAAGAAATGAAGTGGACTCGTTGAGAATCTCGCTCACATGGGGTAAAATATACTGGGTAAGGCACAATGTTTATGGCTAATCGGGCAACAAGTGTTCTCCGCGGCATTATTTATACAAGGCAAACAGAAAATCACCCGTGTCTGTGTTTGACCAAGTCAAAACTGGGCTCAATTTCATTGGGGTACGAAGTTGGCGGAGGAAGGTCGGTGCGCAGATAAGCGACACACTGCGTCAAGTGTCGACTGATATGGTCAATCAATGTCGATGCTCTCGGTTTGGTACCAGCACAACCCAGTAGCCGAAATATATTTCTTCAATTTCGCACGACCATTCGATACGTCAGAGGCAAAAAGCACTCAGTTTGCTATCGATTAGATAATGGCCTAAGAAATATTCAGAAAGGAAGGCGATTTCATGTTGATTGCTGGATGCTCTTATGGGGTCTCCCTTGATATGTTTATACTGTTTATCAAAAAACTCTCAAGGTGCTGTGTGGGTGGCAAATATTTGTGTGTTATTTTGCTTAGATCGCAGTTCGCTATCTTTAAAATGAACCCATAAGTAGAAAAACTCTCAGAAAAGATATGCGAACTCAAAAGGTTGAAACTGGGATTAGCATACAATTTATAAATGGAATTTATTTTCATTGTAAATATTATTAAAATTGCTATCCAAAAAAAATAAAGAGAATTCATCAGTAAATATTCCGTTTAAAATATCTACTTGACTATTTATAAAATTAAAATTTTGTTATCTTATTTTATTGTTCGTCTAACGAAAGTGTCAAAAGTCTAACAATATTGAGAATAGCAAAGTACACTTTATAGTTTTATTAAAGTAATTTGGAGATAGGGTATAAAAATAGACAGATATGTACGTGACCAAAGAACAGAATAAAAGTTGAACTGTAATCGGCTGCCAAATCTGATGTACATGCGTACGGGCATGTTCATTACGTGTATATTAGTATATTTTTTTCTTTTTTGGTTGCAGATAGACGGTGTACTTTGATGTTGCCAAAATTCATTAGGATGAATGTGATTTCGCTTTCGAACTGATTAATAGTTTATTATTTTTTGAACCCACTGAGATTATATCTAGATATCTTGTTCTTATCAGGGACAATGCTTATGGTAACAAAAGAAATATGAAATCATGACGATGCCTGATTTCTTGTAATAAAATGTCCCCATTCTCATAGATAACACAATCTTTTTTAATCCAAATTGTACTGACTATTAAATATACCTGAGATCTGTAAATATCCTTTTCGATTGAAAAACAAAGAGGGTTTCATTATGCCACTGTTTATTTACCATGAATCAGCTTTGTTTATAGGAGTATCTGGGGTTATCTTTTTTTCGCTGACTCTCCTGTGCTTCCCATTTGCATAGCAGAAGTCATCCACTTTATTCTTTTTCATGTTTCATTAACGTATTTGCCCGATAAATAAAAGACTAAAGACGCAATAAAGGGGGATATTTGCGAATAGCTAAAGAAAAACAAGCATCCCGCGAAAGCAATCGTTATGTAAACATATGCTGATTCTGGGAGAGCTTGGCGGTTACGTCTCGCCTTACTTGTAATGGATGAAAGTGATAAGAAAAATATTAATTTTGTGGGGACAGTTTGGCAATTAATGTGGATAAAGTGAATTTAACCAGCGGCACAAATAACGTCCTAAACATTTCCAATAATAATTCATTAATACATATGTATTCATATTTCCAGTTCCATTTAATTGAATTCAAATTACAAACTCACACACACACACAATTTCGCGTTGATTGCCCCGCAAAAAAATAAATAAGAACAAAAAACGGGTCGAGAACGGGCAGATAAATCAATTGCCTAGGGTATATAAAACAGTAGAAATCATATTCATTTATGCCCAGATATGTACGTATGTATGTATGTTGTAATGGTCTTGTTTTCGAATGGCTGGCATTGATTTGTATTTCCCTTCTATTTTTTGCGAGTTTCTATTTTTGTAAGACACGCAACAACAACAAGAACTAACGGTTTCATGCCGAACCGCTGATCACTTAAGCTATAGTTTTTATTAAGCTTATAACATTTATAAAACTCTTAGCTGCAAATTATTGGCATAAGGTCAACTGTTTAATTGCTAATTTATTTATTTAATAGCTGCCATTATGAGCATTGTTTTCATTGCTTTTCACTTGGCACTTTAATTATTTTTAGCGTTTTTCCACAAGGCCCAGCTACTTGTGTCTCACAGGTGGGCATCACTACCAGAAACACTTAGCCGCTGACGACAGCAAATTCTCAATTAATCGAGATGTAACTGCATTGCTTGAATAACACTCGACACGGGAAATTAGAGTTACCCTTTGGGTGACTCATTTGCTGTGAATCAACGCCAACTTATAATTTAATTAGGTGAATTAGTGGAGCACAAAAAACACGTCCTTACGTTGCGAGAATTACTTTTTGTTCTGCTCGAATAAGGTGTTGCAAAGCGTTCAAAGGCGAATAGTTCTGCACAACGTGGCTAGATTTGAACAGCTGTTGGCGCCAGCCGAGCGAGATGGACAGACACTATGCGTGAGAGCAGGATGGAACCATACATTCAGAGCTAGAGAGGAACGGTCTTCCGAAATAATTTATGCGATATTTTGAAGGGTGGATTGATTAGTTTCAGACATACACATAGATATATATATATATATATATATATATATATATATATACATATAAAAAAATTATGATTATAACATTCAATATAATTTAACTGCTTCTCATTTAATATTGATTAAACACAATTTTATATATCAAAAATTGTCCAAAAATAAAAACCAAAATAAATATGATATATGTACCTAAACTTTCAAATTTATTTTTTATATTCACTCGTATTATTTACTAAAATTTTTACTTTTATCCATCGCTTTAGCTCGTGATTCGATACTAGTTACCGTTAGACGTTCGTGCAAGGAGTGTCCGAGTTGCACATCCCTAAAGCAAAAGAATTCCTTTTTTACGTCGGCCGTAGTTGGATTCAGATTCACATTCAGACTTGGGTGGCTGGATTAAAGCTAGAATTGAAATGACAGAGCCAAGATGTCGATATCAAAATTATTCGTGAAAGTGTTCAACGAGGATATATTCGAGCAGGTGGACCACGACAATCTGTACTCGGATTTGGACGATGACTTGGAGGGTGCAAATTGCTCAACGGTGCCGGATCCGAAGCCCCCAAAGCTCGCAGATTTGTCCGTGACCAAGTAGGAGTGTCCTTAACTCCTAGCCTCTAGGGCCATGTTAAAGAGAGTCCATTTCCCGCAGGCAGATGATCATAGTGCGAACGTGGCTAGATGACAAGTTCCAGCAAATCCAGACGGACAGCAATGAGGAGATACGGCGCCTGTACACGGAGACGGAGAACCGCATCGGGCCGGACCTGACCATTTTCGACGTGGACTACACGACCACGGTGCGCGTGTCCCCGGATCGCCTTACCCTGCGCTCCCAGGGAAGCTTCAATACGGTCCGGGCAAATTGTTGCGTGTACGGCGGGCGCTGGATGTATGAGGTAATCGTTATGAGGGAGTGGGCATATAGGCATAGATTGGGGAATGGGTGGTAGATTTGGCGGTGGTTGACCAGCGGTCAATGACTCGCATTGAGGAGTGTGGGTTGCTCGTGCGTACTAAATACCCGTATAACGTTTTCAGATCCACCTTCACACCAAGGGCGTCATGCAGATTGGGTGGGCCTCCAACTCCTGCCAGTTCAACGAAAACAGCGGCGTAGGGGATACCAAGTGTAGCTATGGATACGATGGCAGCAAGCAGCAGATCTGGCATATATCCACCAAGAAGTAAGCTAGTGTTTACTGTTTTTCAGCTTAAAAATATTAAAACATAATTTCTGTTTAGATACGGTGATAAATGGCAGATCGGCGACGTCATCGGCGTGACCATCGATGTGGAGAAGGAAGTGATCGAGTACTACCGAAATGGACGCTCGATGGGCGTGGCGTTCAACAAGCTGGAGAAAGGTCCGGGCATAACTTTCTTCGCAGCCATCTCCCTGGGCTACACGCAGGGTATTGGGGCGAACTTTGGAAATCGTCCGTTCATGTATCCGGTGGCGGGCTTCCAACCGCTCATGGCCCGCCCCATCCTCAAGCTGCGTCGGGCCAATCTGCTGATGAATTACCTGATAAACCTGGCTGGCATCTTTTCCAAGTACAATGCTCAGTCAGCGACAGCACCAAACAACTGCACTGAGGCACGCGTTTCCACCAAGAAGACGGTGTACTGCATCTTTGCCACCTTGCTGATTGAGAAGTTCACGAACGAGATATTTGATCCGTACATTATCGAGGACGTGTTGCTCAACAGGATCGCCAGCCTGACAACGCTGGGGGCCGAGAAGGAGAGCCGACACACCGTGCTTCAGGGCTTGTTGTCGCTTTTTTGGAACTACATGGAGGGCGACGAGATTAAGTTTGTGTTGCGCAAGCTGGTAAACGCCCTGCTGGGCACCTTTACGCATACGATTCAGGGTTTGGATTATGAAAAGCACCGCCAGGCATTGAGTATGCTTCACTGCCTCTGTCTGCACGAGCAGACCAGAAAATATCTGCTAGAGGGAAAGCTGTTCAAAAAGCACTGGTATGCAATGCAAAATTTTTGTTGATTTTTATATGGGTATGTTGATGATTTAACCTTCTTTTCTTCCTTTAGTCTTGCTTTTTTCCTTTATATCCATCCACTGGAATTCTACATAATGGAAGAGTTGCTACCAGACAGCATGGCCTGGACGGAGGGAATCGATGGACCCAAAGAAAAGTATCTGAATGTAGTAGACAAGGTGCGAAAGGTCACGGAGCCATTGTATGCAGCACAAAAGGATTTTCTATCAACGTTGTTGATCAACTTCGATGGAACGCGAGAGAGTCCGTCCAGCCGGTCTATATTTCTCGTCAAGTTGCGTCGCTATGTGATCGATCTCAGCATGGAACAAAGGGTAGCTATTGCCACTGATGATTTAATTTAAAATTTATTGCTCATTTCTTCTTTCAGCCCTTCCATGCCTTTTTCTTCATGCATTCTTCGAGCATTCAACATCCACTGGATGCGCCTGTGGCCCTTGCCTTTGCAGGCATTCTCATTGATCAGACACGCGCGATGTTTAAGGAGGAAATGCCCAGTAAGGTTGTGGAGGTGAACAGCGACTTTTTCATCGATGGTACTTTTGACTATATGCACTTCGATCGTGTTGGCGGCGTCCTGTCTCATTTGAGAAAAGTCCATCGGGGTGACATCGATGCCAGGTTAGGAGCGGATCGCACGCAACAGATATATGATGATGATCGACAGAACTTGCGGGTCAATGAAGTGGGTATGTTTATGATTTAGGGTGTAAAATAAGCGCTTACTGTACACTTGTAATTTTTGCTGTTCAATTTAATTTACATTTGTTGTTACTAAATTTAATTACAGATACCACGCTGTACCTGTTGGGCGAGAATATCAATAATGTGGCTGTAGTTGGACACACTCAGGGCGCCAGCAACAGCACATACACCCACTTCCTGAACCCAAGACCCAGCAACAGCGCCGAATCTACGCCGGGAAATGCGGATATGGAGATCAGTCTTTGTGAGCTCTTGGATTTGTGCATCATCTTTTATTACTCGGCGGGTCACAAGTATATTGTTAAGATAGCCACGGTGAGGGACGAGATCGCTGCTCTGAACGAAGTGCTCAAGGAGACGAAATTCTACCGAGAGGACATAGAACGTAAGTTGGTTGCGTTGGAGCAGCATGCCAATGTCTGCATGAACGAGAACCACCAGCATGTGATGGGCGAGCTTCGGTCCAAATTCAGTCAGCGCCAGAATGTCTTTGCGGTGAGTAAATATATGTTATTACTGTAGAAAAACTAATTTTATTTCAATTCCATATTCAGACACGCTCCATAGCGCTGGCTAGAAAACAAATTTGGCTAAGAGCAGTGGCCCTGAATGGTCACAGACGATCCTTGCTCATATGGCTCCTAGAGCGTATGCTTCGAACTCTGACGGTAAGAAAATACATGCATAACCTTGATTTTTATATATCATAATATATATATCGCTCTTTAGACCGCTTCGAACACCGGTTCTTTGTTCTCATTTGTACCTGAGGTGTATGTGAATACACTGCCTATTCTGCTGGATGCCGTGATGGACTTCAGCCACCATGATTTAAAGGCCCAGTTCGAGGCATCAGATGCGGAGTGCGGCGTGAATTCGGCAGCCGAATTTCTAGGCATTCACTCGGCCGATCCTCGCATTGTGCTTGCCTCCTGCAAGGACTCCATGCTGCAGGCTCTGGGCACCCTCACCTGCCACAAGTCCGGAGTGCGCGCCCTGGAACGAACATCGAAGAGAGCGCAGGCTTGTCTGGTTCGAGCACTCCTGCGTCCCTACGAGAACAGGGCCTGGGGCCAGAGCAATTGGCTACTCTTGCGCTTTTGGATGGGCGAGGGCTATGCCTACAAGGATGCCCGCCAGCCATCCGTGTGGCAGGGTGGATCGCTGCCGCTCCATCAAGGACTATGTCGCAGTCGCTCCAGGAACGAGACACACACGGGGCTCCTGCACAACGTTGCCCCCGCCAATCCTTCCAAGCATTTTCAACGGCTGATCGGCGCCAAGCTGCTGGAGGATGAGCCCTTTGCCACCGCCTTTCTCAACTCGGTGTTAAGTCAACTAAACTGGGCCTTTTCTGAATTTATTTTGCTGCTGCAAGAGGTGAGTTTTGTGATTTAACATTTTTTAATTAACAGAAATTAACTCGTTTTTCTGTCAGATCCAAAACACCGCTCAGAGGCAGGAAAACACACTGTTCGAGCCCAAGCAGCTGAAGATTTGCTCCATGTGTTTCGAGTTGACAGTCTCGCTGATGCGGTGCCTTGAGATGGTCATCACAGCAGCGCCTGAAGTCGTCACGGATGCATCTCGTCCCAACAGCGATCTCCTGCTGAACCGCATCTGCCAGCTTATCAGCCAGGTGCTTTCGCGGGTGACAGTGCCACCGGGATGCTTCCAGTTCGTGGTGGATATGTGCTCGGCGGACTTGAATGCAGTCACTCACTACCCCATTGTGACCGCCGCTTTGGGCATTCTATTGGCCCTGATGCAGGAGGAGTTGGAGAGCGACATGAGGCCACAGATTGTGACGCGAGTGTCCCGGGCTTTTCTCACCGATCCCAGTTTTCAGTTCGCCACGCTGGAGTTTGCTCTGGGAGAAATACGAACACCGCTGCTAGAGCAAAAGACTATACCCCGGGGCAATTTTGATCCCTCTTCCAGGCCACACATCGATCCGCTGACCAACGATGTACGAGTGCCTCTACCCAACAACTCTAAGCGAATTCGGGCCGATCCGCCCATCCTGAAGTTTGCCCTCAATGATTGTGAGTATATGAAAGATATTTTCTAATACAACATAATAATAATTCCTCAATTTTCCTCAGTTCCCTCTCATGTTTCCGCCGAGGAGATAGACAACGTGCGCAGCCTAATCGAGAGTTTACGCGTTAAACAGACGCTTCTATCGGACATTACACTGCCATCGGAGGACTCCTTGTGCCCGATCTGTTGTGCCAAGCCAATCACCGCCGTGTTTACGCCCTGCAAGCATCAGTCCTGCAGCGACTGCATCATGCAGCACATGATGAACTCCAAGGTATGCTTCTACTGCAAGACCACCATCCAAACCATTGAGACGTTGGATGGCACGGTCATCTTCTCCAATGACGAAGTCGTTCCGACGCCCATGGTCGAAAGGGCCTAAACGAAAAACCCACCGAAAGCAATCGAAGAAGCATTCCTTTCGAAAGCCCAACCAAGTCTAGTCACTCTCAAAGACGATCTCCTACGCTTTAAGTGTATACCTATATCGTATTGTTTCGTACAGTTTTATTTGAGTTGAACGCTTGCCATTATAAGTTCAGATGTGATATGCCAAAAGTGCAATGTAAAGATGTTGAAAATAAGCAAAAATGAAGTATTAGAATGATTTAAACCGAAAAATATATTAAGTAGCACAATATTTAAAAAATCTTTGTGTTCACACAGTTTTGCCCGTTTAATTTGCCAAGTTTAAAATATCTTTGTTTACATATTATTTCGCTAAGTCGGATCTGCATTTAGGTAAATGAAAACAAAGAGAATGCATTTATATTAAAAACACTCTGAAAACAGTCTAAGTCTTAATGATTTATAGTTTTAGAATGTCAAACAATAAAACTTCTTTAATTGAAATTAATGTTTTGATATTGATGTTGATTGGGCAGTTTAACATAGCTAATATGTATACATAGAAAATCTAAAAGACGTTTCTGTAGCAATAATATACTTTATTTGCTTAACTTTCAGGTGTAGTTTATAGCATTACATCCAATTTTTTGATCAATTAAAAGTAATACAGTTTAGGTGATTGCAATAAAAGAAATAGTTGGACCTTCAGTTAAAACATTAAGAAAATAGAATCCCTTTGGAAACATTTATTTAATATTGTGTCCACATAAAATCTACTTAACCATTTAACTACTACAAATATATAGAGATATATAATACATACATAATGAGTTTAGTTTTTGTTGTGAGCAAACTCTGCCTCAGGTGGTTTCATGAAAATGTGTGGAAAATGCCTTTCCTTTTGTAGTTTGGTTGCCTTTTGGTATTGTCATATATAGAGGTCAATAACTTGAAAATCTTTTGATTAATACACATGAAAGAGTTTTAACGGTTTTTACAGATTCTTAGCATATTTTAGACACTGACTTGCCACATTTTAAAGCCCTGCTTGACTAGCTATAGTCTGGGTATACATATATATATATATGTATAACATGTAGGTACATTCTTTATCTATTCTATACACTATGAGATTCAACAACTAACTAAACCCTAATAATTGCTGACTACTTATCACCACTACACCACAAAGCGCGCGAAAACATTGAGCAGAATCCGCGTCAGTATACATGATATGGATGTGGGTTGCTGGTGCTGAAGGTGCTGCTGCTCCCTCATTGGTTCTCTACAGGATCCGGCAGGCGTTCGAGTGCATCCGGTGCGAGTGACGTCCATTTCCGTGTCCAAAGCCACTGCAGCACTGATGAGTGATTCCACCGCGTGGAGAGTGCTGGAAACTCTGGCTGTTGCTCATCTTCGGCTCCAAATGGTGGCAACTGGGCGCATGGCTATGACTGTCATTGGGAGTGGATAGAATAATGAGTTAGTGGGAAATTCGAATGAGTTGATGTGACCAAATATCCACCCATGACTGCAGAGACCGGAATCTGAAATGGAGCTGGGCATCAGGCGCTGTTGCTGCTGCGGCGGTGGCGGCAGGAAAAGTGGACAACCACCGGCGGCCAGATCACCGCCTCCGCCTCTGTCATGTCCGAAGAGGGCCAGCCGCATGTTGGCCGCCTTCGTCGCCGACTGGGACTCCACTTCGTGGACCTCCTCGATCATCTTGTCCAGCTTCTCCATTGCCTTGGTCTGCTTGGCGGCCAGGAAGGCTTTTCGTGCCGCCTTCGACATGGAATGGGGTCTGTAAATTGATATTGGCGTCGATATTTGATTAGTATATTATGAAGAGTAACGAAAAGTTAAACTTTGTTTAAATGCCTGTAAATACTAAATATTTTACTTTTTTTAAATTTGGTCATTTGTTTCTATACCGTTTGTAAAACTTATTTTAAAAGCTTGAAAAGTATCAAATTGATACCATCAATAGCTGATTTTGGTTTTAATTATGTTTTTACAACCCTATGGTTGACTTTATCCTGCAGCCGTGTTATATCTGTCAAACTAACTATACATTTCAGTGCCAATTATTCGCGCAGTATAAAAGATATATTCTTAAAACGCACCAAATCATATTTTTTGATGTGCACATTAAATAAATAACAAAATCTTGACAATCGAAAGAACTAAATAAATAACTTAGGTTGTTTTCGATGAATTATGTTTAATCCAGATTTTAATATATAGTATTTATATTTATTTATTATTTTTTAATAATTTCGAATTTATCCCAAATTAGCTCCCTCATACATTTGGTTATTATAAGAGTCAAAGTCATGAATATTTAAATTTTAAAGCTCTTGATTATCTTTTTTCTTCCGTTCCGATAAAGCCTGGTATTTGTTGTGTAAAAGCTTGTTTATTCGAATTTTTTGCTTTTCAGAATCCCATTCACTTTTAAATTTAATATTTATTTAACCCCTTAAAGCTGTTCTAGTTTTGGACCAATACAAGGTAATCGGATTTAATACAAATTTGTATATAGTATACTATGCTCACCTGGCTGGCGCTGAGTTCGATCGATGTGGAGGAGGTGAGTGCAGGGAAATGGATGAGACCGAATCCTTTGATCCCGGGCGTTTGGGGTCGCCCTTGCTGGTACTAGCCTGCACCACCGGCTGCTGTGCCATTGGTGGTGTCTTGGATCGCATGGGGCACACCACGGCAGCCACGGCGGTCGTAGTTGTGGTTGCATCCATGCTGCTGCTGTTGGAGAAGGTGATTTTCCTAATGAGCGTGGAGTTGGCCGTCAGTTCTTGACACCGAAAGACTTACCTGAGCTTGGCCGCCTTGTCGCGATCCAAGGATGCACTGCTGCAGGAGGCCGTTTCCCTGGCCGGAGCTGTCGACGGCGGCGTCATTTGATCCATGGCGGCCAGCTCCTCCGGCGTGAACTTATCCGGATTACTGGGTCTCGGCTTGGATGGTGCGCTGCCAATTCGGAATGGAGGCGTTGGACTGAAACCACACGGGGGCGGATTATTGTTATTGTTAGCCAGGGAGCTGCGTGAGATCTGCAGATCCTCAAGGAATTCCTCGGTGTCCAGGATGAGTGAGCCAAAAATATCCGAGGGAGAGCGCATGAACACATGGCCCGTGGAATTGGAGCGGGATTCACGGCGTTTTTCCTGGTCCGAGCACGGGAAGCCAGCACTGCCCCTCACCGGAGAATTGGCTACGCTACGGCGAGCCACGTCCTTGAAAGTCACGGGTGAATAGATGCGACTGTTACGGTCATCGGCAGGTACCCCAGCTGCCGCTCCCCCTCCTCCTGCTGCTGCTGCTGCTGCATCTCCTCCTCCTGATGATGCTGAATCTCCCACACCACCTGCAACTGTCGGTCCTGAATCTCCAGACAATCCCGCTGCCACAACCGCCTGGTGATGAAGCGACATGTGTGCAGCGGCAGCCGCTGTGAGCACCAGGCCCGATATGCTGGACGAAGGAGCTACCACATCCACCGTTGGAATAGTAGTGGCCGGAATCGAAACCTCCAGAGACACGGAAACGGGAACCAAAGGAGTCAGCGCCTTGGTTACCGGCGGCATAATGGCCTTTGGCTTCGAGGTGCCCGTACTCGAGGCTGGAGAGACCGGATGCACCTGGAGCGTCGCGGTCAGTTGGAGGGGCAACCTGTTCTCACGCTCCTCCAGCCAATATGTGCCCATGGTGCCCTTGCCCTTCACTTCGATCTCGCCCCGCTCCAGGATCTTGTAGTTGGGGCCGATGAGAATCTTCGTGGACTCCGAGATGTGTACCTTCATGGCGATGCTGGTGGACTCCATTCGCGAGGCGGTGTTAACGGTGTCCCCAAAAAGGCAATAGCGCGGCATCTTGAGGCCCACAATGCCGGCCACCACGGCTCCGGAGTGGACGCCCACACCTGGCGGGGATTAGACAGCAGTTTAAAGTGTTATAATCTAGCTTAAATATCTATATCTTTAATCTTACGTATCCTCAAATGCTGGCCCGTGGAGGGATCTTTGAGATCGGTTATGGCATCCACCATATCCAAAGCCATATCACAGACTCGCTCGGCGTGATTGGCATCCTTATCTGGGGCCCCCGCCACTACCATGTACGCATCGCCAATTGTCTCCACCTGTGGGGGTGAGTATTAAAACTTACTTAGTGTTGTTGAATAAAACTCATCCTTGCTTACCTTGTACACAGAATTCCTCTCCGTCAGCTTGTCGAAGATCGAGTACATGGCATTCAGCATGGACACCACCTCCATCGGCGTGATGCGACTGCAGATCTCCGTGAAGGTAACGATGTCCGAGAACAGTATGGATACACTATCGAACATCTGCGGTATATATAATATATGTATTATATTATATTATTATATAGTTTTGCCAACTTTCTTATAAGTAATGAACTAAATCGAGCTCAATTGTCGGCTTAGATTTAAATTTTAAACTTAGAATTTTATTTTATTTTTATATTTCTTGTTATTCTTATCATAGCTCTACAAGACAGGACCTTTAATTATGCACTACATAGGAATCATTAACGCAAGAAAGTTAAATTAAAGTAAGTCTTAAGTACAGAAAGAAATTGCTATTAATATTTTCAAAAACTACGTTATTACGTTAATTAATTTTTGTAGTTTTTTTTTTTTTTATTTAGCGTTCTTGCATGTATTAAAAATTGTATTTGGAAAAGTACTATTTTGGCAGACTGTTTCATAGACTATTTTACACAAAAATAGCTGAGACAAAGAATGGACGATCAGAGGTAAGTGTCTTATTTCCAGGCTAGAGTAATGTTGTTTCTTCCATAGGATACTAGATTATTTTTACAAATATAAACCATTTTTTATTTTTATAATTTTGTGTACGAATATGAGAGTTCTGTAACTGATTAAAATTTCGCTCCTTTTTGTGTGTGTTGCCATCAAGTCGTTCCTTAGATTTATCATAAGTCTAAGCCGACTTAGTTTATTTTGTTCAATTAATAAGACATTCAAGCGAAGAACACTCACCTCACAGGTATCAATTGGATTCTCGCCTCGTCTCAGCCTATCGGCCACCTGCTTGGGTATCATCTGATAAAGTAGCTCATCAGTACGCCGCATTTCCTCATCCAACTAGGGGTTACACACAGAGATATTCATAAGTCCCTTATTCTCTGCCATATCCAATTTATATTACCAATCGCATGGACTCTTCCAGCTTCTTGGACTTTTGCTGCTCTTGATCCAGGGCGAGCTTAAGTTCCACTGATTGC